ATGTTATTGAGGGTATTGAGAGGGGGAGGACGTATAAGGTTGAGGTTGCGGTGCCGAGGGTAGGTAGGAAGCATGGGGAACTGACGAATGGGACGAAATAGGTGTCTACACTAGCAATCACTGCGCACCCGCGTACTCGTATTCGCTGTAATGTGCACCTGCGCACTCGCTGCGCACTCGTATTCGCTACGCACCTGCGCACCTGTAGTGTTTTAAGTATCTATTAAAGATGAGAATAATATAGTTAGACTATTTATTATACGCTGTTCCTGTCCCTAGTTTTGTGACGTTACCGCCAAAGAAATGCATCTAAGTAGGTCCCGACATCGAGTATTATATCAGATCCACGCACGCCCACAGTATGTCGCTCTATGGCAGAATGGTGAATACCCCGCTTTTACCGTCGCGCTTACCAACCATTAGCAGCAGTCCTTGAAATTGTGGTGGCGGCCATCCAGTGACGACACGGGTGTTGCGACCCCCCAAAACCAGCCTCGACGCGGCTGGAAGCGATCATGTGTTGCGAGAAAATACTTCAAGCCCAGCCTTTCCAACCCCACATTACGTATACTCATCGCCATGGACGATCATCAAGGTAATTGCGTGAAATCTTGCCTCTCCATGCTTTCTACTCTCCGTTGCCTCCAGATGTTTCTATTTTCCCTTAACTTCTTGGCCTCCGGATGTTCAGTCGTAGATATCTTTGCTAACGCAGCCAGAGCCTCTTCGGTCACCCTCTCGCATTCTTCAACTTTCCCCAGCGCGTTGTATGCTGTTGCCAGCTCGATCAGGCCGCCAATTCTATCGGGATGAAACTCGCCTCTTCCTTGCAATGTGTAACGCTGCCTCTCTGTGACATCAAGAAGGTAGGTTACCGCCTCCGTCCATCTTTCCTGAAGTACCCAGATTCGGCCAAGATGATAACGGCCCCAAAGATAGGCGATGTGGCCTTCGCCTAAATTGCGTGCAGCGATAGGTAAGCCGTGCTGCATAAGTGCCTCTGCTTCATGGATCATACCCATCGCGCATTTTACAAGAGCGAGGTTTACCATCGCAAGTAATGTGTAAGCATGCTCTTTGCCAAGTTTCTCTTTTCGGATTTCCAGAATCTTTATCATCATCGTATGCGCTTCGTCCAAATGATCTTTGTCCCCCGTCCGAATGGCCGCAGTACAAAGGTGTTCACGCGCTTCCAGTGTACGTGTATGTTCATCTCCATGCAATTTTCGCATGCCTTCTGATGCCATGACAAAGAGTTGACGGGCACGAGTCACATGCTCTTTGGTATAGAACATGAGTAGAGTCTGACCAAGCCAGTCAATTGCGTCAAGAGTATCTTCCTGGTCCAGGCCAATTAGCCTAGTCAGACCTTCGACCGCCTCTTCTTGGAGAAGTTTGGCCTGGCTAAATTTGCCTTGTAAGAAAAGCGCCTTTCCAAGAGTGAATTTGGCCACCAGTGTCTCCTGATGATTGACACCCAAGAAACGCACACAAGCGTCCAAGACTTCTTTTTCCATCTTAGCTGAGTCCTCACTTTGGCCTAGGTTGAAGAGGGTTGTAGCTAGTAGGCGGGTGACGCGACGAGTAACGGGATGCTTCATGCCCAGGATTTGGGTCGTGAAATCCTTTACTGCAGTTTGCAGTCGCTTGGCCTCTTCCCACCTTCCATTCTGCATGTACACCAGGCTAAATTTAGCATATGTCATAGCTTTGCCCCTATCAAAGCCGCCATCGAATACTGGCCATGGTTTCATTCGTGCCATGCGCTTATCTCTCATGCGTTGCTCCATAGATTGCTGACATTGACGTACGTGATCCACATGGGGGAGGATATATTTCCGGACTTCTTCCTCTTCTTCCGTATTGCCAAGCGGTGGGATCAGAATGCAGTGTGATAATAGCATTACGGCCGCTTCAGCCCAAACTGCTTGCGCTGCGATACTCATACCAGGTCGCTCACGCGCCCATTTGTGTACAAGGGGATGCATGGAGTAGCCTTCGGAGTTATGACTTCTTATTATAAGGGAAAATTGAGTCAACTGCCGTAGAGCTAGACGTAGTCGATCCTCATCCATTGCCTTATTGTTTCGTCCATCTCGAATAACCTGTAATGATTTAGCGAATGTATTTGAAGAAAAGAATGTTGGTGTGACCTACACCGGGTATAACGGACGGACTTCGATTCTGGTAGAGATAGGTAAGGACCAGAAACGCGGTTTCTTTGCACCATGTTGAGAATCCACCACAGTGGCGATTTGACGACGTCATCATCTGTCCTCTGTTCCTTTATATGTTCAACTTGGGCATTTTCAATAGCTCGTTGCAAAAGGTCGTATCGAATGTCTTGATTGTGAAGAAATGCAAATGTATCGAGCAGCTGAAGGGCGTCCCGAGATGCTCTAGTCGCTCGCTTCTCGATAGCTTCTCGATTCAATTCGAACGTCGAGAAGACACTCAACTCGTCAGCAGCATCCTTGTCTTTTACTGGAAGTCTGGTCTGTCTTGTTTCTTCCCATTGGCGTTCATAGTAATGCAAGTACTCGCTCAGCTTACAATACTCTTCGCGGATGGCCCTACCCGCATGCGTGATTGCCAATGCAAGAAAGCCAAGGGCTTTCGCGATCTTCAAAGCAATACTGGATACGACCGTGTCCCATGGTTCCGACTGACCGGCTGCTTTCAGCAGCAGACTACTTGCATCGCTCGTACTCAGTCCTTGGAATTCAAAATATCGATCGCCAACAGTACCATACGCCTTTTTCCCAGGATCGCGGGTCGTGATGAGAACGTGACCTCGGTTGCCTCGTGGGAAATAGTCGGGAAGTTTGAGATCAGGGTCGTCGGCATTATCAATGATAAGAAGCCAAGGAAGACTTAAGTTTGATAACCAATGGAGGGCAGCATTTTCGTTGAGATCCACTTTTCCAATCTTGGACACATTCTGAGAGAATGTCTGTTTCAACCGCGACCGACTGCTACCGTCTACCCAAAAGACTCCCCAGAAGCTAGACGTGACTCATCAGTGGTGAATAGATCTGGAACAACGACAAACTAACTAATGGCGATTGTCTTCGGCAAACTTGGAGCAGAACTGCGTTTTCCCTGCGCCTCCAAGCCCATATACAATGAAACGTTTTTGCTCTGCCTTGACGTTCGTTGTACCGCGTTGCTTTCGAGAAAGACTCGGTAACATCCAGCTGCGCAAGCGATTTGCGTACTCTTCACGACCAGTATAGAACGGATCAACAGGTTTTGGAATATCAAAATGTTCGTTTGTTATCGAGGCGTCGGACGCTGGATTATGCGCAATATTGTCGATTGCAATACCGAGCTGGTTCACGACTGACACGGATTCAACGTTGAAATCGCGATAAGCTGTTGTGGTAGTCACGGCTTCATATAAGGGTAACGATGTGTGCTGCGATTTTTCCATTCGACTCTTCAGTTCTTGTAGATCGGTTACCAATTTGTCGAGCTGGGCATTCTGGTCCTTGTGGCTTTCGCGAGTGGACTGCCTGCATATCGGTCAATGGAAGCTGCTGGGATGGCTGATCAACTTACATGGAAATGAAACCGAGCAACATCTGTAAGGCTCCTTGATATGTTTTGATCTGGTCTCGAAGTCCAGAGATCATGCTGTCTTTGCTTTTCTTCCTACGCGACTTATCCCAACAATCCAGCCTCCCAGTAACCAGCTTATGATCACCGTAGATAGACTGCACCGATTCCTCGAGCTTCTTTGTAAGCTTTTGTCCGTTCTTGAGAGTTTGTCCTGTGCTTGTCCAAAGGCTCCTCTCATCGTCTCCCATGTTGACATTGGTCACACTCTTGAGGTATTCCTTCTCGAGGTGACCATGTACCTTTTGAAGACCTTCGATCTCGTTTATCAAGCCCTCAATATCTTCGCCTATTGTCTTAGCGGTTGCTTTGATTTCTTTGAGATAGATGATGATCCGAAATGCAACTTCAGCGATTCCCACACCCGCAGCCACCAGTGAAACAACATCAGCCATAATTTAATGATATCTCCAAGCCGGTTCCCAGGCGAAAAACGTTTGCGAGGATTTTTGTAAAGAAGGCTGTGCAGACTTTTGACATAGGATACGTAGTGCGATGTCGTCGAAAAGTAGGTCCTCGTATAGACAAGGCGCTGTGTAAAACAAACCAGAAAAGCTTTTCTGATCTGTTCGAGTTGTGTTGCGCTGGCCAAGAGAGCAACAAGAGGCTGGCTTCGCAAGCATGCATGTGAACGACTGCCTCCATGGCCTTCGACGGCTATGTATTCAGCCGATAGCCGTCGTAGGAGTGAAGTCGCGGGCCAATCGTTACCGAGTGCGCTAGCGATGGTTTAGCCAACATCTCTTACTGGTCTGTTACCAGGGTCAGCCCCACAAGCGATGGCCCTCAACCTGCCACACTTATCGATCCTCTGCGCTGATTATGGAAGGTGAACTGCAGTGAAACGGCTAGGCTGAGACTGTGCCACACACTTTAATTTGGGGGCGAAACAACAACTGCAGAAATGTCTTGTTGAAGTCCTTATGCCCACAGCGACTCAGACATTCCTTCTGATTTTGCTATATATGGACCTGGAGGCGGAATCACAGTTATGAATACCTTTGATATCAACTTTATAGGCAACAGAGCCTCTAAATCCATAGCCTTATTATTCGTCGTTCTCAGCGTTGTGGGGTACAAGATTTGGTGTCGCCAGGCTCGACTAGACTCCGCAACAATCAATTCAATCCGGTCACTCTCCTAGACCCACTTACCTATCTAGGTAGGGCTTAAACTCCTATAGGTAACTACTAGGCTTAAAGCGGTAATCAATCAATCCAATCTGAACCTTCTAGGACCCACTTAATTGATTGTTGCGGACTGTGGGCTCGACGTCAAGTAGGCACGCCCAGAGAAATTCATTTGTGCTGCTGACATGTAACAGAAAGAAGACCAGTATGCGATGCAAATGGGATGCAAAGCACCACAGAGGTGGGCAGCAAAGTGGCCGCAAGGCTTGGATCTGCTACTCAAAGCAGGGCAACACGCGAGAGCGCAGACTATTTTACAGTTCTTCTTGGATGTAGTGGAGTCCAGTGGTCCTACTCATGAGCAGCAACTGCGTAGGTTTTATGGGCGCGATCATGCAACTGGCACTGACAAAGAACAGTCGGAAGTCGCGGCATTAATACAGTGGAACCACCACAGTCCGCAACAATCAATTAAGTGGGTCCTAGAAGGTTCAGATTGGATTGATTGATTACCGCTTTAAGCCTAGTAGTTACCTATAGGAGTTTAAGCCCTACCTAGATAGGTAAGTGGGTCTAGGAGAGTGACCGGATTGAATTGATTGTTGCGGAGTCTAGGAACCACGCAACATAGAAGAGATTCTTTCGACACAGTTTGAAGGTTTGTAAGCCTTGCTTCCTTCTGATGACAGAACGGATCTGACAGTCTTGGCAGATTTCAGTCTCGGGCTCCGACCCAAACATTTTGCCCCATTGATGGGAAGTGGCATCTTCACCCAGGATGGTGCAGCATGGAAGCATTCGCGTGCGCTCCTACGACCTCAGTTCACTTCCAATCGCTACCAGAACTTCGAGGAGATGAAGAAATCCGTCGAAAGTCTTATCGATCAGATTTCTTCCGATAGCGTGGTCGATTTGCAGCCGTTGTTCTTCCGTTTGACTTTCGACACGACGACATTCCTTCTTTTTGGGAAGACGCTGAGCTCTCTGCAAAGCAGTGACATCGCTGGAAAAGAGTCGGAGTTTGCGACGGCTTTCAACTTAGGCCAGGACTACCTATCGCATCGTGGCCGATTGGGAGACTGGTACTGGCTTGCCAATACGCCTGAGTTCTGGCGGGCTTGTAAGACTTCACATCGCTTCGTTGACGATGCAATTCAGAACGCACTGGATGATGCGGAGAAGCCGAAGCCTAAAAAGAAGGAAGACGAGGAAACGAAGCATTACGTTTTCATCGATGCTCTTATCCAAGAAACCCGAAACAAGAAAGAACTCCGCGATCAGTGCCTCAACGTTCTCCTTGCGGGCAGAGACACGACCGCATGCTGCCTCACTTGGACCTTGCGCTTATTAGCTCGTCATCCTCAGGTTTTGCAAAGATTACGAACAGAGATAGAGGAAGTAGTAGGCCTCGGACAGCATGCGTCTCAGCCAACTCGAGTGGATCTGAAGAAGATGCAATACCTAGACCTGGTACTAAAAGAAGTACTTCGCCTCTACCCATCTGTGCCGGTTAACTCCCGTGCAGCACTAAAGACAACGACGCTTCCTGTCGGAGGAGGCCCGGACGGAAAGTCCCCTATATTGGTGAGGAAAGGCGAAGCCGTCGGTTATTGCGTATACGCTATGCATCGTCGCACGGATATCTACGGGGAAGATGCACTCGAGTTCCGTCCCGAGAGGTGGGAAGACGGACAACTATTGCGCAATGTGGGTTACGGATACTTGCCCTTCAACGGTGGGCCGCGAGTATGCCTAGGCCAAGAGTTCGCCCTCCTAGAAGCGGGATACACTGTAGCGAGACTGGTACAAAAGTTTCCCTTCTTGACTGTCCCGCATGATGACCCTGTTGTGGCAACTGGAAAGGAAAAGCAGGTTCTAACGCTGGTGGTTGCTTCAGGAGATGGGTGCCGTGTACACATGCGTTCGTAGGCTACCTAGGTACTGTTACAAACAAGACACTAGACGGTATCCCTCCGAATATCACATAGAGCCTAATGCCATCTCTCATTATATCTACACTCAAGGAGCGTTTGTACCCAATCTGATCTCTGTATCAGGCAACGGCACTATCTTCAATGTCAAAGGCTTTCCATCAGGCCCAAACCGCTGTGCATCAGCATGTAAATTACGCGAATCGCGAACTGCTTGCCCAGCACGTTTCAACATCGCTCGAGTGAAATCTCCCATGGTGCTCCTGACACGCGCGATATCTTTATAATCGCCACTCTGTGCCATCTGACCTAGTACTTTGCTCAACACAAGTGTATCTACTAGGGTATGATAACCGCCTTCCCCACGAAACGGAACCATAGCGTGCGCTGCATCGCCCACGAGAATGACACGGCATTCCGGCACAATGGAAGGATCTAGTTCCAGATCACGCCATACACGCGTCTCGCCTTGAATATGCTCAGGCTTGGTCATTTCGAAGATCTCGCGGAACTTGGGTGCGAGCTTCTGGACGCGTTTGATCACGTGATCGAGTTTTTCTTGCTGAGTGGCTTTTTGGAGCCAGTGATCAGGCTTGCCTACGTCTTGATCGGTCTCCAGGAAGTTCCAGTAATAGTTTGCGGACAGGCCGTCAGGGTGGACATAGTGTAGTCCACCGAAACCAATGAAGCCCAGGTCAGGTCGGATGAGCATGTAGCCACTGTGCCCAAGAGTCAATTGATGCTTGAACGCTTCACCGGAAAGCTGGAGGTGACCGACGATTGTGGCGAGAGGCACGACATTGAGTAGCTGATTCGCTGGCTTGTGGAGGAGCTGCTCCCTCACCACGCTGTTGATGCCGTCTGTGGCAACAATCAAATCGCCCTGCGCTGAGCTGCCGTCTTCGAACTGCACTGAGGCTCCTCTGTCATCATGCTGAATGGCCTTGACTCGTTTGCCCCATTGAACAGGGATGTTGGTCATCAGCCAGTTTCGCAGGCGGTGACGCTCAGCTCTTATCAACGGAAAGTCAGGCGAGTCCTAGCATCGTCTCAGTATGTCCCTGACGACCGAAAAATCCGACATTTTGCTTACTTGAAACCCCCATCGGTCATCTCTTCCAGCCATGTACATACTCAACTGAGCTGGAAGCTCCAATGGAATCAGATGATTTGTGGAAGCTTTGAGATCCGGTAAATCATCCGGGAAGATGGAAATGAGGTCATCCACGATACTACACCCAGTCAGCTGTCTGTTCGTTTCAGCAGCGGAACATTTCTTCCACATACGAATGCATGGCAATAGCCCATCCCTGAAACCTAGCATCTGAACTAGGGTCCCGCTCAAAAATCTCGAACGAAATGTCCAGCTTACGCAGAGCCTGCGCAAGACTCAGCCCACCCACACCAGCTCCAACAATGAGTACGTGCATGGCAAATGATAAGATTGGGCAGTGGAGAAAGAGAGATGTGAGTGGCTTTTTTTACGCCCGGACTGTGTTTAGTAGTTTATCTACGACTTCCTATTTCGCCAAAGTCAATGACGCTTCTGATTACGACGCCAGTTCCAAGAGTTCCTGGCCGAAATACCAAGAATGATTTACGCGTGGATCTCATCAACGAGCTTAGTGTACTGGGGAACCTCCACGTCATAAAGTGCCGACCATCTCAGCTGAAGATGGTGTTGCGGTAATCTGACTATCATTGGTTGCATGAAAGTCGCCGATTTCCTGTTTTGTCTTAGAGCGCCGAAAGAGGATGGGGCTCGGTGTCGGTGTTAACAAACATGCGAGCATCACGATAGTAAGACGTGCACAACATCAGATTCGATATTATCTCTATGTCAAGTCTGCCAGATCCTATGTACTGGTTTCTGTACGCATTAATTTCCAGTGCAATTATTTTGTGAAATCGAACAACATGGCAACGGAAGAACTCAAACTCCCTCTGATCGACATCAGCGGCTATGTGTCGCCAAAGTCGCCTGAAGACAAGCAGCGTGTCATTGAGGAAGTATCCCAAGCAGCAAGAAAATATGGCTTCTTCCAAATCAAAGGCCACGGCATCCCCTTGGGTCTGCAGCAAGACCTGGTAAAATGTATGACCAACGTCTTCGACCTACCCTACGAAGAGAAGATGAAGATGTCCTTCCTCAATAACCCCTGTCGAAGAGGCTACGAGGCATCCGGTATGTCGCATAGACCAGGCGACACACTACCCGATGCCAAAGAGGTAATCCAGCTACCACCATCTTGAGCAAATCAAGGTCTAAGACTAACTTCCCCGTGATAACCAGTGTTTCTTCGTCGGCCGCGACGACCCCAACATCGAACTCGCTGGCATTTTCGGCCCCAACATCTGGCCGTCGCTCCCCGCCTCTTCCTTCAGCGACCCAATTACGCAATACTACGACCTCACCTCTGTACTAGGCAAAACCTTGTGGTCTATCCTGCTAGAAGGCCTATCGCAACCCCCCGAGACCGTCGAGAAGTTTTCTAAACGCCCCATCGTTCCCATGAAAATGATCCGCTACCCGCCCGCCACAACAGTACAAGCGGGCCAGTACGGTATCGGCGCGCACACGGATTTTGGAGGTGTGACAATTCTGTTCCAGCAGCCGGGCAAGGATGGCTTGGAGGTGTGGGTTGAAGATCGCCAAGCGTGGATTGAGGTGCCGGCGCTGGAGGATGTGTATGTTATCAACTGCGGGGATATGATTCAGAGGTGGTCTGATGGTGTATATAAGAGTGCAAAGCATCGGGTTATCAACAAGGTGGAGAATGGGGAAAGGATGTCTTGTGCGACGTTTTGGCATGGTGATGTTAGGGCGACGAATCCGCTGAATCCGCTGGATAAAGACAGGGAGACGGTGGGTATGTTGCTTGCGAAGAGGCTTGGTGGGCAGTACTCTTTCTCGGATGAGTTGTTGGCCGAGATTGGTGCGGCGGCGTGAGTGTGATGATGGTATATGTAGCTGTGATTCTGTGTTTTGGAGTCAGTGGAAATATATTGTTTTGTGATGGCGTTTGACCTCACTACTTCTTGAGTACCCATAAGCCATCTCTAGACAGTGTGCATTTGGTATGCACGTGCAGCCCCCATCAGAAAAATAGCCAAAGATATGTGGTCAGACACCTCTACGCTTGCCGCCATAGATGCGACGAAACCCATCAAGCACGTGACACCAACCAACAAGTTTGCGAAGTCTGCATATACTGCTGAACGGTTTGTATAACCAATCGTGTGTCGCAAACTCTAGAGTAACAAGTCCAAAAACGATTATAAAGCCAATGGTGTTTGTTGTCTTGTGTTCCAAAAGGTCTATCTGTAACGGTTTGGGCCTTGCCAAGACCGACTTGGGTGAGAGTTGGGTACGGCTATCGCTACCACACTTTCTCATCACACACACCTATATAGCTGCAGTTCCTCCATAACTACACAATGCAACGCAGTCCTCTTCTCCTCACACCGCTACACTATCGAACGGAATCTAAACAACATTGAACCTCACTCGAACTCGTGATATCATTTCTAGAGATCTTGAACGTAAATGAACCCGCAAAAATATTAATATATAGCTTTCCTCACTTGGTTTTCTGGACATCATCTTTTTGTAGACTCAAGCTCACCCGTACCACGACGCACCGTTGCATCCTGGGAGGCCAGAATATACGAAAATCCGAGTGCCTTAATCTTCCCCATCCACTTGAGTAGCGGCATTGACGAGATAGTTGCTTCTTCCTGTGGCTTACCCGCTTTGAACAGTTCAGCGCGTTCATCGAGGTCCTCCACCGAAATGGTAATGGGACACTCGTAATGAAGGAACGTTGCGTTGGCTGGAGTTTCCGTTGCTCTAGATGTAGACGCTGCAATCGAACCACACAGCCACGTCGCAATGTCTTCGCCCCGTATTAGATCCATTCTTCCTTGCCAGCCTGTTGTATCCGGTACTGCGTCAGCCAGTTTCATGCAGCGCTCAAACTCGTCCAGAGCAGTGTTCTTCTGTGCTGGTGTCACAGTAGACGACGAGGGAAGAAGGCGGTAGATGAATGACGGAACGGCAACTTCGGGACTTGCGGCAGAGCGCTCCAGAATCCGCTCACATGCCCATTTGCTCGACACATAACCATCGGAGCCGTCAGGTGGTGGAGAGTAGGACATGGCCGAAGATGGAGAGGCCAATGGATCAGACAGGACCGCTGATGTGGATACGAAGTGAATCGGGATATGACTGACGGAGGCAAACTTCACTAGCTCCTTCGTGGAATGAACATTGGTCGACCGTAACATGTTGTAGTTGTCCCAGAATGATCGCACGGCACCTAGGTGTAGGATGACATTGACATGGTGAGCCAAATAGGTGAACTCCCCCTCTTCCAAGCCAAGGAGTGGGAGGGACAAGTCTCCCGCGGAGACCTTAACCTTTGCATGCGAGAGAATGTCGCTGGGACGATCCTTATTTCGCACAGCTATGCAGTGCACTCTTTCCACAGTCGGATTTGAGAGTAGAACCCGAAGGACGTGCTTGGCCAGATTTCCAGTGGCGCCAGTCATCAGCACAGTCGTAAGTCCCGACTTTTCTTTGGTCTTTGTGCTCTCGTACGTGCCTATGGCTGCCGGTGGAGCAGTTTCAGCTTCCCAATCGATGAGATCGACGACAGGGCTTTCCTCTATCTTCCGTGCCATCTCACTTAGCGTGCTCAGGTTGATGAAGTCAACGAGGCGCACAGCAACATTGAAAACCTGGCGGATACGAGACTGCAGGCGTACCACTAGGAGAGAGTTTCCGCCGATCTGGAAAAAGTCTGTTGAGGCTGTGAGTCTCGTGCCGACGCTCTTGACGTGAGGCAGCAGGTCTTCCCAGATTGATGCGAGCTGTATCATTGTCTGAGATATCTCCGAAGTTTCGTCGCCGTTGTCATCTGCCTGGGGGGTGCGCTGTGGTAGTTCGAGATTGGCAATCGCCTTCCGGTCCACCTTGGCATGCTTCGTTACAGGCAACCTCTCAAGCGGGACTGCCATAACAGGCATCATGTATGGAGGAATTGGCAAGCGGCTAAGTAGTTGTTCCAGAAAGAGCGCTTGGTCTTCCACACCGGTGTCGGGAGAGAAGACGACGTGCGCAACCAGATACTCAGGGTCGCCTGATCTAAGAGAAACGATGGTATCTTTCAAGGCGCCTCTAGCGGTAGATACCATGTTCTGTTCTATGTCCTGCAAATTGATGCGGAGGCCCCGCAGTTTGATCTGTGTGTCGCCAGCCATACGGTTCCGGAAGACCAGAGACCCATCATCTTGCAAATGCCCAATGTCACCGGTACGGTGCATTTTCGTCCACCCATTGGCAGTCAAGAACGAATTTGCATATGGATTAGGCATGAAAACTTGGTCGGTAAGTTTTTGGTCAGTCAGATAGCCCAAAGATACACCAGCACCGCCAATAACTACCTCTCCGGGCATCCCGACCGGCAGAGGGTTTTGATTCTCGTCCAATATATATGTCGCATAACTGGGCAATGAAAACCCACAGGCAATGGTTCGTTCTTCGCTCAGTTGTGATGGCAGACTCTCTTGACGATAGTCGATGAACCCTTTGTGTGAGGCAATAGACGTCTCTGCAGGTCCATACGAGTTGCTGAGACGGAGATATGGCAGGTCTAAGGACGAGAACTGTCGCAAGATCGCCTTGGTGAGGGGCTCGCCACCTGCAAAAGCGAAGCGCCACTCGCTTGCTTTAACGAGGTTATCATGACCATATTGCATCCACATTGAGTATTCTGAAGGTGTGACCTTGGTGTAGGTGATGGATTGGCGCCACATGATCTCTGTGATGGACAGTGGGTCTCCGCGCTTGTCTGAGGGAACAACAAAGAGCATCCCTCCGTTCACAAGGCCAGTGAAAATCTGGTCCAAGGAAAAGTCAAATGTGAAGGCACTCTGTTGCAAGACTCGCTCAGCACCTAGTTGGTAGGTTTTGGTGTATCCTTCCATCTGGTTACAGATTCCCGAGTGCTGAATCACGATACCCTTGGGTGTTCCGGTAGAGCCGCTGGTGTACAGGATTGCCGCTGGTTGATTAGATTCGGCGACGTTTGGAACCGGGTTTGTCGGATATGCGGGAATATTAGAGACATTCAGGATGACAGGCACGGCGAGTTGTGGTGCATTTTTGACGTTATCGTCGTCAGCGAGGACAGCAGCCGGAGCGCAATGGCTCGCTTGTGCTACAAGACGTTCCATCGGATTCCTGAGGTCAAGAGGAACATAAACGCCCCCGATCCTCATGATGGCTAGCAGAGAGCAGATCCATTCGCTCGTGGCTTGCTGGAAAACAAGTACTCGATTCCCATTGCGGACTCCCGCATTGACTAGTGCCTCTGCGATGGCCTCAATTCGCTTGATCATGTCCGAGTACGAGTATTTCTTGTCGTAGCCATCCGCCAATGCGGTGCTGGTTCCGTTCAGCTGGGCCATTTGATCGATACGATGTGGAAGCGTTGCCGGCCAGTTTTTCTCTAGCTCAGGACCCACACCAATCTGAATTCCGTGTGCAAGTTGCCGTTCGCTGAATAGTGGCATTTCGTCCAATACGAGCGATACGTCTTGGGAAAGAGTGGTGACGAAATGCGCGTACGTTTGGAGTAGTAGATTGGCCGCTGTCTCGTCGTAAAGGCCTTTCTGGACACGGAAAGTCAGATGCACATTGGATCCAAGATCAGCCACGTCGAGCGCAATATCATATCCGGTTCTGCCTGGATGCAACTGGTCCAGATCAAAACGGCAATTGCACCAAGTTTGCCTGTCACTGGTTTGTTGTCGGTAGTCAAAGAAAGCTTGAAAGAATGGATTGTATGACGAAGAACGTGGCACGTTGAGCTCCTTGAGCAGAACATCAAAAGGCAACCGTGAATGACCCAGTGCTCCATAGGCTGTGGTGCGTGCTTCTACAATTGCACCCGCAAAGGTCTGCTTGGACATGCGAGAGAATTTCAGCGTCAGCAGGTTCAAGAAGAATCCGATGCTGCCAATGACATCGCTATCCTGGCGGTTGGCATCAGCAATACCAATGGTCAAATCCTGGGTATCGGTGAAAGCAAACAGCATGGCTTTGAATGCAGCCAGGTAGAAATGGAATGGCGTCGAGCGCTGAGCTCGACTCACGGCCTTAACTTGAGCTACAAGATCTGCGTCGAGCAATATGCTCACTTGATGAAGCGCATAGTTGGTCATTGCCGTTCGTGAGCTGGATCGGGCCATTGGTAGCAATGGTAGGACCGGAGGCTGGGAGCCAGCTGGAAAGATTCCTCGCCAGTACTCAATTTCGTCTGCCATCTCTCCATCGTCGAGCATGCGCCGCTGCTCTACAGAAAAGTCGGGGTATTGGCGGGATACTGGCCCCAGAGGCTGACTGTTGTACGCCTTGTCTATCTCCGCACTGAGGACTTGGAAACTAGCCATATCCATGATTATATGGTGGTAGTTTACAAGCAAGAAGTGCGACGTTGGAGAAAGTGTCACCAGTATCATTCGTAGCAAAGGCCCACTGGCGAGATCGAACTGGTGCGTTCGTAGTTGATCGTATTCGGCGGCAACGTCCTCCTCGGATGCCACCGATTTCCGCTCCAGATTGACTGATGAGCGGCTGAGGACGTTCTGCCAAGCTTGATCAGCTTCATCTGAGTCCTCGGTGAAGCATGTTCGTAAAGCCTCGTGCCGGGCGGTCACGGCATTGATAGCTCTTTCCAGGTCACCAACACGAACGTGGCCGTGCATGCGGAACTTTAAGGTGACATTGAAAGCCGTTGGATCTTCAACCAGGAGCCGTAGAAACCAGAATCGAGATTGGCCAATGGATATTGGGTGGCGTTTGACGATAGAGCTATTAGAAGCAAACTTGCTCCGAGCGAGACCTGCAAGGGATACTGTAGATGTTGGTCTAGTAACTCCAGTAGCTGGTGTTTCTATTGCCGAGATATTCTCACGCTCAGTAACACCACCTGCGGAGCTGAGTTGAGCACTGGACACAGTCGTCGAGGTAGAAGCAGCATCTGAAGATACCTGAGAATTTTCCGAGGACGCATCGCTATCGCTCCCTTTGCCAATCTGGGCGAGAAGGTCCTTTGGCAATCGTTTGATAGCCATCTCACAAACAGTGTCCAAGGAAGACCCGTCAAGGATCTTCAAAACCGGGATGTCGATCTGAAGTGACTTCAAGAACCACGAACGTACCTCAACAGCAACTAGGGAGTCGATGCCCATCTCTACCAGAGGAGCGTCTGGCGGAAATTCGTCGTCTCCACTGCCTAGAAGGACTCGCAGTTTACTAGCGGTGCACTCCTTCAACACTGCAAGTGCTTCGATCATAGTTTCCGCAGCAGCAATCTGCTCTTTTGCAGGTAGATTTGCGCCTTTGCCTCGGGAAGGGTCCCCGGCATCGTCTGCTCCGGATCTCACAACCAAATGTGAGAATATGGGATTGTTGTACCATACGATACTACGCTCTTCAGTTGTGATAGTCCTGAGGCCACTTGTCATGACTGCAGTGGAATAACCGGTAGTGGTTCGTTGCTTGTTGGTCAAATGGCCGGAGTAAATGCTTTCCATAAAAGCCGAGCGAATGTCTAGTTCGGAAAGAGGTGTAATTCCGTATTTCTGCAGCGAGTCAATGACTGACTGCCCCGCTACCTCCGCCACACCAATGCCTAGAACCAAGCCTAGATCTAGAGCAGAAGCAGCTAGACCACGACTTCGCCTTTGTCTGGCAAGTCCATTCATATAACCATTGGCAGCGACGTAGTTGGATTGTCCGGCGGTACCGATAACACATGATATGGACGAGCATAAGATGAAAAATTCGAGATCATCGTTGTAGAAGACTTGGTCGAGATTGTAAGAGCCAGTGATCTTGGGACCAAGAGCGCGGTTCATCAGCTCTGCAGACATTTTGTCGAACGGAGCATCGCTAAGAACGTTGGCTCCATTAACGATGCCACCGATGGGAAGATTAGATAACTTGATATCTTTGATCAGACTTTCCAAAGCTCCCTGGTTGGTGATGTCGACAGCCATGACCTTGACTGTTCCTGGGCTTGATTCAAAAGAGTGAAGCCATTTCTGATCAACCTTGGGATTTCGACTTGTCAAGATGACAGTGCCGGCTCCGTTTGACACCATCCATTCGCAAAGCGACTGTCCAATCTGCCCTGTGAGGCCAAAGAGAATGTAGGATTTGTCATCTGAGAAGATGTTAGAAGCTTTCAGCGGCCGAACCTCTGCAATAACATCTCCTTTGGTAGGCCAGCTAATCACGGCCGTAGCATTGTAGCTACCATGTCGTTCTCCAATGTGGTGGAGGTCAAGGATAAGGTCTCGTGAGAGTATTTCCCTTGATTTTGACGCTGCACAAGCGCGTGCGTACGCGGTCACCACAGACTCTTGTATGTTCAATGCGTGGGCTTCATCCATACAGCTTGTGTGCGAAGCTTGAAGCCTAGCAAAGTCCCGCAAGTCCATGTGCTTGCATGCAGGTCCCAAGGCTTGGGAAATCTTGAAACCGATATTTCCAGCTCCCCCTGTCCAATCCAAGAAGTGTGTGATCTTGAGAGAAGCAAGATTGCATCGCATGGTCTGGCTCGACGCATACGGACTAAATGCAAGCCAAGATGGATCAAGGTCGGGGGTTGTTGTCTCCATGCAAGAAGAGTGCACCATTACGGACTTCACGATAGCCTGCCTTTTGAGAGCAGCAGTCAATGCAAGATCATGCTCCATGCAATGGATAAGGAGCGTGCTTCCAGGACTTATACTGTCAAGTATTGATGCAGCCAAGAGCTCCGCAGTCACAGCGACTAGTAGCAGCGCATGATCTTCCATCAGTTGGTATTCTTTCGTCAATAGTACCGAACGAATTGGAGTTGTCCGGGCCGAGCAAGAGGCTGTAACACTGATGGCAAGCCCTGGTGTTTCGCCAAGCTTCCCGAGAGCAAGAAACAAGAAGGTTCCCGGGGCCAGTTGGATCGCTCTCAATGATGACGACATTACTTCCAACTGTGTGCTCCTGTCGATCTCATTGAACTCTGGCACAGTTCCGCTGGTCACCAGACGAGGCATTGAGGATGACAGATCCGGCTCGATGGAAAGATCTGAGTTTAACACTGAGACCTTGGCCTTGATGGCACGTCTTGACGAATTGATGCGGTTGTTTTGGTCCGCATGCGGTAAGATCCGTGGCAAGAAGAGCTTCCCGTGTTGTTCAAATGTTTCCGGCTCCTGTGACCAGGTTATGGGCTCATCTGCCCACTTGTCTAGGGCACACTGGCGCAAGATATGCTCAGATACTATGCGTGGTACAATCTCAGTACTGCTAGAGATGTCGAGAGTGTTGATTGAGATGTGACTTGCTTCGTTGGCAAGGGAGCGACAGAAGGCCATACTGGCAGAGTGGAAAGGCTGAATACCATCGTGGACACCGCGTGTCAGCCACAGGATCTGCTGTGCGTTGCTGAACATCCGTTTCAATCCTACCATCTTCTGTTCCGTAACGACCTTGAAGATAGGCTCGTCGATATCAATCAGATTGATAAAGGTAGACCCAGAAGCAACGTATGAAGACTCTTTCTCTCCTGGTAGACCTTCGATGATCGTTACTTCATCGCAGAAACGCCGGAGGAGATCTGCAAGCTCATCTGCCATGCGGTAGCTTTCGACACTGGTGGCACACAGTATGACTAGATTATCGATGAAAATGGGAGTAGTTGGCGCAGTGAGTGGTCGTCGAAGGAACTTGATGCGCTCGTCTACTGCCTGAGCAACCATCACAGAGAACGGCGAGCCAGTACCCTGACGGGTCATGGAATCTATTCCCCCGAATCCAGCATTTCGCGTTGCAGAATGCCATGCACCAGCTCTCATCACACGTCTCGGCTTGGGATCAGGGTTGGAGTTTACCACTCCAGGAAGAGAACCATCTCCGAGAGCAGTCTGTTCGCATAACACAAGGTATCCGCCGGGTTTGAGGAGCTGTCGGACGTTCTGCAGGTAAGCGTCCACCGAAGAAGATGTCTGCAAAACGTTGGACGCAATGATAATGTCATACGAGCTTGACTGAAATCCTTGAATGTCAAACGCCTGGTCAATGTCAAATGTCCGGAACGTAATGGAGGAATCTCTGAACTGGTCTGCTGCAGCTTGGACGGCATCTGGCGAAGTTTCCGTATATGTATATGAAGGTAAAGCTCCGCCGTGCTCTTTCAGAGCCATATATACCATAAATGGATTCTGAAGTCCATCGCCGATTTCAAGAGTCTTAGCGTGGGGGTAGCGGTAAGCAATCTGTTTGATGACAGTGGCTAGTACCGACTTCGCGTCAACATATCCAGAGTCCTCTGCAATAAGATGTTCGGTAGCGTCTGGGACTGCCAATCCAAGTCGTGTAAATGAGTACATAGATCGATCCTCGTCGGCTGTGGCTGGAGCAAAGGGTTGCAAGGCCAGCTCGTTGACTTGAATCATACACTGCTGCCCGTTCTCGCTGAGAATATCGATGTTTGCGACGAATTCATCTGACTCTTCACAAATAGCAGCGACTGGTAGCTGTGATCCAGAAATCGATAACGAGGTGCAGGCTTGAGGATCAATTCGAATGCTCTGTATGCCTGTGGGAACATGCAGTGACCAAAGCCGCCCGTCTCCAGGATAGGAATATGCAAGCATCGCCGCCTGGAAAGCAACATCTAGCATACTTGGATGTACCCAGTAAATGGTTGGTTCATTATCGGAGTAAACATGGGAGGACACCATAGCAGATGTCTGATTCAGTTTGCGCTTGATGGATGAAAGACTTCTGAAGGGGCCCGTGTAGCCATAGCCTAGTTTGGAGAAGGCGGAATATGCTAGCTGAGACTCAATGTGTGTCATGCTGTGGTCGTCTATTTCCGCCGAGAAGGGTAATATGGCAGATTCGGGGGCACCGAGGGCGATCCTAACTGTCGCACTAGCAGCCAGCTCAAGGTCGTGGTCCGATCCACTGGCTGGAGCTGAGCCAGCGAAGACTGAGAATGCAGCAGTGATTGCCTGGTCTGCTTTCCTCTCGATGGATGTCATGGTGACGAGAGTCTCCACATTTGAAGCGTCACCGCCCTCGTCGAATGTTACCGCCTTCGGTATGGAAAAGTCGTTGATCTCGACAAGCTGGACGTCATTGGAACCTGCGAGGACCCGACATGCCTCCACTGCCATCGAGACATAACCTGCAGCCGGAAACACTACCAAGCCTTGGAGTTTATGGCCTTCTAACCAGGCAATCTCAGACACGTTTAGCAAGTTCAGCCAGCGCATGTCATTGCTATTCGATTCGGGGGACATAACTCCGAGCAGCTCATGGACGGGGTGTTGACGTGATCGGATCTTCTTCGATCTTCGAGACTCGCTCCAATGTACTTTGCCATGGTCCCACTGGTAAGATGGCAGACCAGTCACTAGCTCACGGGAGTGCAATGGGGCTGAAACGCACTTGTCAAACGACGCCAGATCGACGAACTGCGATTCAAACTTGGTCCAAATCGACCCAAGGGTCTCTGAGAAGGCAACAATATCATCTCGACCGCGGCTCAGAACGCCAAAGTAAGGCGGTGCCTCCGTTCTTACGTCGCCAATGGTTTGTGAGGCAGGACCTTTGAGTGCGGGATGAGGTCCAATCTCGAGCACAACATTGATATCTGGATCGCCTGAAATGGCGTTCTTGACTGCATCAGCGAAAAGCACAGAGTTTGCCATGTTGTCCCTCCAGTACGTGTCATTCAGTATGGGGTCCTTGTCCATAGGCTTGGTGTCAGGAGTCACGCTAGAGTACCATAAGCAAATAGGCTTCTCCTGAGAAGCTTTGATGTTGACGCCACAACTCTTGAGCGCATCCACATAGCGATCTCCAGATGGTAGCATGTGATGCGAATGGTAGGCTGTGTCGACCTTCAACAGACGAGCAAATTTCTTGTCCTTATTCAAGAGTGCCTTTACCTCTTCGATGGCATCTGCATCGCCCGAGAGCGTTACACTGGAGGATGAGTTGTGTGCGGCAATGGCGAGTCTTCCATGGAAGACATCCTTGTTGACAAGTTTACGTGCTTCCGAGAAGGACAATCCAGCTGCTAGCATGGCGCCTTTTTGGCCATTCTTGATGTTGCCAGCCAGTTTTGCATAGAATCCTCGGTAGTAAGCAACTCGAATCGCGTCGTGGGCGGTGAGGATACCCGCCGCGTATGCAGCTCCGATTTCTCCAGATGAATGCCCAACGACAGATGCACAGGCGATTCCAGCTTCCCGTAATAGATCAACCAATATGATCTGGAGAGCAGTACACAAAGGCTGAGACAATGCGGCTTCTGCGATGCGTGACGTGCTCGCATCAGCCAGCATCTCCTGTCGAAGACTCCATACTGGGCGATGATCGGGCGGAAGCGACGACAATGAATCTTCTAGTTGCTGTATCTTATCGCTCACGAACTTGGACGAACGGATGAGACTAGCGCCCATAGCCGGCCATTGTGCGCCTTGGCCGGTGAAGATGCCAAGGATACGAGGTGCAACGCCCCTATTGCTTGAACGAAGACCGATTGGGGTGTCTTTGGCGCTCGCAACCTTGGCATCGATACTGTCCACAAGATATTGGATTGTAGAAGCAGGGAAAGCAACACGCGTTGATAGTTGGCTCCTCCGCGAATGCAGAGTCCATGCGAGATCGGATGCATTGTAAGGTTGATGTGTGAGCGACTCTCTGAGGATTTGCGAGTATTGTCGTAGTAGGGCGGCAAGGGATGTTTCCGTGTTCGCGGAGAACACAAAGGGACAGAAGCTGACTAATGCGCTTTCCACATCGGGTCTAGCCGGAGGTGTGTACGCCTCGACAATGGCATGCGCATTTGCACCTCCAAATCCTTCAAAGTTTTTGATTAGCGTTTTAGCTCCATTGAAGAAGATATCGACTTACCAAAGCTGTTGACGCTGGCTCGGCGGGGAACGCCCTCAGTTAGCTTCGGCCATGACGTCAGATCAGTCGGCACTTTCAAGTTCCGATAGAAAAGCTCAATCTTGGGGTTCAGTCGCTCAAAGGACAGGTTGGCGGGAATAAACCCATTCTGCACACTTGCTGAAGCCTTGAGCAGCCCTGCTAATCCTGCAGCCCCTTCCAAATGACCGATGACGGTTTTGATGGATCCAACAAACAGAGGCGCGTCACTCGAGTCCATATGCCGCCCGAAAACATCGTGGATAGCAGCAGCCTCCTTGGGATCTCCTGCTTGTGTGCCGGTTCCGTGAGCTTCGAAATACTGCGGTCGGTCGGTAGCATTATGCTCGGGATCCAGGCCTGCTTTGCGATAGGTCTGACGTATGAGCGCGGCCTGTGCTTCTGAATTGGGAACTGTTAAACCGTTGGAGAAGCCATCCTGATTTGTGCCAGTTTCGCGTATGATGCATTCGATGTGGTCGCCGTCAGCGATGGCGTCTGATAGCCGCTTCATTACAACAGCCGCGACACCCTCGCCGCGGGCGTATCCGTCCGCATTAATGTCCCACATCCTCGAGCGACCGTTTGGAGAGAGCATGCGTAGATTACTCTCGCCAATGTACATGTCGTAGCCTAGGAGCATTTGAGTTCCACAGGCTACTGACACCCGGGACTCGCCACTGCGTAATGCTTGCACGCCCTGGTGCACCGCAATCAAGCTCGATGAGCAAGCTGTATCGATGGTCATGCTTGGTCCATGCCAATCAAAGAAGTACGAGACTCTATTTGAGATAATGGCCCTGTTGATGCCAGTCGCGAAGTACTTTGGGATGGTGTTGTGATCTCGTGTAAGGGTGTCAAGGTAGTCCAGTGCTACGAGCAGACTGTGTTAGCCACGCATCTACACTGACTAGATCGAAACGATAGGGCAGGTAAGGCACTTACTCATCGTTCCCACATACACTGAGGTGTCAGAGCCACGGAGCCTTTCCAAACTATGCCCGCCAGCTTCCAATGCTTCATACACTGTTTCCAGTAGAATGCGTTGCTGTGGGTCGATCGATTCAGCCTCGTGTGCGTTGATATTGAAGAACGCCGCATCGAACAGTCGAATATCCTCATCAAGGAAGTATGAATGCCGAACATTTGTGGTACCGTGCCGCTGGCCATCTGGATGATAAAATCCGGTTGTACTGAATCGGTCGATAGGGATTTCTCGACAGAGATCAGGTGCAGTCTGGAGTAGTTTCCATAGCGACGAAGCTGAACTGGCGCCACCTGGAAATCGACAACCACTGCCTACAATGGCTATAGGCTCAGGGGTGGTCGGTATATCTCGGCCGTTGGTCGTCATTGTGGCTGGCGTCTTCGTAATGCCACAGAATGTTGAATTGGAAAGAGATACTAAGGTTGTTCGCGTAAATTATATCGTCGAAACCGTTGTGCAAAACGTTTACTTTCTTTTACAGGTGGCTATAACCTATACATTAGGTTGGACTTGGCATTTGCCATTTGGCTATAACAGCCTTCCCTTTTCACTCACCCTGGCAGTAGTAGGCGTCTTGTTCCAGGATAATCTGAGGCCAATCTCTTCCAATCCACATGCTGAGTATGTCGCCGATAGTCAGCTTAGCGTTATGAGGTTCGGTGTGGTTTCACACTTGCATTTCACCGGGTATCCACCGAATTAGCTGATCAGCCACAGTCATCATACCATGACTCCGGTCTCCAAGTGAGCAACACCGAAGGGTGGGCCCCTTGACCGTCCCGAAGTCGGAGATGGCGATTAATTGCTCCTCTAGGTATATGCACGCCAAAAATAATCACATGTTCGTTCACGTATCCAAACAAGGTTGAGCACCTCCAGCGATCCCAACACATTCGTGATTAGAAGACCCATCTGCCCCGTGGAAAAATCACGGAGAACATGCTCGATTATCTCGAGACATAATAACGCCAGAACTGGTCCATGCTCTATCTTCCCACTTATAGTGTCTAATCCACTAAGCTTTACAGAGTCTTCCATCAGCAGCAACCTTCCATTCTTCACTCCCCACTGCTATCGAGTTCCAGAAGAGACCCTTTGGGTCATACCTCATCTTGACTTGCTCTAACCTTGCGTAATTACTTCCATAAAAGATGTTCTGCCAGTTCGGTTGTTGATAATCGGCCTCATTGATGTACGCTCCTGCATCTGGAGTGACCGCCTCAATCGCTGGCATGATATCCTGCGTGATGCGGTCTTGCTGGACCTGCATATTTGCAAACGGTACATCGAAACTGTACGGGAGCGAATACGATGACATGACCACAGCGTGACGCCATTGCGGATGGACCGCTCGTGTGGCACTTGCGAAACGCGACACATTCATTGATTGACCGATGAACATGCCTCCTTTTGAGAGTACCGAGGCATTGATAGCAGTCCCAACGCCCTGCAGGGCGTCTCTTAGGAGGAAACGACCGCCGATCAAGTCACTTCCAGCAGTGCCGAAGAGGCCCTCGGGCAAGGGCCCGAAATAGTAAAGGTAATGGTCGTGATAGGAGCCAAAGGTGGTGTAGTTCGGCTTCAGACTAATGTTTTCGCCGGCCAAAGACGCGATGAACGGCGAAAGCGCTATTTCTAGGTCCTGGATGGTCCGGTTGAATCCAGTCAGAGACTGCAGTACGAACGTCGTATTTTTGGCATAGTAGGTGGCCATGTTGCCACCTTCGAGAATCGCTGGCAAGGCCTTGTGCCATAGATTCAGGACCTGCGAAGGATCCAAGCTGGACGCTTCTACGGCAAAGCTAGCTCCACTGGTCTGCGCATCAGGGTGAACTTTGAGGGTCACAGATACCACGATCCCGTAGTTGCCAGCCCCTGATCCGCTCAGTGCCCAGAAGAGATCTGCATTCGCGGCAGGACTAGCTGTTACAATTTCGCCGTTTGCGGTAACAACATTGAACGCCAGGGTCTGGTCAGCCCCAAGACCAAAGCTGGTCGCCAGAGGCGAGTGACCTCCGCTCTGAATGTAGCCGCCAGCGATGCCAACCGTAGGACATTCTCCGGTTACGCCTACAAGACCAGCAGTATTGATTGCGTCCTGTAACTCAGAGCCCTGGACCCCGGCTCCGATAGTTATAGCCTTTCCAGTGTACTCATCGTCCTCCCAATCAACGATCTTGGTTTCCTTGAGAAAATGCGTCCAGATCGCCAGTCCGCCAGCTCCAGTCGATCGACCCACATAGTCGTGTGCGGTATTTCGAATCACCAGTCTTATGTTGTATTTTTCTGCGAACAAGATTGTGGCAGCGACATCGTTAGCCCCAGCCACTTTGACAGCGTAGTACACGTAGTTTCCCATAAGACATGGCTTTTCCGTGGGCGTAAAAGGGTCGCAGCTCGCGTTGGCAAATATGGGTGCCTGGATGGATGAGGAGGAATTGATGCTGTGCAACGTTTAGTGCCTGACCCAAATCTACACGCTTCGGCGTACACTCACTGAACCGTTGGCTTCTTCCAAACTGACGCCAAAGCCTTGCATTCAGCCTCATCATACTCAAGGCCATGGCATAAATATCCTAGTGGAACAGTCTTGATGAGACGTCCACTCACCGTCTTGTTCAGATCTGACCATTGTTCGTCTGACGGCCAACACGCGTCGCCTGGGAAGCATCTGCATGTCTCTGGCTCAACAAGACCATACACCAGTGACGAGACCAGAAGAAACAAAATTTTAATAAGCTCCATGATAGCTGAACTCTCACGGAATCTCTTGCGATACGAAAATGTTACTGTCTACGTTGGAACTCAACGTTTTTGCGACACAACGCTGCGCCGAGTCTGCCGAGTCAGTTGCCACTGACCGTCACCGTGGATTCATGACTCGCATACAGATGCCAAAAGGAGGAAATGACAAGGGCCCTGTGTACGGGGACAAGTTGGATCGTATGTTCCGAAAAACTCGCTTACTCTAGTAATAGTCGCCGAAGATTAGTCGAGCGGGGGGACATGCAGTAAAACACCGAAGTAAGCAGCACGCTAAGAGCCCAGTATCACATGCAACCGCGACATACCATTGGTATCAAAGTATGACTGTAGGTTAATGAAGATAGTCGTTCGAGTCTGTATGGCCCAGGTACTGCGCGCAATGAAATGGAGCACAGCCATCCTTTTCTTCATTAGATTTCCAGTTTGCACGATAGATCGACTAAGCACTTGAGCGCTGGTGCGTCATCAATCACCCCAAAATGTTCGCCTTGATGAATGCAGTCTACCTGCTCAGCTTCGCGAGTTTATACTGTCTTTTCCACTTTCGAGGTAAACAGGTTTTCGAAGTGAGTGGTCTACCAAGTACCACTGCAAACAACTTTACTAAACCATCGTCGTCACAAGACTTTCGTATCCTTGCTATTACCAAGAATCAATTCCGGTGTGTTACGTGCTGGCAAGCAAATATCAGGACCAAAGTGGCAGTACCCAAACGGCTCCGTCGTCGACCGCTTCCTGAACGGCCGCGAAGTCTCAGAGAAATGGCAAAATCAGTACGGTCCGGTATATCTCGTCTGGTCTGGCCCTCATCCAGAGATGTAAGTTGACGATCTACTGTGTACCCCCGTAGCTTTATGAACTAATTCGGTAAGTGTCATCACCACACCTGAAGACCTCAAGCACTTTAGTTCGGATGCCAACGACCACCCCAAGACTCCAAACGTGAATCTAGGATGGTTCGTGGAGAAACTGTTGGGTCAAGCCATGGGCCTTTTGTACGGTGCAGACTGGAAACGTTTGCGCAAGATCTTTGACCCAGCTTTCACACACGCTGCAGCGGTAACACGAATTGATGGCGTAGTGTTCGCCGCGCGCAAGTATGTTGAAGATCTACCCCAGCTGGCAATTGAAGGTACAAGTCAGGATAGCGACTCATACACCATCCCCGTCCAAAAAGCCTTCACCAAGTTCCCCTACTTCCTCACTGCCAAGGCTATCTATGGCACCATGACCCAAGACGAAGAAGACGAGCTGTGGCGCATAACCGAGAAACGCATCTCATTGAACCAATACTGGGTCGGCGGAGGAATCTACCGTTTTGAAACCCTTGCGCGCTTCCGCGACCGACCTGCCGTCCGCCGCCTCGATGAGTTTCTCCACGAGTGGCATAATTATAACACTCGCATGGTATCTACACGGAAGCAACGCGGTGACCGACCGCCTATCATCACATACTGGGACGAATTGGAGGCTGGTAACATTTCTTCTGTTGAGGTGAGGCCAACCCCACTTGCAATCAACACTGCGGCCAGCGGATACTGACAGTAGATTACACAGCTACTCCAAACACTTGATGAGCTCCTCATGCTCAACCTCGATGTCATCACACACGTTACAACATGGTTCATCACCCTTGTCGCCAGTCACGAGGCCGTTAAACGCGGATTGCGCGAGGAAATCGCTGCGAATAGAGAGAACCTACACGACTACATTGCATCGACGAGCACGCATTTGCATCGCAGTTTTATTGAGTCAATGCGTATCCGGCCTTTTGGTGGTGAGTTTATCTATTCATCCGTCTATACCCAGAGTGGGGCATAAGATCACGTGACTAACTCCTCACTCTAGTCTTCACAATCGGCGAATCTTCGGCAAGCACGAAAAACTTCCATGGCGTGCTGGTTAAGCCGAATGTATGTTATCGCCGTCTGTATCACATACGCTGCATAGTGCTGACTTATGCTTTACAGACGCAGATCCTTGTAGACGTTCTCGCCATTAATGTCAGAAACCCCTTCTGGGGCAGGAACAGTGAGGCGTATGATCCGGATCGGCTCAAGGACATCAAGCCTTCTAATGTAAGAGAACACTAATCACACCGATAATCATGGACTAATGATATGGCGCAGCTTCGATACAATCTGCACTCTTTCGGCATCGGCAGTCGCAAATGCATGGGGCAATTCGTGGCAGGACATATTGTCAAGTCTCTGGTTGTGCATTTGTTCGATCGGTTCGAGGTGGAGCCTGTGAGGGAGGGAGAGACTGAGAAGGCGGATGCGGGTGCAGATATGGGAAGCTGGACTCCGAAATCGGATGCGCTATTGAGGTTGTGGAGGAGGGAGGGTGTGCTTTAGGCAGATTGTGAACACCGAGGATCTCTCACACTAGGGTCAAGTGCGAGGCAAAATCGAGGCAAAATCATGACGCTATATCTATCTCTCATTCTAACTTTCTATCTTTCCGGCTTCACCAATATCACATGATCACCTAGGACCATTCGGGGTATTCTATAGGGGTACGTCACCCAGCGAAGGTTATGAACGCTCCACTTTTCACCGTATATCTCGCAATCAGCTCTTCAGGTCAGTCGACCATGCCTAAGCATTTCTGTAGCTGTTTCAGCCGCTGCTCCAGCTCCAGCTTTAGCTTTCCAACCGCGTCCCAGCAAGAGTTGCCCCCTGATAACTCGGAAGACGAGATATGGCTTGGCATAAGCAGCTCCGACACCTCAATCTGTCGGCGCATGAAGGATGAACACATCTGGACCATGCCAACAAATTGAAGTTTGATGCAGTCTGTTGTATTCCATGTGCAGACCGAGTTGGTAGAGCGGCGAGGTTGCGTTTGTGCACAGGCCCATTGGTATGCTTTGAGTGCTTCGGCGCTGTGTTGGAGTGAAACAACGATTCCGATATATGTGTTAAGGAGTAGTGTCACACAGACGACGACGAGATATCGGACTGTGGAGTATGTGTGTCGGCTGCTTTCCGAAAGTGTTTCCGGGGGCGTATCTCGGGTGGATGGAGGTGGAGTCGTTTCAGGCGTCGTGATGATTCGTAGTCGTTGGATGATTCGTGTCATCTCGAAAGAAGCGGAGAGGATCTGGCTCATGAGTTGAGGCTGGCTGGACGGACAGGTGTCATTCTGGTCTACCGGCACAGTGTGGAGATGAGCTGAGCCGCGGGCTAGCCAAACGTTTATTGAATCAAAGAGAGCACTGATGTTGCTCTGCAGCTGCTGGAGAGCTGTGTTGTCATCGGAACAAAAGGCAGACTCGTCACCGTTTATCAAAGGGTACTCTCTTGACGAGCTAAGAAGGCTTGATAAGCGAGCACTAAGCTGAGACAAGTGTAAGATGCTCTGATCGAGATGGCCTTGCTCCTGTGGGCTGCTGTCACTGTCATTGTTCTGCATCCCTGTCTCGGCGGGGGGAGGTGCTTGATTTGCGTTACAACTTCGAAGTTGCTGCCGTTGTTGTTGCCGTTGTTCCTCTGGTTGTGAATTGGACTCAAGGTTGTCGAAAAATTTGATATTACTATATCGTTGGCTAGACTGTCCGGTATGCGTCCCTTGAGTCCCTGGAGAGATATTTTGGGTAGGCGAAGTAGGGTCGAAAGTCATATCAATGTCTGAAATGATGCCAGCGATTGTGGTGTCGTCCTCTTCAGCCTGCATAAACTGAGCCCAAAAATCAGGAGATCCGCTATCCGAAATCGTCACAGGCACACATTCGCCCATAATTCCCGTTGAGACTGTGGTACACGGCATCGTACGTTGATCTGACATCCCAACTCGATCAACAGAAGGCATCGGAGCCCACTCGATGCTAGTATAGCCCGGCTCGGGCGACCCATTATCCGGACGGTACGTGGAGGGCCGGCCCTTGGGGAGACTTGAGCTATAGATACATTTGGCGCCTTTGCGGAGGCACCTTTCGCAGGAATCCGTCTCGCTATTGTCTGGTCGTTTGCAACGTAATTTCTGCTTGTGACATCGATCACATGATTGGCGAGTAGGCGGCAAAACGCTCATGCTTGGCCCTGGTCCCATCGCCTCGGTAAAGTCGATGACAAAACTAGTTCTCCCTCTTTTGATTGCGCTGAAGGTGTCGCTGAGACCTGACAGAAGCAATTCGGCTAAGTTCTTAAGTTGCGGACCTGAACTCGTTATGACTGCGATATGCGTCAAGGCGACCGCAGCATTGCAACATCACATCGACCTGCAGGCTACTCAAGCCACTCGTGTATGCTGACATCAGGTCATTGGTGGAGTGGTAGCCCTCTCGCTACAAGCGGCTGACAGAATCTCCACTTATTGTCAGCATTTAGCAGTTTATTCAGCTGGAGCTTACCCGTGACAGAACACTCGCGTCTGCGGCATGCGGGCGGGCGGACGGGCGGGCGGGCAGATCATCGTGGGAGGAGAATAGTTCTTTTTTTCAGTTTTTGTTTATCATACAAAGACGTTTGGTGTAACCTCACGTCGCGTCGAAAAGGGACGGCCCGCGACGCGTTGGAGGGGCAGGCACGACTGCATGGAATTGTAATTACTCGTATCGACGATTGGTAGGCTGGCACAGGTTAAAGTGATTGTTAGTGTTAGATGGCGTGTGCAACTGCGAGATCTTCAGCAGTTTTCCGGGGTTACAATTTGTTCCGCCCGAAGGATTCAGGTGAGGCGACCACGGTTGCCCCTCGCGCGGCACCGCGCCACGCACGTCAGGCTAACTTGACCGCGTGCTTGTCACGGTCAAGCTCTCGACCCCGCGTCAAACTTAACTGCTCCTCCTATCTGAAAAAGGGTGGTTGCAGCTGGAGGAAGATCACATCATTCCCAAGGCCTACGCGCGATTGGGATTGTGGCCAGTGCACAAGCCAGCTTTCTCCCTCCTGAGTGCCTTCTGCCGAGCTGTTCAGGCTTACAACGGCGTTGGGCGAATACTAATTTAGTTTTCGTGATCAAGACGCTTACCCTTGCGAGGATTCGTGAGCATTTGCAACCTTGATTGTGAAATCAGCTCACAACATATCCAAGATATGATGGGTTGTCAAGGCCTCCCACGTGACCTACGGAGTTACAAACATTCCGCCCTTTGTCTCTTCCCACTACTGCACCAACCATTTCACGGTATTCGAAACTTGAGGGGGATAACCTTGCTTCCGGTACTTTCGATTTGTCCCAGATCATATTCGTCGGGGAATAACGGACTCGCATTCTCGCTTGCAAATTGAGACACGATGGCGGATCAGGTGCATGTGCTCTGGTGCGGCCAGTGCAACAAGCCTTTCACTAAGCGTCAGTACCTTCGCCAAGAGGATTTCTCCATAGGCCGACATCAGATTAATCGTTTCTGTAGAGTCGGCATTGAAACGTCATGGATACTATTGTCGGTCCAACACAAGAGCATCAGTCCCGAGACGGCGATCTTGTGTAGCCTGCGCACAGGCCAAGACTGGCTGTGACAACGCGCTGCCTGCATGTTCACGCTGCGCTCTAAAGGGTATCACGTGCCAATATCCTTCCAAGTCTGCGGCCAAGCGACGCGATGCTGTAGAAACACGTCGGGTCGTTTCTAAAGACCTGCATAATCTGAAACACAATCAGGCGAACACAGCTATGACAGCAGTGACAGAGCAGGCTCCCGATGTTGAGATGATATCGGCCAGCGATGCTCCCATGCTCTTCACTGATATGCAATGGAACTTCGACGATATGACTGCGCTTGGCGATTTCATGAACTCCACACCACAAACATTTCTTTCGACTACACCATCGTCTTCACCAGCATCAACTGACCCCACCACCGTTTCTCCGCCTGCGTTGCTTCCAGAAACAACAGATGCAGAGTTCCAGGGACGAGCTCAACTTGCTTATCCGCAACAGCAACAAAGCCCCAATTCACACCTGCTGGACTTCTCCATCACACTGGCCCCCAGTTCGAATGTCCGATCGATGATGCCAAGACCGAAGATGCATCCCGGAGCGGACAGAGCCGCAAGCCTGGTTTTCTTCACGTTGAAGTCTTACCCATTGATGCTGCGTCAAAGTACTCTCCCACCCTTTATACACCCGAGCTACGTGTCGTTCACGAAGGAAGGCACAACGACAGAACCACTGGAGAATTGCATTACATTGATGCACATGATGGCAAGTGGAGTTCAAGGAAGCCGCAAGCTATTTTGGCGAAATGTGCGGCAAGAGTGCGAACGCATCTGCGACCAGAACCAGTCGCTGAACAAATGGGAACTGCTTGGCGCCATGCAAGCTCTCTCAATCTATGTCTTGATCCGTCTAGATGAAGGCGAGACTGAGCATAACAATTTTGACTATCTTCTCGAGAGGGCTGTCATTGTAGGTTTCCTCCGCCGCGTTTCTGAACCGCATGTCTAACGATCTTCACTCTAGCTCATCGCAATGCAACTTTCTCACGACGATTTTGACTGTCAGACTCATCACGTATCATGTAGTAGCAAGTCTGAGAGTGACTGGCAGGACTGGGTTTATAAAGAGTCACGGCGAAGGTATACTAGATATCTATCCTACTGTTTCGACGTTCTGCCTGCTAACATCACGTAGACTCGCAGTCATATATCGAATTCTCAACAAGCTCATCTTCTTCGGTCCAGCAGCCATGTGTGATATGCCTGCCGAGTTTGTGATTGCGCCTTTGCCCGCAAAACGGCAGCTCTGGGAGGCAAAAAATGCAGAAGAGTGGAAGCTCGAAAGCCAAAAAGAGCCACGCGAACAAGTATCATACGCACTAGCCGTGGATGGTGAGATCGTCAAGCTGGATCAGCGCCGGTTGTCCTGCCGCGATGCGTGGTTACCATATACTCCGTCCGATGAATACAGGAATCTACAGAACCTTCAAAATAGGAATAGCAATAGTGCCGCTTGGTGGGCGGAATGGTGCTCTGGCATGGACAGCATGGGTGGGCTGATATTGCTTGCGGCCTCGATGGCTTAGCGTCAGAGATGGATGAGTAGAACCGCTCCATGGACACTGCCCTCGCTTCCTTCGCACGATGATGCGTCCCGCTGGACTTGCTCAATCAAGGTAATAAGCCGAAGAAAAAGAGGGCGTATGATTAAGACGCATTTGATGCTGTAGGTAGTCATCAAGTATTCACGTGTTTCCAACATAAGCAGGCACTCCTCAGCCCAGTGCTTACGCGCCACATGTGTCCATTGCCACCAAATGTCTCACTGAGACTAAGTTACTAGGGGACATCACTGGACACATCCACGGGAACCGAGGCAAGAAGACTGCGCTGCTAGATGGACACGGCTCGCTAGGTTTTGCAACAAGTCAGAAATATCACCGAATAGGCTGGCCGTAGCACGCCTGAGCCGTGTGGCTTGCGCATGGCTTGAGCACTCCTATCGCGCGGTTTGCTGGGTTATAGATTCCTAAGATTCCCCCAAGAGCTCAAATAGGGTCGTATTCGTGTGTCAACGTCGGAGTTTTATATATCCCAGAGCACATTTGATACGCAACAAATTATTTTTAAGGGGCTGCTTCTTTCCTCGTCCCAAACTACTCGAAAACAGCTCAAACAAAGACCAATACGCACTTAAGATGTACGGAATCTTCTCCTTGCTATCTTTTTTGTCGGTTGTCGTTGCCGCACATGGCAGATTTGACAGGAGGCACACTTCAAACAAGACCTGCAAGGCTGTAAGTTCAAACCAAACCGTGTCAAAACCTGTTTTTGAGGTCTGATTAGATGTTTTCTTAGGTGCCCGGCGATCTTACTTGGCCATCCGAAAATACCTGGAAGGCTCTCAGTCGTCAAGTTAGTGGTCGGTTGATCAAAACCACGCCTATCGCAAAGTCCTGCTATCCTGGATCTGGTTATGACTCGGTAGAATGCGATAATGTCGTTGAAGAATGGCCAATCCTTGACTTCACGACGACCAATGTGATTGGAAGATCTTTGCCGTACTATATCGCCTGCCCGCCAATCAACTACACGGCAGGGGAAGTGCCAGTCCGACAATGCTCCCTGGGCATCAACCCTGCCATGGCTGTAAATGCAACCACTCGATCGGATATCAGTGCTACAGTTCAGTTCGCTCGTGAGAACAATGTTCGACTTGTCACCACCGCCACAGGGCACGACTTGCTTGGCAGATCAGACGGATTTGGCTCCCTTGAGCTTTGGCTGCGAGTACGTATGCAAACGTACACCGGAAATGGCACAAGCTAACTATAAATAGTATTATCGGAATAAAATCATCTTCCAGAAGGTGTACGAGCCCACCAAGGCCTGCACTAACTCGTCGTGGAAAGGCAGCGTTATGTTCATCGATGGAGTTTACCAATGGCGCGATGTGTCCGCAGTTGCCAAAGCCAACAACGTCTTCGTCGCTACAGGTGGTACTCCTTCGGTCGGGGCTATTGGTGGGTGGTCTCAAGGAGGTGGCCATGGTCCAGCAACGACTTATGTCGGTTGGGGTGTTGATCAGGTTCTCGAAGCCGAGGTTATGCTCGCCAACGGACAGGTCGTGACCGCCAACTCGTGTCAAAACACTGATTTATATCGCTCGCTTAGAGGAGGTGGGCCTGGTTTTGGAGTTGTCCTTTCCATGACTGTCAAGGCTCATGCGAATGTTCCGGTCATCGCTGTGCACCATCTGACTATGGTGCCGGGCAATAACGCCAACGATACCTCAGACCTGCTCGATGCTGTCACAAAATTATTACAGAGAACTTCAGACCTCACGGACGCTGGAGTTGGTGGATACGGGTTCTGGTTCAATCACTACGACAAGATCGCTGTCAACAACTCCACATCGGGGTACAGGCACCAAGTCTGGACCATCGGCAAAGACGAATCCTACGCTAGATCCGTCTTAGATCCCCTTGTAAAAGAACTCCAGCAAAATGGCAGCTCAAGCGTTCAGATTCATTCTGACTATGTCACATACAATGATTACTGGTCATTCTACGAGAAGGAAATGGCGTTTGAAGGGCCCCAAGGCAAGACCACTATCATGACGTCCCGCGCAATCAACCGCGACCAGACAACCGACTTTGCTTCTCTCCGCAGAGTAGTAGGAACCATCAGCGATGCTCCAGGACAGGACAACAGCAACTGTATTCTTTTTGCTGGCGGCGAAAAGGTCGCGTCAGACGGCAATGACCCCTTCGCAGGCTACCATCCAGCTTGGCGCAAAGCCTCCTTTGGCGTCGTCACTATCCGCGTCCTTCCGCACAATATTACCGACATAGAACGTGCGGCCGTTGAGAAGGACATTCTTTCCAAAACTTCGGCTATGGAAGCTTTTGCACCGGGCACAGGGGCATACATGAATGAGGCTGACCGATTGGACCCGAACTATATCGAGAATTTCTACGGAGCAAACTACCAACGCCATTTGAGGACCAAGAAGAAGTATGACCCGGAGAACCTGTTTTACTGTGGGACTTGTGTGGGGGCCGAGGAGTGGGTTGAGCGTAAAGATGGACCTTTGTGCAGGAAGGTGTGAAGAAGATGTGTATAGACTGTTGTGTAGAAGATGTGGCTCTCAAGAGCGTCCCTTCATTTGGAGATGATAGATAAGAGCAATGCGATATCTTGCATTACATTCTTGACGGCCGAAGGTTGGGTGTGACAAACTTCGGCGACTTTTGTTCCGAAAGAGGAACAGATCAACACTCAAGTCAACTCCTATTAGCTGACTGATTGGTCTACGAACTCCGACGTTAGACGTCCGTGAACGCTTGAAGAAATCATCGCGTGATATTGTTCCCTCAACAAGCCTTTAACCTGTCGCAAACAATCTGTTTTCGACAGATGCACCGCAAAATGTTCACATTACTGAATCGCGTCTTCACCTCTTTCAGCCCACCAAAGGCGGAAAAGAAGGATGGAGCAATCAGATTTGGCATCCTGGGAGCCTCCAAGATCGCGTATGTAACCACCTTGATACCAAAGATACGCAACTAATAAATGATCAGACCAATGGCACTGATCACTCCAGCCACTTCACACTCAGAGGTCATCATCCAAGCTATCGCAGCCAGAGATCGCAGTCGTGCCGAGGAGTTCGCCAAAAAACATGGCATCCCCGAAGTGAAGGAAACCTACGAAGGTACCTGACCACCCGATCGCCTACCCACTCACCCAGAAAGATTTAACAGCGAACAGACCTTTTCTCCGACCCAAACATCGATGCAGTGTTCATCCCCCTCCCCAATGGCCTGCACTACGAATGGTCCGTCAAAGCGATCCGAGCCGGCAAACATGTCCTTGTCGAAAAGCCGTCAACCTCCACCTCCGCCGAAGCAGAAATACTCTTCAACCTGCCCGAGCTCTCCCTTCCCAACGCCCCCATCATCCTCGAAGCTTTCCACAACCGCTTCCACCCCGCCGTGCAAAAGTTCCTGTCTTTCGTTTCTTCTCCCGACGTCGTGCACGTATACACAGATAACATGGTACCGTGGTGGTTCACGAAAAAGACGGATCTCGAGTACAACTACCAGCTAGGCGGGGGTAGCATAATGGCGCTTGGCACCTACAACTTCGCCCTCATGCGTATGGCTTTTGGTGAGGAGCCAGTGGAGTGTTTATCTTGTGAGACAAAGATTTTCGCTGATGGGGAACACGATCGATGTGACCATACTTTCGAGGCGCAGTTCCGATTTCCAAACGGTATTGGTGAGGCGAAGACGACACTGCAGGGTCCGTTGTGGTGGAAGCCATCGGAATGTCGGGTTACGCATAGGGAGGTTGTTGTGCTGGAGAAGGGTTTGGAGGATGGGCTGGAGAAGGTTATGACTAGGGTTGTTACGCTACATGGGTGTATGCACGCTGTACTTTGGCATCGCATTGATGTGAGGGATGAGTATCGAATGAGGGTGAAGGAGACGGGGGAGGTGGTGAAGAGGTGGAAGGAAGAGAAGTTGCACAAGGCTTATACTCATAGGGAAGCGGGTGGGGATCAGGCTGAGCGACAGGGCGAGGATTGGTGGATGTCATATCGGTATCAGCTTGAGGCGTTTGTGGATCGTGTAAAAGGGAGGGGAGTACCGTATTGGGTCACGGGAGAGGATTCGACCAAGCAGATGAGGATGGTTGATATGGCTTATGAGAAGAGTGGGTTAGGTTTGAGGCCGACCAGTGAGTTTCGTTAGGATGGAGTAGGCATTTGTGGTACGTGGGACTCAGGGCAATGATAGGGATATTCATATCATGCATATGGGGGCTTATATCATGGAGACTTGATGATTCTTGCATTATACAGATCTAGATAGCTTTCCTCAAATGTCACAGGTTGTCCAACTCTCCCTCGGTCTTTCATCCATTTGTCTACCGTATCCACCCCATCCCCACATTCAACGACTTTTCTTCGCCCCCTCAGGAATCGGTCCAGCCTGCTAAAGATCAGCACACACTCCCCTCCGCAGACTCCAAGGAACGAAAAACCGCTCACAGCAAAAATATTCAACGTAACCCCCGACCCTGCCCCATCCGCAAAGCTCGCCGAACTAACAAGCACAAGCTTATTCAACCACTCCAACCCCACTGCCCCCGTCTCAAAAGTCACAGCCCCATAGATCGTATCTCCAGTTTGATATCCATTATCGCGAAAAATGATATTCGCCCCATCATTTGTCTGCAAAATCGCAGTGCCGCCGGGGTAAAACTTGCCGTCGGAAGTCACTATACCGGCGTCTACGCCAACGGGTGCGAGAGTTCCGTTGAAGAAGGGGCCCCAGAAGATGCCACCGGCGATGGGAAGCGCGGTGCGTATGCCGAGTCCGGGGACGGGGCCTATGATGATTGGGGTACCCGGAGTTACGTTTGCGGAGAGTATCCAGTTGAACTCTGGGCTTGGAGGGGCTTGGGCGAGGCTAAAAGCTGCGGTGGCTAAGAAGAAGAGGGGATTTGAGAGGTACTTCATGCTGAGGATGGTAATCGGGGTGTGTTTCGTGGCTGCGGGGACAGGCAGTGTTTGATGAGACGGCGTTTGCAACGTTGGTGGATGCTAGCTCTAAGCTTCTCTCGTCAATTGCACAAGCGCTTAGGTTCGCATGTATTTCAGCTGCTCTCTTTACATGTGCTGAAGCTTGATTGGGTCGGAACGAATGTCGTGGGCCTTCGCTAGATCTTTACCCCATTTAATATCACCGACTGTCGGCGATTTCTGCTGGTTTTGTGTTAGGTACTTGGCTTGTCGAGGAAATTTGCCCCATCAGGAAGGCCACAAGATCTACCGATCTCGGTGCAGTCGCTCAGCGTCTTGCCACGTTTTGGCGTAGAGAATGACGCACCACGTAGGTATCCTCCATAACCGCCCCATCACTTTTCGAGAAGAGAATGCACGCTTTTGACATACAGGTTGCAACAGGTTGGATTGCTCATTGCTGTGGTCGCTACTGTTCATGACATTTCAAGCTTTCTGCATAGTAAACTCGCATCAGAGTCTCTTGTGTATTATACAATATATAATTATTCAGTCTCGGCAACATGCCTTTGACGTAGCTTGGACAAAGTCTAAACTTTACTGCCCTCATCGCTCATGTCTATTTCGTTGTTGTCCCTTGCTGTTCAGTGTCTGTAGGTTCTGCGGGCCTGTGTGTGGCTAGTTGCTCCCATGGCACGAACCATGTTGCAACGAATGCAAGGCCACAAAACGCGATAGAGACGGCGAATGCAGCCTTCAGACCGTGCATATATGCTTCGATGACAATAGGTATCTCGGCCTGTGTGAAAACTTTGCGCAGTTCCGAAGCTCCGGTGGTGAGGAGTTTCGACGAATCAATCTCAGGAGCCGTTGTCCGGAGGTTGTCGAGCGCTTGATTGATGAAGGCGGCCTGTGCTGACGAGACAGTGAAAGCACCGCCAACGGTCTGGAAAACTGAACAATAATTAGTCTCGGAATATTGAGTGTTGCTACATAGAGTCCTTACAGTAGAGATTAGCAGTGACTGCCGGAAGGTCCTCCGGATCCACGCTGGATTGTGCGATGTTGAGACCGTTCTGCACCGAAAAGGCGATTGCTGAACCGACTAGGATCTGGTAGCCAATCCATTTGGTGGCAGGTGTATCGACCTCTAACGTGTATAGCAGACCGCAACCTACAGTGCCAAGTAAGGCCCCGACGAACATGGCTGGTGTGGGATGTCCCGTCTTGGAGACGAAAATACCTCCCAGCACGCAGAACACTGCAACTGCAGCGACGATTGGCAGATTGTCGATTCCAGATTGGATCGCCGAGGCCCCCTTGACTGATTGGAAGTATATGGGGAGATAGTAGAGGAGAAGAATTAAGTCGCCGAGGAAGAAGAATTGGTAGGGGCATATGGACCAAAGTGCGCGTTTCTTGAATAGTCGAGGAATCAGCATCGCATACTCGTCTTGGTAGATAGACCACCCGACCAGCGCGGCGACTAAGACGACAAATCCGAAGAGTAAGCCGATCACTTGACTGCTGTCCCACGCGTACCGGGTTCCAGCATACTGAAGACCGAGAATGAAGCAGATGATAGCTGCCATGGTAAGACTAATTCCGATAGGATCCAAATGAAGAAGCTTCCGGCTTAATGGTATGGGAGCTGGGCGAGCTGCAGCAGGTAGCGCGAAGAAGAAGACAACGATTGCAATCGCAATCCCACCGATAGGGAGATTGATGTAGAAACACCAACGCCACCTGACCTGTTAGTGAACTGGCTTGTAGATGCAGCATGTGTATCTCAGAAGTACTTACGAGACATGATCGGTGAAGACACCACCGATGATAGGCCCAAGAACAGAGGACAGCCCATAGGTTAGACCTATGATACCCATGACAATGGGTCGCTGTTTCGGGGGAGTACTGAACGCGACGATACTTGTACCTCCAACTGATATGCCCGCCGCTCCCACTCCAGCTATTGCGCGACCAACTATCAACGTTTTCGAGTTGGGCGCAAGCGCGCAGATCAGGCTACCAATCTCAAATATGAACAAGGTCAAGACGAACGTCCACTTGATGTCGAAGTATTTGAACGCCTTGCCCCATGATGCCTCCAAACCACCAAACGTCATGAAGTAGGCTGCGCTGTACCAGGAGACATCGTTCAGGCCGCCGAAGTCGGTCGTGATCTTAGGAACCGCCGTGCCCAGGATAGTCTATTGACAAGTTCTATCAGCATTTATACATGAGTTGGTTCAGGATGCAACGAACCTGATCCAATGATATTAAGAAGACACCAAAGATAGATGCCCCAGAAAGAAGCCACATGCGAAACCCTGTTGGGTAGATAACAGTTGTGTCATTCTTCGACTCGACTGCATCTCCAGCGGCTGACAGAGAGTGGTGAGAGCTTCTGCTGGATTCAGGTACTTCTCCGACCGAATGCTCGTCTTTGATAGTCGCCATGATGAAAATCGTCGGGATTTTCGGTGTTCAAAATATAAAGTTTCAAACGTTTTCGACGAAAGCAAACCTGGAAGCTCCCAAGGACATCAGAGCCTTGGTGAGGTTGCGACCATGCGATATTTCTGTCGCACCGTTTCAATTGCTGCTGACTTCGGCATAGTCAAACAAAAAAATCACCGGAGGTGATTTGTCATGTATGACAATGTATGGTAGCGGGGTCGGAGTTCACGCATGTCGGCCGGAACAAATTGTACGCCAAGACGCGGTACCTGAAGATCCCGACGTGCGTCATTGTGTATCCCTTCCTTCTTGAAACATCTACAAACAGAATAAGAATGGCACGATGCGTTTTTCTACTAGTGGGCAGACAGTTCAGCTTCTCCAAGGTTGCACAGCAGTTCGCATTCAATTCAACCTCTCCTACACTTAACCCAATCACTTCTAACAATCTCTCTCTGCCAAAACTCAATCATGTCCGACGCTCCCCCATTTCCCTCTCCAGTAAAGCGCTGGCACGACAAGTCTCAGCCCGCCGGCGATCCTAGCCTTCCAGCTCTCTCTCAGAAAGGCAAATCGATTCTTGTAACTGGTGGAGGCAACACTGGCATTGGAGGAGAGACAGCTCGCTACTTTGCCCGTGCAGGTGCTGCGCGTATTGGTCTCATAGGACGTCGCGAAGGCCCTCTGCTCGAGAACAAAGCTGCCATTGAGAAGGAGTGCCCTGGCACAAAGGTCTTCATTCAGAGCGCTGACGTCACCGATGAGGCTTCAGTCAATTCCGCTTTCGACAATTTCGCCAAGGACGGAAAGATTGACACACTCATTCATGCCGCTGCTGCAATCGGACCCAAGGAGAACTTTACCGACGTCGACGCGCGCGAGTTCCTCAAAGGCATCACCGACAACGTCGAAGGCTCCTTGTGGGTCGCCAAGGCCTTCATCCGCAATGCTGCGTCTGATGCGCATGTCGTCGCGATCAACTCATGGGGATCTCATTTGAGTCTCAACGACGCCTTTGCCTCCTACTGTGTTGCCAAGATGGCTGTTTACCGTTTGTGGGACACTGTGCTTCTCGCCAACCCCAACCTTAGCGTCTTCCACACTCAGCCCGGTGTTGTTCTCACTGAGATGAACCTCACTGTTGGTGGTGCAGACAGCTTCAAAAACGTCAAGACCGATGATGGTGAGTTCTGCAATGCCCCTTCGTGCCATGACGAGACTAATCATTCATGGTGTAGTTACTCTCCCAGCAAGCTTCAACCTCTGGCTCTCAACCCCAGAGGCTCGCTTCCTCAAGGGCAAGTTCTTGTGGTGCAACTGGGATATCGAAGAGCTCAAGTCTCGCGCCAAAGAGATAGAGTCCGGACGACTCCTCAATCTCGACCTCAACGGCTGGCCTTTTGCGTCTGCTTCCAGCTGAAAAACGTCATCAAGTACGTGCCATCGATCTTGAGCAGACACAGAATACTGAAAGGGAGGGTTCATGGCAAAGAGAGGCGCCACTTGTTCTACACGAGCATGTAGCCAAGCTTCATATAGCCTACAGTGAACGGCAATACATAGAGATCAATTCAAAATATTGAACTCCTACGTTTCATTTCAATCTCTAGTACTCAACTTCACCAGTCATGCTCTTATCATTCGTGATAAATCGTCATAAGCGATGCATGCCACTATCAACCTTTCAAGCGCGCCTCAATCGTCGCTTGAACCGGGTTGACTGTTAACCGCCAGATCTTCACAATTTCCAGTCCAACTGCATCAAGTAGCTCAATCCACTGCTCCTCTGTCCTCTCGATCCCTCCCTCCATAAACATGTTGAGGTCCATGAAGTAAGGCATGGGGTCTGACCCTGCAGTCACGGTCGATGGCAAAATCATTTCGCCAATCAGCACCCGAGAATCTGGTTCCATAGCACCGACGATTTGTCGCAGAATAATTTCGCTTAGAACATCGTAGTGATTATGCAGCACGTTACGCAGGTAGTAGACGTGCGCATCTATATCATGCCGTCAGTCAGAAAACTTGGACCGTGAAAGCTGCGTGGAAAACTCACTCTTCACCGGCTGTGGATCGTAGAAGTTATGCGGCATGATCTGCACTCCATCGATCCGCACCGGACTTTTGCCCTCCAGAACCTCAGCCACATCCTGCAACACCATCCTCCCCGCCACACTAGCACCACACTCCGCCATGATCGCCACAAGCGCATTGCCTCTTCCCCCGCCGACATCTACGACAAAAGCCCGCTTTTTGTCTACATCGATTTCTTCGAGCATCGATCGGAATGGGAACATCCCCGTCACAGGCTGCATCGACTCGATCATGACCATCCCCTTGTGCCATGCGTCCGCTACGATGGGGTCCTCTTCCATAGCCTCGTAGTATGTTTTACCTTCTTTGCCTTGTGCCCAGACGTAGGGGACTTTGGTGGCATCGTATGCGTCGCTTGCGGAGTGGACTTTGAGATAGTCGGACACTTTCCACCATTGAGGAAATTGCGTCATTCTATTATTGCAAAGAATGGGTATTAGCGATAAGCTGGTGGAAAGTTTAAAGGGATGAATCTTACCCTAGTCGGTAGAAGTCTGCTGCTTGGTCGCTGCGGAAGATGGATGACGCTGGCGTGTGTGCAATGACTCTGGGAGAGGTTTCGGCGAAGATACCTTGAGTGAGAAGGATGCGAATGAATCTGTCTATTCAATCGGTTGTACTATATCAGCATAGGCTAGTTGTATGGAGGAGAAAAGCTATTCTTACTCAGAATTGTGGCATCCAGCTTCACTTTCGAAGCAATGTCTTCAATCGACATCTTGCCTTCTGGAGGTACAGCATCGAACACGCCATGCTCAATCAAGACATTGACTGCGGGCAGAATTTGAAACTAGGTGGCTCTTAGTACCAGATGCAGCTACATTTGAACTCCCTGTACAACTAATTTCAACGTACCGGCTGAGCGTGGAACAACAGGGCATCGAAACCGGTATGGATCATACAGCGCAACTTCTCAAGATGCCGGAGAGCCTTTGCTTGATCCTTAGCGCCACCATTGTGGGTTTTAAGACTTAGCAGGAGCTTTTCTGCTTCCGCAATGACTCTCGGGTTGACATCCTCTGCGCCGATTGAACCCATCGTGATTAGGAAGATTAATGTATGATTCCGTAAAATTGTCCCCAAGAGATGCTCTCAAATTCCGAAACTAAAATAATATGGTCATAAATCATACACTTCAGAGATGATGTGCATGAAACTTGCTGCGAAAATGGAGATTGAATGGTCACGTGATCGTTGCATTCACGACCCGCCCCTTCTTCGGCATCGGTGTCCGATCAGCCCGCAGAACCTGCATTATCTAGCGTCGGTCGCCTTCAGCACTCTCCGGGAAGCTGACATGATACTGTTGCTGTAAAGGTTCGGCGATTTTCAATCCTGTGCCTAGTAGCTTCGAGCTAGCCCAATTGGGCAAGATAATCGCCGAGTGGAGTGCTCGGTATGCTCTCCATTCCTATTTCCATGTCATGCATACGGAATCCTCTATCAACCAATGAGGAATGTGATGCATGGAAAACCACAGTCTGCGACAGCAAGGCGCCAATTTAGCTTCATCGCGAAGTCCTCTCTATACGGTGTCATCCTATTCACCTTCAGCCAAGATAGAGAGGATTGTCCCCAACTTCCACTCAGATTTGTAATATGGCATTTCGCTTTGCACTAATACGCGTTCTCTTTGCGTGTTTGCACTTCACAAATGGTGCCACAGCTGGACGGCAATATCCTCCAAAGCCAGCCTGTAGGTACATACCAACAGACAGAGAATGGCCCAGTCAAGGCGAATGGAGTCGTCTAAATCAGACTGTTGGTGGTCGGCTCATTGCAACTGTTCCTGTGGCCTATGTCTGCCACCATACCGGGCCGTTTGCTGCATACAATCAGGACCGTTGTCAAGCCTTGCAAACTCGATTTGATGCTCAGGATCCTAACACACTGTTCGTCTATCCTTGTCCACCCTTCCGAAAACCAAACTCACTCTACGATTAGTGTCCCCATTCCTGGAGAGATATTGAACACGTACTGGCAGAATGATACGTGCTCGCCCTTCACTAGCTCCATCGCATCATGCGATCTCGGAAATCGTGTTCTGTATTCCATCAACGTGACAGGCCCAGATGATGTCCGGGCTGGAGTTGAATTTGCTCGAAGGAAGAACATCCGATTAGTGATCAGGAACACTGGTATTGAGTAAGCTGCTGAGGTCGCTTTGCATTTTCCATATCGATTGCTTACTCGGACTAGCTACTTGGGTCAGTCAACCGGCTACGGCGCTCTGGCACTGTGGACGAACAATCTCAAGTCCACCAAGATGATCCACAATTATAGCAGCACGTATCATACTGGCCCAGCAATGAGACTTGGTAGTGGTATCACTGCAGGAGAAGCATACCAGGCTGTGCAAGTAACAGGCCATCGTCTTGTCACAGCAGAATGTGGGCTCACCGGAGTTGCGGGTGGCTATGTTCAGGCTGGCGGCCAATCGCAACTTGTCACTGCCTATGGTCTCGCTGCAGATCAGGTTCTAGAGTGGGAGGTGGTGACATTGGACGGTCGACATCTGATCGCCACTCCTGACCATCACGCAGACCTGTATTGGGCGCTTGCTGGGGGCGGAGGTGGTACATACGCCGTTGTGCTCAGCGTGACTTTCAGGGTCTTCCCAGAAGGTCCCGTGGCCGGCGGCGCGATGACAGTGACAAGCAAGAACTCGACCGCACTGTTCAAGGCAATCGAGCTATTCTTTCATCAAGCACCCTCTTTTGTGAATGACACCCACGACAACATCCAACTCTTCGTCACAAATGACTCGCTCGCCATCCTCAACATTGTCATGCCCGACCAAAACACCACCTCTTCCGTCGACAACCTTCTCGCAGGTTTCCTCCCAGAGCTGGACAAGCTAGGTCTTCTCTACAACCTCACAAAAACCGTATATCCATCCTATCTTAACAGCTTCATTAGCTTCTACGGGCCGCTCCCATATGGAACCCTCTGTCCAACATTCCCGATAATCGGAAGCCGTCTGGTTCCTCGCACCGTTGTCCAGGATCCCCAAGCAAACCACGATCTTATAGACTTGTATCGCAACATCACGTCAGACGGAACATGGTGGATTGGCTGCTCGATCCTAAACGTTGATGATCGTCCAGGCTCCAGTCGCCCCCCACATCCGCCAAACTCGGTTCTTCCCGCCTGGCGTAACGCCATCGCATACTGTAACCCGCAAACCCATACGCCATACCCCTTCACAGATCCTGCACAGGCTCGGGCGCTGAGAAGGAAACTAATCGAAGACATATTTCCCCGACTTGAAGCTGCGACGCCTGGTGGAGGAAACTTGAATGAAATTGATCCGACGTATAAGGGTGATTGGAAAGAGGTTTTTTATGGTGAGAACTATGAGCGGTTGCTAGAAATCAAACATAAGTATGATTCAGCGTCGGTCTTGTATGGTCTGTTTGCTGTTGGATCGGATGAGTTCAGAATTGATGGGGAGGGAAGGCTTTGTAGTGTATGAGAATAAATGTAATTGATTCGTATGGGTCTTCTCCCCCTCGTCTTCTTCGGACACCTCCATCGCCACATCATCGCGGCTTTGTTCAGAAGCAGTCCCAAGGCGGCCCCTAGGCTGATTATGCAACATCTCTGGCACAAGGAGGCTTTTCATGGCCCCGCAACGGAAGCCATAATAATAAGGCCCACCCGCCTTTCCACCCAGTCAATTTCGTTAATCCAGCTACTGTTGGTAGGGCTGTAGCACTAGTGCTGAAAGGAAATAACGATAACTAGGAATGCATTCTGTTCGGTGATGGTTCTGATTGATTGTCTTGCGAAGGAGAACTATGGAAGAGCTAGATATATGTAACGGTTTGGGCCATGCCAAGACATATTCTGGTACAAGTTGGGTACTGCTCTCGCTACCACACTTCGTACATGCCACATTCATATATATAGCTGTCCACCTTCGTAGCTACACCAACAATGCAATCCCACTCTTCCTCAATCCTACCGTTACAATATAGGAGGTCTGGTCTGAGCGCTGCTCGGACGCCGCGATCAGTGCGCCTGTCCGCGTGACTGATGCCAGTGCGCCTGCTCGCGTGACCGAGATCAGTGCGGCCGATCGCGTGGCTGAGATATCGTTGATATCTGTGATCCGACAGCTACGCTCTTATATGAAGAGCAGCGCGTCCATGAGTTTGTCATTCGGCGTTTTCTAGCCTGCTGTAGCAAAGATGCTCAGGGATCAAAGACCGATGTTAGTATTCTCTGCGGACCGGAAACATTCAATACGTCTGGCCCTGTAATTTTAGAGCGTAACTATCTCGGGGTCTACATTTACAATCGGTGGAGCAACCAAGAACTTTCTCAGTTCACCGAAGGCGAGGTCTTCGAGCCGACCGAAGTCATTCTCAGTGAAGTTAAGACGTCACCACCTGGATATTTGACTGAGCCGGACCTGCTTGTACTGATGGACGCAAATGGTATTGGTAATGATGCCACAATGGCCGACCATATTGCCACAATCACAGACCGACAATATGTCGAAGCTAGAGCTCAACCAAGACAGGCGCGGCATAGTAATGACAATGAAGAGTCCGAGGGGTTGCGAGTGCAAGGGAGAGATGAAAATGGTCTTGGAGGTAGAACGGAAGCCCATCGCCGTGGCGGCAGGAATAGCGGTCCTTGTCGCGGTGGCGCTATAACAGGCATTCGGGAAGTTATACCCACGACACTAGGGTCGCTTTGGTTGAAGTCCACGAGAAAATGGGTTTCGGAACCAATCTGACGAAGCCCTTCTTACGCAAGGAGGTCAGATAATGCTCCTGATCATCTTCCATCCTGAGCTGCTAATGATAAGCGTAGATGAAGCTGAAGATGAAAGCCATATACAATGGGCAAACTACAAAGCCTCAGGTCGTGAACGAAACCATCGAGCAGTATCGAGAGGTCTATGCTCGCATGCAGAGACATCCGGACATTCTTCGCACGGTGAGGACTGAGCCCAGTGCACCCCTAGTTCTTCGCTAAAGTAATTCTAGGCTGTTCGAAAGTATGTTTTCGGTCAAGTGAACTGAGATTTTTGATCTCACTATCGAGCCTTAGCCAGATTTTATCGATCGGATTTCAATAGACGGCCAGTGCACAACCTAATAGTGATCACATAACTATTGTTACGTTCATGCATTCCTCGCGTCAGAGCCTGTCTTCAGATAAGAAAGAAATTGTATTACAAAATAGCGTCCCGGATGGTAGCTACATGTTGACCCTTTGGGCAGAACAAAACCCCATTCTTGTGCAAAAGCATCGTCTCCTGTGCGCCTGCGTCGACCAAATCTCTCGGAAGATAACAATGCCTATTTACCTGATCCATACTATTCATATCCCAAGTGTAAATCTGATTATCGTGGCTGAGATATGCAATTCTATCGTCTGTGATACCGAGTAATCCCTTCGCTCGTGTTTCCAGGTCTGTTGTGCATTCCAAAGTACTAGATTCCACTTGCGAGCTCGGTTCGTTTAGCAGCTGTATTGTTTCGACGTGTAAACCGGAATGCGAAATTGAAGCTGTGTCCCTGGGATGTCTTCTGACAGGGAGAGTATCGTAGAGTATTTGCCCACTTGTTGCGATTGATACAGCCCAGACTATCTGTCTTTTATCATAATCATGCATCCGTGTCCCATCATCTTCGGGTTTATCTGGTCTAGTCGCGGACTGAATGTTGAAAGCTGCTTGTGGTGACATAGTGGACCAGCAATAACTCCCTAGTATGTCAGAGTCGATACAAACTAGTGTATCGGGGCGCAATGGTTCTTGGACCCAACGGCGCGGCACTCCGATGGTCCAGCTTTTGCGCCATACTTGGGCTTTTGACCGAATATCGTATACGTGGTCCATCGAATGCGTTGAGATCAAGAGATATAGGTATAGTGTTGCAGTATATGCAGTCAATCAAAGTGTGTCCGCGCGAGGCAGTCATTAGTGTAATCTGTGTTCTGTCTGTTGTTGTGCTGTCATGGCCACCTTATATGTAGCCATAATCAGGGTCTATTTACATGACGTATCTCTGATGCTGGTAAGGGGAGAAGGTGCTCATGGAGGGGAGGGAGGAGCGCCAGGACAACGCACGTGACATGCGCAATACCCTTGCCTCACAAACCGCAACATATAGTTATATGTAAGTGATATCAATGCTTAGCAGCAGGTTTTCACAACGCAGTATTGTTGTAGTTAACAGCAATAAGAAAGCAATTAAAGCGTTATCCCAACACCTCATACTTAGTAAGTGACAGTTTTCACTTAGTAAATATGCGTGGGCAAGGCAGCCTCTAGCACACAATAAACTTTTTAGAACTTAGTTTCGCAACGCTAACTGTGGGTAGGTGACGTGCCGATAATAGTGATCCAGGAGTTAAAGATGCGGTCGAACCATGGTATATCGCAGGCAGGCAGCGCACATGAAATTCGCAATCAGATTTGTCGAGACGCGGTGAGAGCCTTCACTAGTATTCACGGTGAATCAGGCTTCCCGTGCTCTGATTGGCCAGACACTGATTAGTCAGCTGCTCCGTGCGCGCACCATAGATATTCTCCCTTCTCCCGTAGCTCCAATACAACAAGTTCACGCACGTTTCTCCACCTTCATCAAGATTGCGATGAAGCTGTAGACACCAACACCTGAGATCAAGAGATATCGCTCGTCTTGACTGAAAACAAACTGGTTTACAGGCTCAGTCACCCTCATATCCAGTACAGGGTAGACCTTCCACTGATCACACTCCGCAACAAGCAAGTATCTCATGTATCGACCTCCATACTTGCTTGTGTTGGGAATCGAACCTGCGGTAGATAAGGCAACTGGTTGCTGCATGCACGAGCTTGGATTACACGGCTGACTAAGCCGTATGGTCCGAGCTCTAGCTGCTGCCTTACTGCCGACCTCCCTCCACCTCCATAAGAACAACAAGAACAATCATAATCATTTCAACTCGTTGCAACGAAGGTGATTCCGATACCTTAGCCGTATCAACAGCTTGCTTGATCAAAAATAGGAGCGGCGCCTATGCTTGCTTGCTTAATTGGTGCTTTGAAGCAGTATACTCAAGGTTGTCAGTAATCAATATCTCATCAATATTGTTGTTTGATTTGTTTGATTCGGAGCCAACCAACTAACCAACAGTTAGCCACTGTATTTCTGTCAATCAATCAACCAATCTTGAGAACAAAATGTTGATAGGATTGGTGTTGTTTGATAGTAAGCGAGGGAGGGGGATACCTAGGTGAGGCCTCTGGGATAGCTGCTCAACGACGAATTCTTAGTGTTGGATCTTGCTTACTAAGCCTACTCGCGTGTAAGTTATATGACCTAGGTTCCATCCCATCTCTCACTCACTCCAGGCTAGTACGTACGAGGCTTAGCGCCCACAACGCTAGCTGGCAGAGACATAGATCTCAATTCCTGTAGCACAATACACAACACGATTCACACATGTTCTATTCCTAGTGCTACTGACATCAGGCTTATAACATTTAACAACACCTTACTTTCTCGCGGCTCCGGCTTACTTTTAGCCTTATCCATGCCCTCTATACCAGCAAAACGCAAGCCCGAGGCTGCCGAAGAAGCTGATACTCCCTTCAAGCGAGCACAACGTACGCGCAAACCTACGCTCAAAGCGCTGTTGGGTGACGGCAGCCAGCCAACCCAGCCGATAGAGCTGCCAGAAAGTACGCCGGATCCGCCTACAGAGCCGCCTACACAAGTTATCGAGCCGCCCACACGGGCTATTGAACCGCCATGTAAGCCTGTACAACAACCCGAGGAGCGCCCTCGGCGGGCATCACCACTGCCTATTTTGGCTGCCTCACAAGCCTCTCGGCTCACTGATGAGCCAGCCTGGGAGTCGCAGTTAATGTTTGATAAGCCAGAGGACTCTATTGTACAGCCTTTAGCTTTCTCTAGCGCTGCCACTGAGGCTTCGGTGGAGGAGGATAGCGCTGTGAGCGTCGATTTTCGCGACTTTGAGGGCGTCGATTGGTCGCGATTAAAGGGGTTTGTCGCGCCGCTGAGCACTCCACGAGGCAAGGCAAGCTGGATTTTTCAACACGGCTGGCGTGTCTGGAAGGAGGGTACTCACCACCCAGATGAGTTGTACTTTGTGTGCAAGTACTGTCATATTCATAAGCTACCTAATGGTGTACACCGAGTAACGAAGTCAACCACTGCCGCCAACGGGCACCTCCAGCTTGATAAACCTGGTCATCGGCTCAGCAAAGATGGTCCAATCCTAAGCAAACCTCTCCGCAAACATGGACAACAATCACTTCGTCAGGCAGCTCTAAGCGATGTCAAATTTAGTCTAGAGGCGTACAAGACTATAGGAAACTTCGACGTACAAGAATTTCGGCAGGCAGCTGCGCTCTGGCTGGTCGACAACAACAGACCACTCCGCGAGTTTGAGACGCCGGCTTTTCGCAAGATGATCAGGCTTGCTAATCCTGAGGCAGAGGCGGCGTTATGGAGGTCTCATAACAGCGTGTCAGCGTTCGTGATGAGGTTGTACAGTTGGCTACGGCCTCAGGTGGTGCGCGCGTTGGCTGAAGCCGAGAGCAAGGTACATATAAGCTTCGATGGGTGGACGACAAAAGGCGGCAAACGTGGCTTCTTTTCTGTAGTTGCTCACTACGCCAACAGTAAGGGCGCGATAGTTGACCTACCCATCGCGCTGCCGCAGCTGGTGGGTGCCCACACTGGTGAGGCGATAGCTGACGCTGTAACCAAAATCCTGCAATCCTTCAGCATTAATCGCAGCAAACTCGGCTACTTTGTGCTCGATAACGCTTACAATAACGACACCGCTGTTAACAAACTCGCCGCGATGTACCACTTTTCTGCCTCCGATCGCCGCCTCCGCTGCGCTTGCCACATACTTAACCTTGTTGGCCAAACGATTATGTTCGGGAGGGATGCTGACGCGTATAACAACGCCCTGGAGAACACAAAGATGGAGGATTTTTACATGAAGGAGTGGCGGAAAGAAGGACCGCTTGGCGTGTATCTTGATATTATCAACTACATCAACACGCCGAAGCAGTGGAGTATTTTTGAAGATTGCCAACGCGAGGCAGTTAACAGCATGCCCACAGGCGCCAGCGGCGGCACTCGCGAGCCAATTAAGCCGTGTGTTACACGTTGGAACAGCTATTACGACTGCTTTAAGCGCGGAGTTCAGCTCCAACAAGCTATCAACGCATACGCCACGTACCACATTCGCGAGACTGAACAGGCTGACGAACAGGCAGCTATTAGAGGAAACAAGCTGCCTGATGTGCCGCGGTGGATGAGGTCAGACGGCCTTACGGCGGCTGACTGGGCGGTGATTACTGAGTACATGGCGATACTGCAGCCGCTCAAGTTTGCTACAGATCGCCTCCAAGGCCGCGGCAAGTGTGGCCGTTTTGGCGCACTCTACGAGGTCATCCCAGTATTTGAGAGTGTGATAACTGAGCTGGATGCACGCCTTCGGCCATACGAATCGGTCAACCACGAGCCATCTGAGGCGCCCGAAGATCACATCCCGATCAACCTGCGAGCCGCGAGGCGAAAAGCGAGCAATTACTTTACTAAGATCCTCCAAAGTCCCATTTACTACGCAGCTACGGCACTACATCCACGATATAAAACATACTCTAAGCGCTTCTGGCGCGACAAACCTACACAATTGAGCACCGCGCACGCGAAGTTTCTGCGGGTTTGGGCTGCCTACAAGCCTGCCGCTGCTGCCACAACACCAACCCCTGCGCCAAAACCTACCATGAGCAGCTTTGACGACGCTATCGACGCTATACTAGATGAGGACGGCGAGCATACATTGGAGGTGGAGGATGAGTACGATAGCTGGTTAAAAGAGCCTATGTGGACGTCTGATCAACACAAGGAGGGTCCAACAGCTGTACAGTACTGGTTATCGTTGAAGCCGAAGTATCCACATCTTTCACGATTGGCGATCGACGTGTTGACTATACCCGCCTCCAGCTCTGATTGTGAGCGCGTTTTTGCGGGAACTGGCGATATAATTGAGCCACAAAGGCGGAAAATTGGCGCGCAGTTACTGGCTGCTTTGGTGTGCTTGCAACGGTGGACTCGTGCAGGTTTTACAACACCAAGCACGACAACAGCAGCAAAGCATACTGATGAGGAGCTCACGGAAGAGTTTGCGATAGGAACGTGGGAAGAGCCGCCTGCAGAATTGTCATAGAAACGTCCCTTCAGAACCTTAAGTCTATCAATATTCAATCAATCAACCAACCAAAAATTGGCTCTTCAGTCTCATCAACTCAAACAAACAAACTGTAGCCCTAAGAAATGAGCCAGTCAATCAACATCTACGCCTCAAATGTTGGTTGTTTTGTTTGTTGACTTCTCTGAGTATACTTAAAATACTTAAATTACTTACAAATATTTAGTGATTTACAAAGTCTTGTCGCTTTTTTTAGTATGAAGTTTTTTAATCGTCCTTCACCCAACTTTGTATGTTATACTCGCGCGAGTTACGCGGCCCAGACTCCGCAACAATCAATCGGATCGGCATGATTGATTCCTATCTAGGTTAAAGGCTGCCTAATGAAGTAATTCTTTAACCTATATAGGAATCAATCATGTCAATCGATTGATTGTTGCGGAGTCTGACGCGGCCGTGCACTGTAGCATCTTGGCATTAAGCCCCGCTCCATCACTGCTATCCATCCTCGTTCCTATCACCTCTTGTTGTGCAAACCACAACTCTTGTCTTATCCTTAACAAAACCTTCTGTGCTTAATCATAAAGTTTTAGCTTAATCCTATGTCTTCGCTCTTTCGAATCGGTCAGGTTCTGAAAGGGCGTGCTAGCAAATACACGATCACGAAAGAAATCCAAGATACTGTGTGGTTTGCGAAGTAAGCAGAATACACCCAATCTTTATCACAAATTCTCATAATTGCTAGAAATCATTTGGAGGAGCTTGTGGTGATCAAGAGCGTTCTGGATCACCCGCGGGTAGAGAATGAACGAAATGTACTCAAAAGATTTCAGCACCGCCATACTTGTCAACGAGCGAGCCGGCTCGCTCAGCTCGCTCGGCTTGGACGTTTTGACCAAGCCGAATGAGCTGAGCGCGCAGTGCGCGCTTGCAAGCCGAGCGAGCTTAGGGATAGGCGCTCGCTCAGTCAGCTTGCTTAGCTTGGTTGGATGGGGCGGTTGGAAACTTGGGGCTGAAGGACTTGGTGGAGGGGCAATCTCACGATGATTTTTAGGTGTAGTGCGTAAGTTCGAAACCTAGTTATAACCTAAAATACACTCTTTTTTGCTATATTTCTAGCAAATAAGCTACTAAATTTCCGGCTAACGGCCTGGCAACAATATTCTCCTTCTGCGACACTTCACTTACTACTTATCACCCACCACACTCACCTATACTCCATCAACGCGTCTCTATTTGCAGCTATTATCTACCTCGCCGTTGCTATAATGCCAGCAAAAAGAACACGCGTTAATGCTCTAGAAATCGCGACAACTTCGAAGCGCCCTAGAGTCGCAGCGCGTCATCGCGGGACTGCCAGCCAACCTGTGCTAGTCGATACTCGGCCATTCTCACCATCTCCACCTCCTCCACCGCTGTCGCCGCGTCAAGCTCTCGTCGCCGCGCCACAAGCACCAAATTTTGAAGCGACCCTCCGAGAGTCGCGCGCCGAAGAGACAATCATCCCACCACCTGAGGGCAGCGAGCATGCCACTGTTGCAGCTTCAGGAGCAGCTAGCGAGGCTGTCGACGAGGGTTTCGTATGGGTAGAGGACAAATACGACGGCTTTAATTGGAGTCGCTACCCAAAGCACTGCAAGCCGCCCACATCACTTTCGAACCGAGCAAGCTGGGTATACAGCCATGGCTATCGCATCGCCTTGCGCAGCAACGTCGCAAAAGTCACGTGGATCTGCCACTATTGCTATAAGCACAAGTTCACTACTGTTGGCCGTGGCATACATGACGTCTCGCAGTCTCCATCAGCGCCAGCACGTCATCTCGGAGAAGACAAGAAAGGTCATGGCTTGAAGCCTCCAAGTAAGCGCACTACCGTCGCTCCTCGGAAAGAAACTCTCCTCGAACGCGCCCTTCAGAAGGGCTGCTCTCAGGCTGTTGCCAACGAGCTTACCAACTTCAATATACAAGAGTTTAGGCTTGCGGCCGTCACCTGGCTCGTCGAAAACAACCTCCCACTCTCACAATTCGAATCATCGTCTTTTCGCAATATGATACAATTAGCTAGCGTAGAGGCAGAACGAGCCCTGTGGGCATCTCATAACAGCGTCTCACGATACGTTATACGCCTGTACAACTACCTGTTACCAAAGGTTGTCGCAAGCCTTTCAGAATCAATGAGCAAAGTCCATATAAGCTTTGACGGATGGACGACAAAAGGTGGCAAGCGCGGTTACTTAGGTATCGTCGCCCACTACGTTGATAGCTCTGGCGAGCTCAGGGACTTGCCTATTGCGCTCCCACAACTGACAGGTGCCCACACCGGCGAGGCCATGGCTGAGGTCGTGATGGCAATATTCAAGCAGTTCGAAATCACTGTGGGCAAGCTCGGTTACTTCGTCCTCGACAACGCACATAACAACAACACCACGATCAACACTCTCGCCTTGCAGATGGGCTTCAGCGCTACCGAGCGTCGCCTTCGCTGCGGTCCTCATACGCTTAATCTCATTGGCCAGATGCTACTCTGGGGTGAGGAGAAAGAGTCCTACGACAACGAGGAGACTGAGCGCGTGAACGAAGCTGAGAACATGGCTACTTGGCGAGGCGATGGACCATTAGGAGTGCTTCTCGCGGTTATCAACTACATCAAAACACCACAACAGTACGCTCTTTTTGAGAAGTATCAGAAGCTCGCTATTAGGGACCAGCCTGTCAACGCGCCAACAGAACAGCACAAAATCAAGGAGCCCGTCAAGCCAGTTGTTACTCGCTGGAACTCTTACGTTTCGTGTTTTGAGCGCGCTGTTGAGTTGCAATTAGCGGTTAATGGGTACGCCAACTACCATATTCAGAAGATTGAAACTGAAGACGCGTACGCCCGAAGTCGTAACAACAAGCTGCCTGCAGCGCCGGATTGGATGAGGTCTGATGGGATCAATGCCCATGACTGGCAGGTGATTGCTGAGTATATTGATGTGCTCAGGCCACTGAAACAAGCTACAAAACGGCTTGAAGGCCGCGGCAAAAGCGGTGCTTTTGGAGCAATCGCTGAGGTTATTCCAGTATTTGAATACTTACTTGGAGTCTATGAGGACCGCTTGCAAAGCTATGAAGACGTCATTCACGATGAGCATACAGAGTCACCCGAAGACCACCTTGCTATCAACCTCCGCGCTGCCCTAGTTAAAGCCCGCGAGTACTACAACAAGCTCGACCTCTCGCCAGCTTACTATGCTGCTATAATCCTTCATCCTCGCTACAAAAGCTACCTTGACGCAGCGTGGGCGGATAAGCCTGATTGGCTAGAGAGCAGCAACCGCAAGTTTCAACATTTGTGGGCGGAGTACAAAAGCTTACCGAAGCCGCGCTTACGCTCTAAAGTTAGGCACAATGATATAGAAGACGCTATTAACAGCTTTATTAAGCCGGCAGGGCTTACGGAGAACGAGGAGGATGAATATGAGGCTTAGAAACGCAGCGAACCGATCGCTAGCGAGGGCGTCGACCCTATAAAATACTGGGTAGGACTCCGCGATCGCTACCCCAGCCTTAGCAAATTTGCTATCGACATGCTATCAATCCCAGGCTCAAGCTGTGAGTGTGAGCGCTTATTCAGCGAGCTGGGTGACCTCCTCGAGCCCCGTCGGCGCAGCATTTCTCCGCAACTTCTAGCAGCAATACAGTGCGATCGACGATGGATAAGAGCTAGATTTGGCAGTGGTGAGGTGCCTGTAAAGGAGGCTATCAGCGATGAGGAGATGGACGCGAAATACGGTGTACATAAGTGGGATATTAGCTGAGAAACTCAACACCAAGGTTTCTATATAACTTTCCTAATCGGGACTGAGCCCATCAAGCCGAGCGAGCTGACAGCCCTGTTTCAGCCAATCCGAGCGAGCCGAGCGAGCTGCTGGCCTCCGCTCAATTGGCTGAGCAAGCCAATTGGCTGAGCTCGCTCAGCTTGCTCATTGACATCTGTGAGCACCGCACCCCGCACCTCCGACCTTTGATCGATGAAATCGACGAACTGTCTTTCCCTGTGACTATCGCCCTAAGGTACTTGCAAGGAGACCTTTTTGACGCGTCCGTTGCAAAAACTTTGAATAGGAGAGAGCTCAAATCACAGTCCGCAACAATCAATTAAGTGGGTCCTAGAAGGTTCAGATTGGATTGATTGATTACCGCTTTAAGCCTAGTAGTTACCTATAGGAGTTTAAGCCCTACCTAGATAGGTAAGTGGGTCTAGGAGAGTGACCGGATTGAATTGATTGTTGCGGAGTCTAGCTCAAATACGTGTCGCGATGCGTACTAGAGGCGATGAAGACCTTACATGAGGATGGGTTTGTGCACACAGGTATACTGCTACCTTGGATTAACGATGGATTGTGTGTGACTAATAGACGATCTAGATGTCAAGCCAGATAACGTGTTAGTTAATCTGCAAGAAGGCGACATTCGATTTTCCGACGTCCAACTAGGCGACTTAGGTAGATGCTACCCCGCTAACTCGGAGTGGGCTACATCTGGCACTGTGGTGGGAGCACCGATGTGGACAAGCCCAGAGATTCTCATGGAACTGCCATGGAACACTGCAGCTGACATATGGTCTTTCGGTGCTATGGTGCGTTACAGTCCTGCTGCAATCATGAGTATAGATGAAACCTGACGTCTTTACAGCTTGTCAGCCTTATCTACGGTGAACACTTTAACCTCTTCCAACCCAAAGGATTGAAACGCGATGACGAAGAGTATGTGCTTGGGGTTGTCGAAGAGCAATTCAAATATTTTGGACCTTTCCCAGCCAAAATTGCTGAGATTGCAGACCCAGAAACTGTCCAATCTATTATGTTAATCATGCCAAATATCCCTAAAGAGAAGACAACGCCATTTTCGCGAACTACCGAGAGCGAAGTAAACCAAAGAGACAACATCTTTATATCAAAGATAATGAAACTCGATTGGAGAGACTGTCCGACCGCAAAAGAGTTACTAGAAGATGAATGGTGGAATGAAGACGCGGAATAACATCGACTACTATACCGTTGAGTAGGACTAAGTTGCTTATTGTGGGAGGACAACGATGGGAAGGGGTGTTGAGATGAATAGAGAGGGCAGGCGACTTATACCATGTGTAACGAATTATATTGAAGCATTCTATTTCACCAGCACATGGTAGCCCGGCGCATGGACATAGTCGTGGGGTCGATTTTGCGGGGTGGCGGTTACATAGCGCCTGCTATGGGTTAGCGCCTTCAACCCCGGAAACGGGAAACAGGAGTTGGAATCATGGTTAATATCCATATTGAGACTAGCAAAGCACGGTGGATAGAACAAGAAACCTTATGTCCTGTGCTTTGTTGTCCACGATGCCACCACGACGATGGACCATCCACCGATCGGTTGTCGCTCCGCATAATCACGTGACACTTTTATGTCTTCCGCTCCGTAGCCACCCCTCTGATAGGATATTTGCTAGACTACGGACGTACAATATCAAGCGACGCAACTAGACGAAATCGGGGTAGGAAAAATTCACGTGGTCAGTTCTGCGCTGCTCCAACTAGATTGATGATCGTGTTGATAGGCCATGTGACTAATGGTATTGCTCCATATTGCTCTTTGCGCTAGCCACGCGCTTATGTGACCACTGATTAGTAGTGCAGTGACCCGTGATACCAATATCCAATTGACTGAAAACCTAAGCGAGACACGCAGATTGTCTGTGACTCTTATGGGCGATCAGAGCTCCAGTGATGTCCATGGCAGGCCTTCTGCGATTCCGTAAGTATTCACCAACACTTCTGGCAGTCTACCAAGGCATGCAAGCACCTAGAGCACAGGTTCCTCGACTGCTGTATCCGTTCCAGCCTGAACGTAGACGACTGCGAAAATGGGACCGAAGATTTGAGTGTTAGAAGTACTAACACATGGATGTGTCTGCTGAGCATAAGACATGGTGTTCGAGCCTTGCAGCTTACTACGGCCTAACTGTGATGTCATATACCGCTATTGTATGCCTGCCTTCCTGCATATATACGTAGATCTAACATGCTCTATTGCGGAAAGAGGACTAACGATTCTCAGAAACAGTACTCACACGCCTTCGGCATTATTCATGGCCCAGGCGTCACCGTCCTTGGTTGTCCCTACTAATACATTATGGTGGTTGTTGAATACACTCAAGACCTTGATTGTACGATCGGCGATACAAAACCTAAAAGGTGTAACCTGATACAAGGTCTTCAGAGTGGTTTCAGTGTCCGGGTTACATCAGGCCGGCTTGTAGGAATGGTTGTCGCTTGGAAAATCGTAGATTGATATATCCAGGTCGAAGTTTGGGATGTCGTTGATAGTGTCCCAAGATAGGTCGATTTTTGGCTCCTCGTGCGCTTCTCAATGGTACATGTCACCCACTGGGGAACTAAGCCGAGCACACGGAATCATTCAGCCCGATTTGAGGATGCAGGAGAGGAATATGATAAGGATACAGCGTATTGTCATTCTTGACTGACATTGCCCTTCTTCCTCCCCTTCTTATCTATGCCCGTCATCCTCACCGCCCGTTCTTATCATCGGTCTCGTCTTCTACATCAGGCTCTGCCTCGTCAATTCCTACGAGCTGAACGTTATCCCTGTCTCGGCATGAAAAGCAAATAATGCTTGTCGGAATTCAACATTTGTATGAGCTAGTTGCGAGGCGATAGATCGAAGGCAATAGGCAGCAGTTCGCTTCGTCTGATGCCCATTTGAAAAAAAGTGATACTGACAGTCTGCGAATTGATTCAGAAGATGCTGTATCACTACGGTGGAAATTGCGGTTTTGCCGCTGGCGGGTAGACCGAAGAGCCAAAACACCGGCGAGTCTTGTTCATGCACTCCTGTCCGCCATTGGAGAAAATCTTAACTTTTCAAAAGCCATTCGCAAGTGCCTTGCATGACATTATTGTTATTGGCCACGAGGTCATCACTTGCAAGTTCATGGATGCCTAATATGGCTGCGATTTTTTGATTTTCCTCGTCATGACCGGATGTGGGCCCTAGTCGTGAGTTAGAACGCTTGGATAGTCTTGACAGTCAGTTGTTTCAAGTACCTTCTCCTATCGAGGAATCTCTGGCGAAAAAGCTGATTGTGTTCCTCAATTTGATGTATTGGCGGTCTATTTTGCTCTCGAACTTGCAGATGGTATGATGATTCGCGCGTAACGACCCTGACATCTCTCCAGGCAACTGAAGTACGGCCGAATCTTTTTCAACAATCTATAACTGTCAAATTGTGCACAAATAATTCGGGAATAATGAACTTAGCAAGATGTCCTTGAGACCAACACTTGTCTTCTCTGTTTCAAAATACGACATGAGGGCTAGGTCCTGACAATGATGACGAAATTGTTCATTGATCTCATGAAGTGTGTGGCTATGTAGCTGAAGCTCGGCGGCGTAGCTCTTAGACGATGGGCCTATGGGAAGGCTTGCGAGGATGTTGTTCAGGGTGGCTGCAGACTGTGTGCCACGATGCGGCGTGGCGAGGAAGTCGATGCCATGAAACAGGGCGGCAATTTCTGAGAACTGACTGTTCTGTATGCCGAGCGGATATGCCTTCTTCACCACCAGACCTCCCATAGAGTGAGCGATAAATATGATCTTTTTTGGTCGAAAAAGCACCCCGTTTGTATTTGTGAAGGTCAAGATCTAGATGAAGAGATCCTTCGCGAAATCGGCGATGTTTAGATTAGCTCCTCCACCTCTCCAGTTAGAGTCGTAGCCGAATGTGAATACCCTCCAGGCACTCAATACGCCTTCGTGCGCTAGCCAAGTGGGCCAGAAATTAGTTACGTCTCGTCCCCAGCTCCATGTAGTCCAAGGGTTCCCTCCTAAACCATGGACAAAAATGATATCGCCTATGGGCTGGGTACGATCAACAACTAGATGCAGTTCCAGATCGTCTTTGGATCGCTTGCCATGGTTCATAGGTTTACTGACATTGGTTGGGTTGAGTATACTTGTCGTAGATATGACCGAGCCGCTTTTGATGGGGTGGGTGGTGTTCGAGCTTGCGACACTTGTTAATGAATCCCTCGCGCAATACACCGCTGCATATCCTGGTTCATTCGGCCTCCGAGTCTCGTCAATGTGGCCTTCATTGTCGCCTTCCAGAGTCGGCTCTGATCGCAATCGGAACTTATGAAACTTTGCAAAGAAGTATCAATCAGCCTGAGAAGATTTGATACAATAGAAAACGGTATAAACTTACTACAACGGGCTTTGATGCCATGTTTGACAGGAATGATTATGGATCCAGTCAATCCAACGCGACGTGATGGACCTCGGCGCTTGACGCTCGACGTATCAAGGAAAGACCGACTGATACCGATCACAGCAAGATCCCATGGCATGAAAGTAGCTAATCTTCATAGACGCCTAGAAGCTGTGCTGTGGACTTACCAGGTGCATGGCATGTGACTTTTTTGTGCGGGGTATAATGCGACTGCGCCTCATCCACTGTTTCCGATCCCGAGACTCTTGCAGTTGGAGCGCAACCGAAAATTAGCCGTGGAGGATCGTGCTTGACATATTATGTTTTCATTGGCTTCCGCCTGAACACGTCCAGGGGCCATCGTAACTGCTCCAATGATTAGCCAGCGGCTATTCAGCGCGATCCTTCACTGGCGACAGTGTGCGACGCTGTACATTATAGGAACCACGTCGTACTTGGGTGTTACCTCACCGCAATCCTGCTTATCTGATGTGGGTAAAAACAGTACTCTCAACTAATTAGAGTCGTCATATCACCATGAGTGTCATCCACACGGAAGACGTTCATACTATCTCTACAATTGCCATCAGCAAGACTCAGACAGACATCGAGAAGACACCTTCTGGCCCTGTTCTTCCGCCGAAAGCCAATGGATCTTACAAGGTTGATCGGCGGGTCGTTGAAGGTGAGGGCTGATCTGCGAATTGTGGTCGTCGCTGATTTAACCAGCGTTTCCCATGCCGGGCACCAAGATAATTGATGCGTTCAATTATGGTGGATCTTTGTGGGGAAAAAGCCAAAGATTGTGGTTCATTTGCCTTCGGGTGAGATTGACAACTACTTCCTCAAGGTTTGGCTCTCAGATGTAAAGTTATGGGGAACATTAACATTGATGCTTGCAGGTGGTCTCGCGCGGCAAGACGGGAAGACACATGTGCGAAGGGGAATATGAGTCGCTTAAGGCCATCTATGCAGTCTCTCCTTCTTTAGTCCCAAAGACCTATTCTTGGGGTGAGCTGGAAGATGCAACGGAAACATACTTCTTAATTACGGCTTTCCGGGATGTATGCAAGCAAGTAAGGGCATCGCGACGATATTACGGTATTCGGATTGCTGAAAAGAGCAAAGCCCGCGGACCCACTCAAACTGGCTGCAGGACTTGCAGATATGCACCAACGCTCGATCTCTCCGACTGGAAAATTCGGATTTCATTTCTCGACATGTCACGCAAAGATTGCCCAAGCTATCGATACCTGGGTAGAATCATGGTGTACTCTTTACGGACGCCACCTGGAATATGTCATCGAGCTTGTTAAGCCGATTCTTAAGTGGCCAGAGTTTGACGTTGTTTGCGACCTCACATTGAAGAAGGTGGTGCCGCGTCTTCTACTGCCTCTACAAGCAGACGGCAGGACCCTGAAGCCTTGTCTTTTGCACGGTAATTGCTGGGATGGAAACATAGCGGTGGATGCTAAGACTGGTGAGGCCTTTGTGTTCGACACGTGCTCTTTCTACGGACACAACGAATATGACACTGGAAACTGGAGAGCACCAAGGCACCGGCTGAGTAGCAAAGCCTACATCCGCAACTATAAGCGTTGTTTTCCGGTACAGAGCCCATGGAGGATTGGGATGCGCGAAACCTTCTCTACTCTTTGACCTTCAATATCGGCAACACAATTTACATACCTGGGTCACAGCAACGCCAGGTAGTTTACGACGACATGAAAACTTTGTGCCAGCTATTTTGCCCCGACGATCTCAAAGCGGAGATGACCAAGCTCAGCCGGAGTACGGTTTCCACTGACGCGGAAAATAATGGCTGGATGACTGACCAAGACTACGATGACACGGTAGCAGGGGCGTCTGAGAGTGAAGAAGAAGAGGAGGAGTTGCCATTATAGGCATACATGGGCAAATCGTTTTTAAATCGTTTTGGCAAACCTTAAAACGTTAACGCGTTTAAGCAAAAATCCTTATAACGTTAAAGCGTTTAACGATATAAACGATATAAAAACGATATAAGATACATCATGCCAAGACCGGGTTATGTCCATTCTAGAATCTCCTCTACCTCATCCCCTATCATCTCTGCTTCGTCATCTTGCTCTGGTTCCATTGGTAGACCCATTCCGTTGAGAGAACACGGTTTTATGTGGCCTTCCCTAAGCCAACTGCCAATGCACTCGATCTTCTCAATGTTGGCGCAAGTGAGCCTCGACCGATCCCATGAACAGGTTCTTCTTGCACCTGAGAATGTTCTCTCTGGCTCGGACGACTCTGCAGCGATAGAAAGAATAGAGATAGCCATGTTGCTTAGCCTAGGGTAGCGCTGCCGTTGCTCCGATCGGCACCACCATTCAAGAGGGCTACAGTCGATTTGTATTACTGGACTTTCTGCGAAAATTTTAAGATCGTCGCTGTTTGATTGATCTGCCGCCGCAACTGACATCTGTTGTAGAATCTGATCGAGAACGGCACCGCGTTGCTTTAAAGGAGGAGCCATTTGTTGAGAAGCTGTAGGGCTAGCTAAAGGCAAAGCGTCCTTAAACTCATTCACCCAAAAGTTTTGAGCAGCGTTAATAGCTGGTTCGTACCATTCGGCTGGCCAGTTCTTCTTGAGATATGCTGCTCTACTTGCGGGATTTAGAAGAATAGCGGAAGCGTACACCGGAACCTGATCAGTCATGTTGTAGTACTTCTCAAGTACGAACCAGCCCATCTCGATCGATCGAACCATGCGAAGGTCCTCATTTTCATCTTTAGAGTAATGTATCTATAAAGCTGTTAACCGAAGACTTAAAGTTCGGATAACACGTTAATGCTTACCTTTTGCTGCTCATAGTGGACTAAAAGAGAGTCCATAATCAAAAGAGATTGAGAGATAGACGATTTATCTCCCTCCGCGTATAGCGTTGCTGATGCAAATGGTTGTAAAAATGTATGTGCTTTTTGTAGTATATCCCAGTCGTCAGAAGTAAGACGGATCTCGTTAAGGTGTTTCTCGTTATCGTGCATAAAGACCTTAATTGCAGCCATCTTCTTAATAGCCCGATCCATAACTGAGTACCATGAAGACCACCGAGTCTGATTGTCAATCCCTAAGCGGAGGCCTACCTTGCGATCCCACTCTGCTGCATGTATACTTGAGTTGCGCAGCCAGACACATAGTTGATGTAATTTGCGTAGTGTAGAGATGTTCTCAATACCACAAAAGTCCTCATCAACAGACCCATGGCTATCAACGCTGCGTCTTCGGCGAGACAACCTTTGTCTCTGTGAGGTTTGTGGAACAGCTTGGGCTTGGGCTCTAGGGTTTCTCTGTCGAGAAGTAAGAACGCTTGAAAACTCTGCGAGAAGCTCTTCCCCCATAACATCCGTTACGGCGTCGAGAGCAGCGGTAAGAGCCTCCTTAGAGGATGCAAGCAGGAATGCCTGCAAGGATAAATTGATAATATGACCGATACATCGGATACGGCGCTCTTTAGCAGTAAATTTAACCTTGTTAATATTAGCACCATCGCGTAACTTAAGCAGCGAAGGCCGATTTTTATATTAAAAGCCATGCTTACGTTGTGCTTAGTTCGAAGGAGGGTTTCAAGATGCTCCAAACAGGTATCGTTAGATGTTGCGTTATCACCCGTATGCCAGCCAACTCTAGACTGTATCCCATATTCCTCGAGGGTTTGAAGAAGTAAGTGCGCTTGCTGTTCTCCAGAGTGGCTGTAACGACATTCTGGCAGTCCTAAAAGAGCCTTCTGAAGCTTATATTCGTGATCGACCCACTGTGCGCATACAGCAAGGAGAGATGAACGGAACGGTGATGTCCAGAGATCGGTTGATATGTGGATAGGACTCACCACAGTCCGCAACAATCAATTAAGTGGGTCCTAGAAGGTTCAGATTGGATTGATTGATTACCGCTTTAAGCCTAGTAGTTACCTATAGGAGTTTAAGCCCTACCTAGATAGGTAAGTGGGTCTAGGAGAGTGACCGGATTGAATTGATTGTTGCGGAGTCTAGGACTCACAGCCGTCGATAAGCTGCCTTTAATTACATGGCCTTTATAAAGCTGATAATTCGAGGCGATAAGACGTACGGCTGTACGTCGACTTGTGATAAGCTGGTCTTCAATAAATGGATTGCAAGCAAGCGCTAGATCCCTCATTTCAGACCATTCGATTGATGAAAAGGCTATTCGACGTCGAGTCAGAAGACCGACAAGCGCATCGCGATACCCTTGTTCATTGAAGGCGTTGCGGATAATTGTCTGATCAGAGACAGTCCTAAACACTGAAGTGATAGCTGGTTGCGACGACGAAGAAGAAGTTTGCGAGGGCTGAGAAGACTCTGACGTTGTATGATATGCTAGAACATGGTGGATAGAGTTTACTCGGTGACTGCTAAACCATGAGCGACAGCGTTTGCACACATACTGCTTTTTCAAACGCTGGCGCTTTGCATTGCTGGTGTTACAGACAGTTTCGGTTCGTATAACAGCGTCAAAGTGTGGCGGCGTTGCGGGTCTTCGCGACGGTGGCGTTGATATCGCACTTGCTGACAAGGTATTCGATGACATAACGATAATAGATGCTATAGATAATGGATTTGTTGAGATTTCAGGTTAGTGGGGAGTGGTTGCAGAGTTTTTGAGATGCAAAGGTGGGGTGCTTGGCGCCAAGCCTCTTATAGCGTTTTTAAATCGTTCACGCGTTTAAGGATTTTCTTAAACGCGTGAACAGTTTAAGCTGTTAAAGCGTTTTAAAACGTTTTAAGCTAAAACGTTTTACGCAAACGCGTTAAGCTGCCCATGTATGATTATAGGCATCGTTTCGCCGCTGTCACGCACCTGAAAGAAAGCAGGAACTTCCTGTTCGTGTCCAGATTGGCCTCTTAGCATATATTGCAGTCTATAAAGATGTTTACCTTCTCACTAACTTCAAGGTCACTTGAGAACATTCATACTGTACGCCTGGTAAGGAAAATCTTCCAAGCTCAGTATCATCTCTGCCATGCCATCCTCCGAGGTCATTCGCCCATCCTGAGTGACAGACAAATCTGATGTGCCCCCATCAACAACAACGCCATAATCAGGAATATTACCATTCTTCTCCGTCCTTCCCATCAGCACATCCATCTCCCGCCCTCTGCACACCTCAGCCAATCCTGGATGCGGTACCCAGACAACACGCATACCCGCTCTCCTCGCCGCTTCCACACCTGCAATAGAGTCTTCAAAAATCAGGCACTCTTCTGGACCAAGAGCGCGTTCGCCACGTGCCACCTCCGCACTATTAAGTCGCTTCAAGGCTAGGAGAAAGATATCAGGCTCGGGCTTCTTCTTGCTGTCAGACATCTCGGGGTCATCGCCAAAGATATGAAAGGCCGGGTCATCGAACGCATCATTGATGGCCGGTATGTGAGATGTTTTCAAGGCGAATTTGTGATGGCCTGCCGAGCTAGCTAGCGACATGAACACGCGTGGTGAAGTTTTAGTCTTGAGTGTAGTAAGAAGCTCATGGACACCGGGTAGCATCTTGCTGTTCTTAAATAAATGGGTGCCTTCTTTTTCTTTCGCTGCCCATTCCGCGAGTGTGAGGGGCACTTGTGCCCAGTCTAGGAGGCGCTTAGTACCCTATGCGAAGTATGTTAGCCAAGAACACGGCAGGCAATTCGCATGCCTACTCACACGTGAACCCCTGCTTTGTTGGGTAGCCTTGATCTTCCAAGGGTACTCGGGCCTTCCATATTCACGGAGAATACTGTTGTAGATGCCTGTGTAGATGTCTTCCGAGTTGATGAGTGTGCCGTCTACATCGAAGATGCATGCTCGTACAGGCGGTAATTGCTTAGACATGTTGGATAAGCACAGTGGAACTTGCATTCGGGTTAGCAGAGCGTGGCGTGGTGTTGGGGTCTTGGACTTGGGTTCGACTTGCGACTGCCATCGCCGATCTTTCCTGCCCCGCGTAAGCTAACCGGATTGGGTTTAGCGAGCGAGGCAGTATGTGAAGCAACACTCCGTCGTAGCATCCAACTTACGGATCACCCTTCGATTCCGCATCCAACCATCCTTACGACGTACGGAAGTTTTCGCCATGTGGTTTTAGTTTATGCATGATTTTCGCGTAGCATAGCCTCAACGTGAGGTCTCTTCGCAGCCGTCGTGTTCAGGCGTCCATGGTGGGGTTTGAAGGATGCAAAGTGGGCGTCGTACACGGCACTTGATCGCGACCATATGCACTTCTAATCAAAAACTCTAATATGATTGGCGGAGAACTCCGATCGATCTCTATAATGCGCTTTCTTGCTCTGACGAAGCACGCAAGAGCAGCTCTAAGAAGACATGGTGTTCATGAGTAACGGCCCAAGGCTTCCAAACTAAGCTACATGCAGTCCATGCTAAAGTACAATACGATTACCATGGGAAAGTGCGATCGTGTACAAATAGAGGGAAGATCCTCGCGGCAATGATCGGTGGTAATACCTGGCCGGCTTCTTCGTATTCAAGATGTCGCCGTACATCCTGCTTCTTCCAGTAGTTGTTGGCTACCTGGCCCTTGCAAAATCGCTCAGGTACCGTCGTATCGCACAGCTGCAAGCACAGTATGGCTCCACTGCGGTACAATTCGCGAATCTCGACTACAAGGATGCGCAGAAGATCATCGCTCAGATAGGTCTATACGAGTTCCCCTGGATCTTTCTCGCGGGAAAGGACTTTGCGTTCCTGAGAGTAAGTGACCCTCCCCATACGGTGGCGAACGGACGTCCGACAGGAATGTGGGACTTTGACGTAGAAGAGCAACTACATCATGTCAGGCTGGGGGTTCTCTTCTATCGCGATCTTACTGCGTGGATGGAATCTTTCAAAGTCTTTTGGATGCGGTAATCCTCGGTGCCTCGGGTTGACTGTAGCATGATACTAAAGCATACTATGCCGGAAAGAAAATCTAACACGAACGAACAGGCCTTCGCAATCCCCGGTATCTCTAAGGTATCAGTCGCAGCCAAGGAAATGGTATCTCGTGTGGGAAAACGTTACGCAGACACCACCGTCCTCGTCGGCGAATTCCTCGTCAACGACATCGACAGCGAACGCGCCTGCATCGCCATCAATCGCATGAACTGGATTCACTCACGCTACGGCAGCAAAATCAAGATGGACCAAATGGTCTACACACTCTGTCTACTAACCTGCGAGGCCCTACAGTGGATCGACCGGTACGACTGGCGACAGACCACCGCCCTCGAGAAGCATGCATCCTGGGTATTCTGGAACGAAGTGGGAAAGCGAATGGGGCTTACAGACATACCTGAAAACTTTGAGGCGTGCGCAGAGTTTATCGAGGCGTTTGAGAAGCGGCACATGAAGCCTTCGGAGAACAACGCGATCATTGCTCAGGGCGTCTTTACACTGTATGCGTCGACTGTTCCTGCTTTCTTGGCCCCCGTTGTACGCGCCGTCTTGATTGCTTTCATGGATACGCGGCTGAGCGACGCCTTCAAGGTAGCCACTCCGCACACTAACTTTGTCCGGTCTTTTCTGTGCCTTGTCTTGGCGCTACGGAGGTACTTTGTTCGTCACCTGATGCTGCCACGATACTCGACGTTGCAAGTGTTTGGTGAGGAGAATGCCGCTGGATTCCGTCCAATGCTGTTTTGGGAAATCGAGCCGTGGTATGTGGCGTCTCCAAAACAGTGTAACTGGTTCCATAGGATGTATACTCGCTTCTGTGGGCTGCCTGTGGCGGGCGATGCAAAGTTTCGGCCGGAAGGATACAAGTTACAGGAGATTGGTCCGAAGCATCTGGAGGGCAAGGGCAGCGAGGAAGTCTTGTCTTTTGTGAAGAAAGGCGGGGCTTCGTCGTTCAGTACCTTTGGACAGTTCGAAGATACCATCTACAAGAGAGGTGGGGGATGCCCGATGGACGCTGGAATCGCTTCTCCATCCCCAAAAGGTACATGCCCACTAGGCTACGAAGAAAGTCTCACAGCGGCACAGTTCAAAAAGGGCACCTACGACCGTCCACTTGGAACCAGTCTCTCTACACCCATATCCCAGGTTTCCCATGCACTCAAAGTCGCTTTCCCGATGGCCTCGGAGTTGTAGAGATTAGCAAGCATCGGCGTCAAAGGGCCGGCCCACATGGAGTGCTTATGGCGCAGTCAAAGGTAAAGGATTCGATGGGACTACTGTAGTATTGGCATGACAAGTCTGCAGATACGGGGTATCAATTCAATAAATTCAGGGCCCATCTTACTTGCATGAACCCTCCCTCATCAGAGCTTAGCGCGTTGCGGCAGTGACCTTCGGCTTCTAGAGCTACATGCATGGCGCCCACGCGTGACTTGTACGTCACATGCCTTCCAGCTGGTGGTCAAAATTTATACCGTGGGAATCTGAGAAAGTACAGCTGCTGGAGATTTCCAGCTCGCCTAGTAATCTCCGCTAATTGCCCTAGTCGGCCCGCCTAGTGCCCTGGTTGCCTTACACATTTCCTGACAAGGCTAACTTCAGGCGGCAGCATATCTTGTCCAAGACTTCTTGCACACCACACGGCTGGACCAGCCATACGTGGAGGTTGATACCTTGCGCTACCCAGATTACTCAGCCGGGGGTGGGTGGAAGAAACTTTGCATGGATGCCAACACGCATTCTGAAAATTTATCGATAGACCCAACTCAGACATGCAAATGAATCCGTCAGACTGCAGTATTGCCACGCGCACATGTACACATGCGGCGCACATCGCGACGATGGTGAAAAAATTGGTGTTGTACTGGTCAGGCCGCCAACGCAGCTAGCGTAGCGGCGTAGTCTGTGCATCCACGCGATACGGGTAGGGAAAAGCAAACTATGTACCGTAAGTACGAAGACACCAACCATCATCGTGGGCCTTTCTTGCTATTCTTAGGCGCGTACGGGTACCCACATCGCGGTTTGAGTGGGGTGGAAGGATGGAGTATCGAGCTCGTGATAAAAGAGCCCCAAAGCTCCTAGGCGCGCTATCGTACGGCAACGCCTTCACTAAGATCGACAAAGTTGCGCGCCATCGGCCTTCGTCGAACCCTGACAGACCCTGATATGCATCTTCCGGTGCATGTTAAAAGGCGCGCGGGCGCGCGCGGGAACGAGGGTCACTCAGCTTCTGGTTTTAGCGTTTTCCCTACACGAGCTCTTTTCAGTAGCAGCCTTCCTTGCGCCAGGAAATAGATGAGTGTTGCAGGTCTAGCTCGTGATGTTCATTGGTGGTGATAAAGGCCTTATACTTATCCGGTCAGACCAAGTAACGGGCCACTTGCCTAAGCGAGTAGCTAACAAGATAGCGAGGACCCATGCAGAGTCCCTTTTTGCACGTCAGCCGCGATATAGTAAGGGTGACTATTGAATTGATGCGTCAAGCGAGCTGATACGGAGGATCCAGCGTCCCAGCTCTGCCGTTCAACCGTTTTCCGATGTAACGGGCACACTGAGCCATGACTCATGAGGCGGAGTGTTGGCCATTGGTGAGATTGGAGGCGGCACGGTGTGGACTGAGAAGTCCTAGTGCCTCCGAGGTCGTGATGTTGGACGCTTAAATGCCATGCCTGCCAGGTATGATCAGGGGGTATCTTGGCCGCTGTTCATCAACTGGTGCCCTCTCGTTGCACTCTGGGGGATCTTCCCAATTTCTGCCATTCGTTTGCACAGTCTCATTGTGCCACTGATGGCGCGCCGTCAATCGTTGGGCTTACGGCTTTTGCTGTTGTCCCTGGTGTATCAGGTCAGCGGACAAGGTACAACACCAAAGACAGGATGGAACTCGGAGGGTTGCTATGTTGATTCCGTGGCGGGCCGGACGCTTTCGGTAGGCATGGGGGTGACGGGTGGTATGACCAACGCAAAGTGCAAGGACGCTTGTCGAGCAGCAGGGTACGTGCTTGCTGGCACCGAGTATGCTGGAGAGTGTTTCTGCGACAACCAGTTCAGGAACAACGGCGGGCCTGCACCTGATGGCGAAGTAGGTTGCAACATGGCTTGTAACGGCAACCAGACGGAGATGTGCGGTGGATCCGACCGCTTGACCACCTTCAAGTTTTACACAGGTGGAGAATCTACTGCATCATCTGCTGCACCAACAGTTGCCCCTTCGACTGCTGTATCGACTGCAAACCCAAGTGTGCCTGCAACTAGCACCTCTGCCGCGCAGCCAGTAGCGACCGGACTTCCAAAAGGCTTCGAGTACAAGGGCTGCTATGTCGACGGGCCCGGATTCCGCATTGTGAACTATCAGCAACCTGACGACCAAGCCATGACCATCGCCTCGTGTGCTACCAAATGTGCGGCTGCCGGATACCAAATCGCCGCCATGGAATACAGCTACCAATGTTTTTGTGACAATGCTGTAAGTCCTATTGTCCTTATTGGTACTCTTCATGATACTAACAACTCTCCCAGGTCAGGATGGGCGGCAAGCTCGCCGAGTCAGAGTCAGATTGTAACACAAAGTGTGCAGGCGACCAAAGCCAGACATGCGGAGGCCCCAACAGGATGAGCATCTGGTCATCTCAGGAACCACTCAAGGTCATCCAAGCTCCCAAGCCCGTAGCAAACGTGAGCGGTTGGGAGTACCAAGGTTGCATCACTGACAACGTCAACGGTCAATCCGTCTTTCCATGGAAGCTAGTCAACCAAACTGCCAACTCTCCACAATGGTGTCTGAGCCAATGTCAAGCTTTCGGCTACATGGCTGGAGGTATGGAGTACGGTGAAGAATGCTACTGTGGAGACCTCGATGGTATCGAGAAGACTGGATCTCAAGTAGCGCCCGAATCTGACTGCAACACTGCCTGCTCTGGCGACCCGGAAGCCCTCTGCGGCCAAGGTAATCGACTGAGCTGGTACAAGTGGACAGCCGACCCGCTTTACGTCTTCGACTATCCCAAAGGCAACGCCGCTGGACGATATGAATTCCTCGTCGGCGGACCCATCATCCCGTTGATCTCACAACCCGGCATTAACGGCAAAATCTCTTTCCTAGAGAAACACGGAACAGGAGAGCCAAACACGACTGGAGCTTATGAATTCGACCCTTCGATTGGCGGAGACATCTTCCATGCTTTCCGCGAACTCCGCGGCATTAAGACGGATATTTTCTGTGCGGCAGGACTGACTATGCCGGATCGAGCCGGTCGTCAAATCAACATTGGTGGATGGTCGACAGATTCCCTGTTTGGCGTTCGCATTTACTGGCCCGACGGCTCAGCTGGAGTCAACGGTACAAACGACTGGCAGGAGGATGTCAGCACTGTCAAGTTGCAGCGAGGTCGATGGTACCCCACAGGCATGGTCATGGCCAACGGATCGATGCTCATCGTCGGTGGAGAGGATGGCTCAAATGGACCCCCAGTACCGAACATGGAGATCTTGCCTACTGTCGGGCCTGTCTATGAGGCACAGTACCTACGTGACACTGACCCTTACAACCTTTACCCATACCTGGTCGTGCTTCCGTCTGGTGGTATCTTTATCCAGTACTACAACGAGGCGCGCATCCTGGACGAAGTCACCTTGGATACAGTCAAGGTCTTGCCCAAGGTCCCTTCGTCAATCGTCGATCCCACCGGAGGCCGCACGTACCCGCTTGAGGGTACCCAGGTCCTTATGCCACAGTACTACCCCTACGATGCACCTCTTGAGGTTCTCATCTGCGGTGGTGCAGCCAGGCAGCCCGCCTGGGGCCTCGACAACTGCGTTAGTATCGAACCAGACGCGCCAAACCCACAATGGACTCTTGAACGCATGCCATCCAGGCGTGTCATGTCGTGCATGGCAACGCTTCCAGACGGAACTTTCCTGATCCTCAACGGAGCTGAGATCGGTGCGGCAGGCTTTGGTCTTGCAGACCAATCCAACCTGAATGCTGTCTTGTACGATTCGAGGAAGCCGAAACACAAGCGCATGAGCATCATGGCCAACACGACAATTGCGCGCATGTACCACTCTGAGGCTGTACTCATGGACGACGGAAGGGTGCTTGTATCTGGTTCCGATCCGGAAGATCAGGGTAAGCATCCTCAGGAGCATCGATTGGAGGTCTTCCTTCCACCCTACATTCTCTCTGGCGCACCGCAACCCACTTTCGACCTGCCCCAAAATGACTGGATTTGGGAGACAGACTATTCTTTCACAATTACATCCGCTACCAGCGGCGCGATCAAGGTCTCACTGCTCGGATCCGAGTCTAGTACTCACGGAAGCTCCATGGGAGCTCGCATTCTGTTCCCAAGCTTCTCTTGTGCTGGAACATCGTGCACCGTCAAGGCACCAAAGGGGCCTTATGTCGCGCCGGTAGGATGGTACCGTATGTTTGTTTTGGATGGACCAACGCCTTCGCACGCCAAGTGGATCCGACTTGGTGGTGACCCAGCCGGGCTTGGAAACTGGCCCAACGCAGAAGCTTTCAAGCCATTGCCCGGTGTGGGACCTGTAAACTCACCCAAGAAGACGACTAGGTCCGAGTCTGCTGTGCCTCGCAGCTTCTTCGGATGATGGGGATTCCATAAATGTGTTGCAATTTAATGTCTATTTGTTAATCTAGTAGCTGAGGCACTCATGAAGACGAGGATATATAACTATATTCCCTCTCGAGGAACTTAATGACAAGCGATTCTTTACCATACATGCTCGATGACGATGAACATGACCATGTGCGAATCTCGTTCCCTAAGAGTGTTAGCCTACACCCGATGAGCATGGTGGATCCCAACATACAGCCAAGTGCTCAGGTGCTCTTTTTCGGTCGAGATCGCTTCCGTGCTTGCATCGGCTGGAGCGGCTGTGATAGTCCTCGGATCCGCTGCCGCATGCTTATCTATTTAGGTCCACCCTCGGTCATCTGTTTTCGTCAACTTCCTCATCGCTGCTTGGGAAGCTCCACTCGCTCGATTGGTAGTAGCAGTCAGAATTGTCCTCATCCCCGCTCATACTGACCTCTTCCGTCTGGCGGGCGTGGAGGGTAGAAGCAGAGTAGGCAGATGTCATCCGGGAGGGCGACCTTGAACGAGCCCGCTTGACGGACCGGACGTAGCCTGCTTTGCTGAGGTCGGCACGTGGAGTGGGTCTTGTGGGCGATGGGGAGCGGGGGCGCTTGTTGGTGGCTCCGGACTTCAAGCTGGAGAAAGGTTCATCATCCCCAGTAAGATCGATGACCGACCGGTCCTTCATCGGTGAATTGCTGTTCTCCGAGGGCGTTGCGCGATACTCCTCTGGACACTCATATCTTTGCTGAATGCGCTCCCGTATCTCGTCCTCGATTAGACGCGATTTGTGCCGCTTGTTGGGCTGTTGTATCAGGTCGGCAGTCGCCAAAGCCCATTGCTGCAGTTTTTGGGTTGAGGCGGAGACGCTGCTAGGAGCAATCTGATCATCATCACGCTGGTGTTTGAAGTGCGACTTGTCGAATCTGGGACCGCTATAACTGTTGTAGTTGTAGTTACTGTTCCTGTTTCTCTGATGCGGACGACGGCCATTTCGATGATATTGTGACATGATGGTGACAAGCAAGAGATGCAATTGACGTGAGTAACGTGAGAAAGATGCCGAGGTAGGCGCCCTCCAAGCCCAAGGTGCAGTGGCCCGTTCAGATGTGGAGGCGACAGACGATACAAAGCGTGCACGAGTTGAAGTTTGGATGGAAATTGACGTGTCGTCGTTGATTGAAGTCCCGGGCAATCGAGACGCGCCCGTTGATCTGCACCCCTTGCGCTGCGGCTCCTCGGCCGCCTTGGCGCACGTCCACCGCGCCTGTACCTACTCTCTTTCAACGACACTTGGAAGCCGACTTCTTGTACTTCTTCTCACATCTAACTGTTTCATTGTGTACGGCATCCTCACATGCTAGTGTCGGATTGACTGCCACTAACGGCACCAACACTGCGCCTCTTGGCTAATCGCAGCCCACAACACGCGGCGATTACGCCCGGCAAGCCGTCTTGCACCACACACGACGGCTGGTCTTAGTTCCTTGAGAGACTCTCGTAGCAAGAATTGGTCACCTGTCTTGCTCATACACACATTGTCTAGCCTGGCGACTTTGAATCGACCTGTACATTGGATTATAGCAACACAGCATCACGGGTCCAACCATCGCGACCACCTCTACACTGTATAGCCACCTGGTCACCTCGGACGGCGTGTGCCGTGACCAGATCTGTGAGGCCTCCAAGACACCAAACTCGATGCATCGCGCGCGGCAGTTGAGAGGCACAGACCCCTCCGCCCGTCTACACTACATCAGTCCTGACATGATTGGCCAGTGCGGCTAACTAACCAACGCAGCACTTTCAACTACTCTTTGGGTTACCAAAGAGCTGGATACCGCGAGATATCTAAATCAAGTCGCCAGAAAGCGTGGGACCATATGTCTGGCTGCCCCATATTGCCTCGTATCATTCCTGAACAGAATGTCCACTTCAAACGACTTGCCTGACACTAATGCGATTGCCTATGGCGACCCTACTGCTGAAGGGGCTAGCAGCTCCGGCCCCTCGCTCGAAATTGACGTGCGCTCCCCGTTCCTCCGCTTGGCCTTCCCTGCCTGGCCGGACTGACAGGTGCCGTGACAGAGCGCAGATAGCGATGAGCGCGACTCTACCTTTGGCGATTCTGCCTTTGGTGACAATCAATCCTCCTACACCATGTCGGCCACATCGTCCGTCTTCGACTTTCGCTACGAGAACGGCAGGCGATATCATGCCTATGCCGATGGCAAGTATCCAGTGCCGAATGATGATGTTCGTCCTTTGCTCTGCCACACATGAGATAATGCTGACAGGACATCGATAGGTTGAGGCGGATCGACTAGATCTCCAACACCACGCGTTTCGCCTTACACTCGAAGGCAAGCTGTACAGGGCACCGATTCCTGAAAACGTGCAGAATGTGCTCGACGTGGGCTGCGGAACCGGCATATGGTCTATTGAATTCGCCGACGAGCATCCATCGGCTCATGTACTCGGAACTGACCTGAGCCCCATTCAACCCGCCCACGTACCCCCGAACTGTGAGTTTCTCATCGACGATTGCGAGCAAGACTGGATTTTCCACACCAAGTTTGATTACATCCACACACGAGCCATGGTAGCTGCCATCAAGGACTGGGACCGCTTCTTCGACCAAGCCTACACCAATCTCAAGCCCGGCGGCTATCTAGAGTGTCAGGAAATTGCTTTCCCCATACGGTGCATGGATCCGGGAGTCACTGCCGGGGACTCGCCCCTGATCCGGTGGTCGGAATACTTCATTGAGGCCGCAAAGAAGATTAGTCTCGACGGTACTGGGCCTCGGCACTTTACTCCACAGCTCCGCAATGCTGGCTTCACTAATGTCAACGTCAAGATGTACAAGTGGCCTGTTGGAAAGTGGGCAAAGGGCGCAAGGTTCAAGCTGCTCGGCCGGTTTGTGTATGAAGATCTAATGGACTGGCTACCGAGCAGCTCGTTGGGACTATTCACGCGCATACTAAAGTGGTCAAGAGAGGAGGTTGAGGTGTTTCTGGCAGAATGCCGAGCCGAGGCTAAGAGGAAAGACCGACACTACTACGCGGATGTGTAAGTCGCCCTCGCTATAAAATCGTCACATCGCTGACTTTGCAGATTCTTCTGGCATGCGCAGAAACCGAGTAATGCGAGTAACCCAAGCCATGGACATGATGTAGTACACGAGGAAGAGGGCATCGACCGTGACGAAGAAGACTACGGAAATCATGCCAGAGTACCGTCTACCGTAGCGACAGATGCGCCATAGGCGTCGGGCCAATCGATAGTCTGGCAACTACTAGGGTGAGTGAAACAATGAGGTATAGCAACATTTTACTTTGAATATGTTGGTAGGCCTTGTACGATCGTACGGGTGAATAACAACAACGAGGTGCTACGAAGGTGTACCTAAGCTCTGCGCAAGGTGGGCCGAAGTCGGGCCGAAGTGTCAAGCAGCCGACGTCTCTACCGATACTCACGATCGGACAGAATATCATATTTCTCTAGTAGCCAGACCAAGACTACCCTCTTATATACCAGTATAAAATCCCAACCGCAAAGAACGATACACAACGCCCATGACCCAGCCAAGCCTAACCCCATTCACCCCCTCCCCCTCCTAACCCTCCCCCCTCCCATTATCTCCTCCCGCACCAACTTCACCCTCCTATGCTCAATATACCCAAGATACCTCCTCACATAAACATCCCCCTCTTGTCTAACCGCCCATTTCCTCCCCACGTTATCCCAAACCATCTTCCCCTTCCAATCTTCCACCTCATAGAACCCCGGTTCTCCCGGGAAGAATGCCGCGTACGCTTTTGCTGTATGCGATATGGCTGGGGGTAAGGGAGTGTTTTTTGGGGTGGTGGTGGTGGGCCTGCGGGTGGATGTGGGTTCTGGTGGGGGGTACAGGTTTTGGAAGGCGAGGGTGGGGAGGGCGGCGCTGCGGGTTGCCCGCGTGTTGCATGGGTTGCGGGGTCCGGGTGCTCGCGCGAGTGCTGTTGCCGGTGCTGTTGCTGATGATGCTGTTGCTGATGGTGCTGGTGCCGGGTCTGGTACTGGTGCTGGTACTGGTGCGGGTATCGCAGTGGCTTGGCGGGCGGCTGGAGATAGTTGGGCAGCTGCGAGAAGAAGTGTAATTCCGTCTTCAGGAGCAGCACCAACACTGCCACGATCTTCCGGGGTCTTACTCTTGGTCTTGCCCTTGGGTTTTGACGCTATCTTCCTTCGGGAAGATCTCGTGGGAGCGAGAGCGGGACCAGCCGTAGTAGTGGTAGTGGTGGTGGTGGTGTCAGCAGTAAATGCCGCTTCACCCTCCCTCTCCACGGCTAGAACAGACCTCGAAGTCTCATAAACCCTCGGCTTCTTCTCATTTAAGCGCAAAATAAGACTTTTTTGTCCTTTTGTCTCTGTGTCTTGCGCTTCCACTTCTATTTCCAGTTCCACTTCAGCTTCAGTTTCCGTTTCTGTTTCCTCCCCCAAACCACTATAATCCATTGCTACACCACAACCCTCTCTCTCCGTCCTCTGCCTTTTACTATTCACAACCGGAGCAGACCAAACCTGTGTCGGAGGCGTATTCGACGTCGGCTGCCTCTTCCTACTCGCAATGGAAGCGGACTGAAGTTTTGCAGGAGGCGTATTCTGCACCACCGCTGGCAGCGGGATGTTGATTGAACGTGTAAGGAGAGCTAGAATATTTGCGTCCATTTGCTGTGCGGAGGGTGTTGTGGGAAGCGCGGTGAAGGCAGCGAGAGTGGTAGTTTTAGAAGGCATGTTTGAGATTGTTTTAGTTCGATGTGTGAGAGTTGTGCTTGAAAGGCTAATTTTGGCAGAAAAGGCTGTGGATGTGAATGTTGTTCAGTTGTGTGATGAGATGTGTCTTGATGGGAATATTATTGTTTAAATACTCGAAAAATCTTAGTTATCTAGTATAGAAGATGTTTGTTTACTTTTTTTTAACTACTGTGAACCATGGTTCGGGTTACAAAAGTCAACTTTTTGGGAAATATATAGATAATGACCTATTGTTAGGCGGGAGTGCGGAAATTCCTGAGCCTATCGACCCCCGCGCTACCTTTTGCCGATAGGTACGGTGATGTGATGTGGTAGCTTGGTGGATACTTAATGCTGTTCCATTTGCTTTCTCATCGTCATAGTACACTGTAGTCATACACACCTCCCCACATTTCGGTCGATCTTAGACAACAAAGTCGACATGTGACCTTGGTAGTGAAATATGGGCCAATATATGATGAAACCATGAGTTGTATTATGTACAGAATACTAGATAACGTGATTAACAATACTTTGAGTCCCTCTTCTCGTTGAAAATTAAACATTACAGTCCAGCATGTCCTCATGTTAGACGGCCGCGACACTTATCTTCGAGCCTTCACACTCCATCCTGCTGAGAGACAAAATTCTTTCGTGCTCCGTAGCCTCCTGTTCCTTGAATTTGGAGATCAGATCCATGGTGCTCCGCCGAACACTAACCAAACTCTTGTCCTCGCCTGCTCCATCGTCCTCGCCGGCAAAGTCATAGGACCTCCCATGGCTTATGTTGCTCATACGGCTCATTTGACTGACGTTTCGAGAGTGATGATGTATTCGAGCCGAAACATTGCGTGAGTGCATGGATACGCGCTTGCTATCGAAAGAGAAACGAGCCAGTCGGCCAAAATCGTCAAGCCCCATGTCGGCATCCGTGCTCAGACGCGGGAATGAGTCGACACAATTCTCATAGTAGACTGACCAGACACGGGCGCGGTCTTTTGCGTGCTCCGAGTCGGTAGCACCGTCACGAAAAGCTAATTCGTTCAGGTTGGGTGCAGACGAGTTTCGGCGTGGACGGAGCGTAGCCATGGAATCGTCCGCTAGCAGTTTTCCTTTACCCTTGGCATCACTGGCTTGATTATCACCATCTGTTCGACGCATATCGTGGTGGTCCTGTGCCAAAACTTCTTTGCTTCTGTTGTGGTCACCTGCCCACACATCGGGTAGAAGTTCGAGCTCAGGATGTTCGAGGATGCCACCAGACGCTATAGAACTACGGTGTCCCCTGCCGTGTCTGCGAAATTCCGTGCTCTGACTCTTGAACATCTTACTGTAATTTTTCATCAAAGTCTTTCCAAAGGTCATAGAGTTGCTCTTCGCCACGCGGCCGCTACCGACTCTCTTCTTTTTCTTCTTTTCTCCCGGCAACAGAGGCGTAGAGGGTCTACGCTGAACTGGATCGATACAATCTTCGTCATGCTTTGCCGATGCGAACCTCATAGCTGCTTCGAGTGCAAAGTCGCGAGGCTGCACATTATCCGCTTTGCCTGCAGAAGTGGTGCGGTCATGTCGTGTATGGGAGGGGTAGCGGCCCCATGCACCGACGACTTCCTTGCCGTCACCTTGTTTCTCGAATGCAGTGACAAGCTCATGTTCGACGGCCTCTTGTCCTGCCAAAGCGCTGCGTCTAGATAGTAATTTGAATGGCAGCCCTGAATCTTTTTTGCCACCAGGGGCTTGTGGGTCGGGCAACTTTGCAGGCACGTGGGAAACGTCATCGCTTCGGCTTATAGAGTCAACATCCTCGACGCTGACGCGCCTGGTGGATACACTGCCACTGCGTTCCCGGAAAGGGCTCGCATGTACGGCAAGCTCTCGATTTTTTGGGAGGAAAAGCGATGCCTTCTCTTCCTGATGTGCATGCAAAGCGCGATCCCAGACATCTTCCGCACCGCTATGCTGCCCGAGTGCCTTTTGTTCCGTCTGTAGGCTGACCAAGGACCGAGAATAGCGACGTTCTCGATCAGTAGGAATTACTAACGTATCGCCTGGACCGTCCACAGCGGTGATGTGAACATCGGGCTGAAGATGGGCTTCGCTTTGGCTGCGCAAGCTGAGTCGTTTCGGATTCAAAAACTTGATGATTGATGACGACGGTGTCAGCTTTTTCTTCGGTGGGGATGGACTGAACTCTTCTCGAAACTTGGACGTCTTGGTATCGGCAACACTATTCTTACGCGCCAAGGGTCCAGGGACGGAGAGAAGTGAGGGTTCTGCGGAATAGCCCGTGACGACAGTCAGGTTGGTGCCCCCATGCCGCTTAGTTGGTCGCGGTGTGTCTTCGTTGTCCGTGGGAAAAGAAACGGAACGTCTTAGCTTCCGGAGATCGGTTGATGAGGTATTGAAGGGTCTATTCTCGGTTGCAGTCCGAGAGAGGCTGACTAAGGATCCACCGAAACTGTCAGGGGGGCTTTGCGGTCTACTAGAGTATGTAGAAGACGCTACATCGGGGTGAGTGTCGGCGTTGTCCGCCACTACCTTGCCCCATCGGGCCGGAACCTTGGAGCTTGCAAAACCAGAGCTCGATGTCTGCCGGTTGTGACGTGCTGACTGACGGTTTCGCTGAGAGACACGGCTCTGGTCTGAAACAGTACGCTCGCGCAACGCACGCGGTGGGGTGGGTAGTTGTGGGGCGTCGGCAAGCTGGTCCCACGAAAGAAGAGATCCAGAACGTAGGTGGTGAGAGATGCGCATACTATAGAGATGGACAGAATGACGCTGGTTGCTATCGACATCCTCATCGACGGCTTGTTCCGCTTGGTCATGTTTCTTCAGCGGCATGTGCTCTCGAAGAGTGCCTCGTATAGATGTGGATGGCCTTGGACTTGCGTTTGAAGTAGGCTGCTGAACCCGGATCTCTACGACATGCGAAGGAAAGGTAGGAATCGTCTCGAGTGTTTGGGTCGACGATACGCAGTTGGTAATATCCTGAGGCTGGCGGTCTGTATGAGAGTTTTTTGGTTGTTTATCGTCCTTCAAAAGAGTCTTGGAAACTTTGGGGGAGATGTGACGGGGAGGTACAGGGAACTGCGAGAGACGAAGACTTTCTCGCATGGCTTCAGACCATGGTATCCCTGTCGAGTCATTGCCTGTTAGACTCGGCAATCGTAGGGGTGAGATGGGAGAGGGCTTTGGCAGGCCCATTGATGTAGCAGAGTGTGAGCGTCGTATCCTTCGATCCCTTTCCTCCGATGTGTTTGGCCGTAGGTTGGGCGTGCTAAAGACATGGTTGAAGCGAGTCGAGAGGGACACTGCCTGCGGCTTAGAGATATCATAAGGATGAACGTTGTTTTGGTGGTCGGCGCTGATGCAGTCTTTTGTTGACGACTCGTATGTGGTTTTACTGTGATGCATGAGCAAGGGCAGAGACGAGGTGAAGTCAACCCACCTTCCCGTGGATGTGGTCCAGTCAATGCTATGGATGCTTGGCCGCTTGGTTGGTAGCTTCTTGCTGATATTCCTTGCAATGTCGTCAAGTACTTCAGCATCCGAGTCGTACCCCCCTTGATCGGGCTTCCTGTCACTGAGCAAATCCTTCTTCAGGGCGCCTTTGGTAACGTGGAGTGGCTGAAGCGGCCCATGTTGCGACTGCTTGACTACAGTACCAGATTTGGATATGGTAGTGGTGTCCTGAACGTCGTATTTGTCTTCTGTAAGAATAGGAGCCGTGTTTGAAGGGTCCTTGGAGAACTTCCGTCTGATGATGGAACGCATGCTCGTCATCTTGTGCAGGCTGCGGATGCTCTGCATCGATGGGCGGCTGAAACGTGCACGACCGGCGGGCATGGGCATGGCTCTGTCGTCATCAGCGTCTCCTGCATTGTGAAAGATCTCTCTAAGCTCGTGGAGATCTTCTGAGCGAGCACTCGTGGAGTGCGAGTTTGGTGAGCTGGAGTCCTTTGGTAAGAGAGGCCGTTTCGCTGGTGTGGCCTGGCTGATACGAGCATTGGGCAGCTCGGGAGAGTCTGATCGACCCTCCTGCTCGGCAGTGCAGCACAACTTGGCTGTCATGATGAGCAAGCGGAGGATGGATAGTTGAGGTTGGCCTTTGGTTTGGAGTTTGCTGTTTGTTGACTGACGTCTGTTTCCACGCGGAGTACCTCCTACAACAACGCAAGCCAGGAAGGAAGCTCACAACCACATGACGCGGCAAAGTTAAGCAAAGCAACACAGTACAGAACAGGGCAATCAAGGGCTTCAAAATTACAAAAAGACGCACTTCATGCACGGCGAGTTGAGGAGATGGTGGGTCGTGCATGACGGCTGAAATGGGCGCACCTTTCATCCCATACTATTAGTCATGACTGCATGTCTGATACTGTGGGCATACAGACGAAGAAGGAGTGATTGCCATGGCTCAAGTCGTCACTGCAATGCTTCCCAAATGTATGACTCCGACTGAGCTACCATTGGCGCTTGCCTACCAATACTGCTCAGCTCATCATCTTCTTGCCACTTGCATCTTCGCTGTACAGTATCTGGTCTTTGATCCACGTAGCCACACCTTCGGTACACAGTTGGTCGACTGTTTCCCATTGGCCCTCCTTGGCAGCTTTTCGCACTCGCGTTGAGCTCACGCCCACACCTTCCTCGGCCTGCACCATGTCGATATTGTTGCCCCATGTGGGCGCAAACCCATCTTCTTCTTGCTTTCCAAGCTTCAGGTCATCCAAGTATCTTGCCTGCTCCTCTGTTGTGCCAAAATCGTTAGAGGACTCGTCGCTCGCGTCTGCCGGTCGCTGGGTGACACGTAGCTTGTGGTTGGCGTCGAAGAAGGGTTTTAGGGCCGAGAGGGGTGGGTCGTGCTTAGGGTAGTACTTTGGGTTGCAGAAGCGGATCAAGGTGTCATAGCCAACAAGATGGACATGAATTGGCTTGGACGGATACACAGGCGGGGTGGCATTGGCAATGGCAGCCGATTTGTCACTGTAGTAGGGCTCTTTGGTGAGGCCAATATCTATGGAGACGCTGGAGACTTCAGGGCTCAAAGGGGGCTCGGCCGTCTTGAGGCTCTGTGACAGGTCCTCTGCAAACATGGTCATCATGGCAAGTCGCTGCACGAAGCTTGCGGGGCTCGGCGCCTTGTCTGCATTGTGCGTGCTAAACAGCAAGAGCAGCCGGTACGGACTCTGCTCTGACGCTACAGATTGCTTCAACGCCGATGTGGCGAGGGTGAGATGGGCAATGGACGGCGGATTGAAGGAAGAGTCGAGAATGTAGAGCGTCTTGGGCTGCGTCGTGGTGCTGTTGACTGTGCGCACCACGCGAAACTTTGCCGCTGAATCTGTAAATGAATGCAGTACCGATTCGAGGTCTGGTAACAGCGCCCTCAGCGACGCGACGCGCGATGCCATGTCGGCCATGATGGTCGCGAGCTGCTTGCTCGACCTGTCGCTCACAGCCCAGCCCAGGGCGGGGTGGGAGCTCATCCCTGCTGCTACAGGTACCTCTCGCACTATCACATGCAACATCAATCATCAATATTAAGAACTACAACCCATGCTTCTGACTACGCGTCTTTTACTATTCACGCGATACGGAGAAGACATGTTTGAAATCTCAAAGGCGACCGCCCGTTCCCTATCATGTTGCGCACACTCTATCTCGTCGCGGCCTTTGGCGTGGCGGATGCGGGGACGGTCAACCCACATCAGGCCTAGGTAGTTGGTTGATTTATGGTTCTTGTTTCGTGAAAGCAGACGTCGTTTGGCTCATTCCAACACCACAAATATTCTTCTCGATTAAATCTACTGTCCGAGAGAGCGCCAACCCTTGAGATCCATCATGGATTCTTTCTTTTCGTCGAATTATCGGCAGTACAAGAAAGACACTGGTACGCTGTGCCCCAATCGCAACTTCGTTGTTTCTGACTTTCTTAGAATATATTGCGGGATGGCTTGCGGATACGGCCAAGAAAGCCGGATTCCAATATACGTATCCGAATGGACAAGCAGTTGAGAAAGGAAGTCATCGCATCAAAGTCGGAGACTTTGTCCCTATGGCCGAGGCTATCGCGAATCATACCCCAAGGATTTCTGTCCCGGGCGCCCTCACCAAGTTGTTTAAGCGCGTCATTGAAGCTCGAAAAAAAGCTGCGGCCTGGATCAGTTCATCTCGCGACAAGCATCAGCAGCCTATCGAGCAGAGCAATCAGACGCATGCTCATTTCATCGACATCCTAAGCAATGCTGCTCAAATCCTCCAACCACTCGTTCGTGAACGGCCACGGCAAGCCTCCGGACCTGGCCGACGTCGCCAGGCATCGGATCTCGATTCAAAGCGAGATATGACCAACGCTTTTTCTAGCCTTGCTGTGGACGGTGACAACGTGGCCGACGATGCAGGGGAACAGGGCGAACCGGCTGCAAGGCCAGAGGACCCCCTAGACTCTCTTCCACCCGTCAACCTCGTTGAGGTCTATCAGGATGAGTCTGAGCTCGAAGCTGAGTTCTTCTTCGCTATTCAATCCTTTCTGACCAACTTGCACGAGCTCCGCGATATCGTACAACAAACTTGGTGGGATTACAAAAACAACAGAGTTGACATGGCACATGCATCCATCGTCGTAAACACGGCTATCGACCTCGTTCGTCATGCTGAGTCCGAGTTTGAATTAACTCTCAAGCGCCCGAAGAAATACCCAAGCAAGAGGTTCCCTGTAAGGGTACTCCCTGCACTCCTCTTGACGACCCAGCATGGGGACGATTTGCATGGCGAAGAGGAGCTTCATGATTTCTTGTTCCCCAGTGGCCTAATGATGCCTGGCGCCCACGATTGCTCCCAGGTTTATTGGTGCTTTTGGCCCGTCTACTCAGGGTTGAAATACTATCTGTACGATGTAATTACATGCAGGAAATGCAAGAAACCCTGCATTCCAAGCATTAGCGAGACCGCCTTCGAACCCGTCGGAGGTGTTCACAAGGATACCATGCGCACGGTCAAACTGTGCCAGACATTCCGGCATTTCACAACCAAACATCATGACACTATAGCAATAGATGAGGTCACCCGCGGCATGGACCACATGTTCAAACACAACGAAGTTCCTCTGTGGACGACCGTAAGTAGCCCTAGAGTACGACCCCATGTGAGATACCACTAACTCGGCCTCAGTTTGGCATGCAACTTCTCCTCGACATTCAGGATGTCATAGGCGAAGAAGACGCCCAGAAGCCACTATGGGAGCTACAAGAGCGTCTGGATAAGGAAATCTCATACAACGAGGTCTTTACGTGCAAGTCGTCTTCGCCATTTACCGACGAGCGCATTGAAGAACTTCGAGTGGACATGACGCACAACCTCAAATACAACCAGGAGCTTGCCAAGGATCCATGCGATACCTTGAAGCCTAATCCTATTCGCTGTGGACTGCTCATGTACGATGCCTACTTGGAACTCAACACAACCGGGCACAACCTTGAGCGCGTGGCCGGTGAAATGTGTATGATGGCCCATCTGTACAAAGCTACTCGTCTTATTGCTCCCGACTCGCCAAAATGGCCCGACATGGAGTATCTGATATACCAACAAGACGAGGCCCATATCTTCTTTGGGGGTGTTCCCAAGACGTTTGAGGAGTGTGTGCGAAAAGTGAAGCTCATGATGGGCCAGTCTCGTGCTGACCAAGCTCGTGAGGAAAGAATGAGTGAAAAAGCCAAAAATGCAGCGCGGGGACGATCCTTGAAGCCCAAGAATAGCCGTTGGATACAGGACCCCAGCATTCTTGCTCCGATTTTCCGCGAACGGAGCTTTGGGACGGCGGCAAACGCCGCGTCCATCGACACCCAAGTCAGGAACCTTTTCAGCACCATGCGGTCTCCAACCGAAATGGCTCGTTTGGCCAAGAAGCTTCGTCTCACACCTGAAGAACTTGACGAGAAATTCGCATCTGAGAGACGTGGTCGCTGCGAGTACCACCCTGGTAGTGATAACGGGCCCACTACTCTCTTGCGTGATCTCTCAAGTTGGCTTGAGGGTGATGCTACAGACCTTTACTTCAGCTGGCAAGCGCTCCAAGACCAATGCGGAAAGATTTGGTCAAGGATAGTGAGTTCCTTCAGTAAGGATACCAAATGGGATAAGAAGAAGAGCTTGACCCCTTACTTGGGTGTCTACATTCTCGAGGAAGCCGCTGCAGACGAGCATCATTGGGAATGCATTGCCAAAGATGACCCCAAATTTGCCATTCATCTTCGCAAGGTTCACATCGCCATACAAGCCACGATATTCGAAAAGGCAAAGCCACCCCCAAACAACCTGGGCATCTTTTCTATGCTGCCTCAAACCCAAGTCAACGAGCACTTGGCGAGGGGAGGAGATGTATGTCTCAGCCGAATGGCGACAGACAGCAAAATCTTCTTCCACTCCTTTAGTCCCGTCGACTTTGTACACCTGTATGGCAATTGGCCGGGACAGGTGTTAAAGGATGCCAAGATCATGTGGGCTTGGGGGGAACATATAAATGCGGTAATATCGAGGTGCTTGGAAATTCGTCCCTGAACAACTCCACCACATGGTAGCCCACCGCCTGGCAGGTGACGGTGACGATCACGATCACAATCACGATCACGATCACAATCACAATCACAATCACGATCACGATCACGATCACGATCACGATCACGATCACGATCACGATCACGATCACGATAATGATGATGACGATGATGATGAGTACTCCAGATGGGACCCTGAAATTGCTCGCCGCGTCATGGAGTTCAATGCAGCGGCTGCAGAGCTAGGCCGTGAGGGTATCAACCTATAATTTCTCTGTTTCCCAAACAAGCGTTGCACTCTCAACATGGGGCCCTCAAAGGCCAAGCAAGAAAGAGCAGAGTTTGAATATCGCGTTGTCTTTTTGTACCAAGAAAATAGAAAGTACCCAAAAAAATCGTCAAATACACAGGAAGACAAAAGATGTCATAGTTAGGTAGCAAGAATAAAACCCCCACTGTTGGTAGGGCTGTAGCACTAGTGCTGAAAGGAAATAACGATAACTAGGAATGCATTCTGTTCGGTGATGGTTCTGATTGATTGTCTTGCGAAGGAGAACTATGGAAGAGCTAGATATAGGAGGTCTGGTCTGAGCGCTGCTCGGACGCCGCGATCAGTGCGCCTGTCCGCGTGACCGAGATTAGTGCGGCCGATCGCGTGGCTGAGATATCGTTGATATCTGTAATCCGACACCCACACTCGTTTTACTGAATCTACGTCTTTCAATGTGGATGTATATTTATCATGATGATGAGAACTAGCATGGAAGCGAGATAAATCACGATCATACGTGTCGTCGGTTCTTCAGATGCAAGGTCCCGCTGATGCAGTGTCACACTTTCCACTCTATCCCTCCACCGTTTAAACCACCATTTGTTACCTGCACAATCTTCATCATCGCCGTCTTCATCCTCAACTTCTCCACTGTAACGATTCCACCAGCACCAGCTCCAACATCTCCCCCAGCAACCCTCTCCCCAGCACCATCTCCCACATCCTCCTTTCCTACCCAACACTTTGACATCACCATCAACACACCATACACCAACCCTCCACCCCGGTCTAACTCTAGCATGCCAATCTCCACTTCCCACAAGTGTGTCGTTGTCTAAATCCCAGAGTGATCGGACGAGGATGCCGTCGTCGCGGAGAAGGTTGAGGAGGTCGTGTATGGCGGAGTAGTGGGTGTAGAGGGTGTAGGGGAGGGTGAAGGTGTGTGTTGAAGTGGGGATGGACGGCGAGGGCAAGATAGTAGAGGAGGGGAAGTAGAATGTCAGGATGATATGTAGAGAATCATGCTTAGGCGGAGGGTTATGGGGCGATGGGTCCTCGGGGGAAGCATAATAATAGCATGGAAAATGCATTTCCATCAATCAAGTGAGCAAGGAGTCTAGTTTGAAGTTTCTAAGCATGCAAAAAAGGATATGTATTTCATAGTAGATGTATCATTTTTCCCATCACCCCTAACTAGTCCCAGTCGGCCCCAATCTATCTACTCTACTCACCCGCTACACTCTTCCCCTCTACCTACACTTCCCCCCATCATCACCCTCCACTCTATCTCGCTTTTTCATCTCCTACTAAACCCCCTGATCCTCCCACATGCCTTCATCTACAGTACTTGACTCGTCTCCCTTCTACATGGTACTCAATGTAACACTGTGGTACCAACGCCTCAATTCTACCGTTGCACAATCACATGCGCATCCGCATCTATATTAGAGAACGGAAGCTAGTATATATGCCGTAGGGTTGATGCGTGGTACCCGCAATCTACATTCCCGTTACCCCCGTACCGTGTCCCCATCCCGCATACCCGCTCCGCCCTTCCACCGACCCGTTTCTCATCATGATCAACGACATCGACCGCGTTCGTTACTTCATCCGACCAAGCTACTATCTCAACACACGGTAATTCGACAGACAGACAGACAGACAGAAAAATAGGCAAGTGAATATAATGTCGAATCGTGAGTATCGGTAGAGACGTCGGCTGCTTGACACTTCGGCCCGACTTCGGCCCACCTTGCGCAGAGCTTAGGTGTACCTTCGTAGCAGCTATGTTCGTAGAAGATCAATACCAATACCAGTCACCAGAAGAACCTCGTTGTTGTTATTCACCCGTACGATCGTACAAGGCCTACCAACACTGATCAGTGATTGCATGGCAGTCACAGACAGTTAGGTTAGAAGAGACAGATCCTATAACCCCGCGCGTTCCCTAGATCGCCTACATCAGCGGCGGAGTTATCTGTGCTAAGTTCACTGTTAGCTGTATCAGGCGTCTCATCCGGCTTGAGACCGACCGTTCCAGCCGTATCAGAGCGTTCCCAGACGCAGTCCATACACGCACCGACCCCCACTTGGTCGCGCCATTGACCCGTGTACAACCCACGACTACCGACGAGTCCCTGGCGAACGCAGCCAGCAAGGCACACGTCAACAATCTACGACAACCGACGTATCCCTGGCGAACGCAGCCAGCACGGCACGCGTCAACAACAAATGGCGAGCGAAACAGCAAGCAGTAATGGAGGCTGTACACTCACACGAGAGGAGTTGCTAGGGACCACAAACCTAAAGGCAAGAGAGTGGCGTCACATTGATCCAAAGATCTGGGACGATGAGATCGAAGCCCCAGACGACGAGGTAGACGGAACTGCAGCAACAACGTACATTGCGCGTGCGATCGCAGACTACACAGACCGGCCAACAGCAGACGCAGAGCTCTTTGGTGAGTTCTGTCAGGACTTTGAAGGCTGGACTGAAGCTATGTTTATGCGCGCGCATGCAACGTATACTAAGGAACTAAAGCGGATCCTCCGCTTTAAGGGCGTGTACACTGGCCGTGTTAACATGCCGCCAAGCGAAGCTGTGGCCAAGCTACTGCACAAGGAGGATTGTCCGAAGTGGCCGGACGATCAGTTCCAATCTACTGCCTTCGACGAGCGGTCAGCGGCGTATATGCTGCAACAGCGGAGGCTACTAGGACGACACACTACGGGATCGGTACAACCTACAAACGTAGGGACAGCGAGTCGAGCGCAGAGCCAAACCTCTGCAAGGGCAAGAGACCAAGACGCAGAGGATCAACAAACCGATGTCCAAGACGAGACCCGCACCCGTACCCAGGTCAGCCAACAACTAGCAGATCCGCTTGTAGAGACAATTGAACAGACACCACAGGCAGACGGGCGACACCAGGCGGACCAGCGACAGCAAAGTCATCAACCTCGCTTAACGTACAACAACTTTGACAGATTCCGCGAATACACGCCAGCATACCCACAACGCCCAAAGGGACCGAGCGTCCCTCCAATTATACCTTCAGGGGATACAGACCCATACAAGGCAGTTCCCCCAATCGAGTTTAATAATGGGAAACTAGATCCGAAGACAATCAATGTCTTTACAAAGATGTGGGATCGTGAGAAGAAATACACAGGGAAGCCGTACGACCTCCTAGACGACAAATTGAAGATCTTCTACAGCATCTGCTATCACGCAGACATCCAGCCAGACCAATTCCATGCAGTCTTTCCACGGATCCTGGAAGGCCGTGCGCAAGACTACTACCTCCACTTCGTTGATCAGCGGACAGATACATTCTTGACTGTATACACGAAGCTTAAGAACCACTTCGACACGGACGTCAACCACAGTCACTACTATGCAGACTGGACGACGACATCCTTTGCTAAAGTCCATAGGGAGAATCCTGACAAGACACTCCATGAGGTCCTTGACATTATGCTAGACAAACTCCAGTTATGCCAGAGGGCGCTTGGGCAGCAGTATATGGGAGAATATGCGCTCCGGACCACAGTAATCACAGCATGTCGAGGCGTTAAAGAGTTCGCAATGGCGCTCTACAGGCCGTCTCTAGAATGCGAGGTCCTATTTGGAGATCTACGATCTTCGATTGAAAACTCACTCGCTATGACTACCTCTGTCAACTTCACAGAGGTAGACCAAGGTAACCAGTACTACTTAGACCGCCGGTACAACAGCAATGGAAGAAACCGAGGTGGGTCCCGAGGCGGAACTAGAGGCGCATTTCAAAAAGGCGAACAAAGCTTTGACAGTAGCCGTGGATTCAAGCCACGCTGGAAGAAGAAGTGCTTTGTCTGCCAGAAGGAAGGATGCTGGTCCACAAACCACACAGACGAAGAGCGCAAGACTGCCCGTGCGCAGTTCTTCTCTATGCTGTATTTTACAGGTGCGCCACCACCCAAGGACTTCTCAGTACACCTTGCAGAGTACGAAGGAATTGAGCACACCAGCCAGTATAACCAGAGAGGCTGGAAAGAGGAGGAAGACTGCGAGGATGACGACAATGACGACGGCACTGGCGAACAACAATACTTTGAGCAGCAGTTCTTCAAGGAGCAATGCCTTGCAGACCAGGCGTTCTTGCATCACATTTCTGGCGACGACATATACGGTCGAGGCGCGCCGTCAGCACCAGCGTCGCAGTTTCTGCTCGAGGACCGCTATACACGATCTCTGTACCAAGGTATCCTCCCGGATACAGGCGCTGCCAACGTATCTACAGTTGGCAAAGAGCAGTATCTTGCACTCACACGAGAAGATCCAACAGTTAAGATAGACACATCTACAGCTGGGAAAGCATCTATCAAATTCGGAAAAGGCGAGGCTACAGCGTCTATTGGAACAGTGCAGGTCTCTACAGAGATTGGGAAGATCAACTTCGAAGTGCTCGAGGCGCCTACACCGTTCTTGCTGTGCCTTGCAGATATGGACCGCTTAAAAGTCTACTTCAATAACACTACAGATGAGCTTGTTCAGGACAAGATACGCATCCCTGTTCTACGCAAATGGGGACACCCATGGTTCCATCTCAACAAGAGAGAGAGAGCAACGGTGTTTCTCACTGAGACAGAGCTGAGACGGCTCCATCGCCGGTTTGGACACCCAGCTGTCACGCGACTAGTTAAACTCTTAAAGGACGCTGGCCATAACGACTTTGAAGAGAGAACCCTAGAGGAGGTCACTGAATTCTGCCACCACTGCCAGCTCCACAGCTCCGCGCCGCGCCGATTCAAATTCACTCTGAAGGATGATCACCACTTCAACTATGAGATCCTGGTGGATGTGATGTATCTCAGCGGCAAGCCAGTATTACATGTGGTTGATTCTTCAACTGCTTTCCAAGGCGCAAAATTCCTCAGCGCTATCTCAGCTAAGGAGACATGGCAGGCACTGCGGATGCTATGGATCGACACGTATCAAGGACCACCAGACATCATCACACATGATGCAGGCACCAACTTTGCAAGCGCAGAGTTCCGTGCTGAGGCAAAGATCATGGGAGTTACATGCAAGCAGGTGCCTACAGAGGCTCACTGGTCGGTGGGCAAGACTGAGAGATACCACGCACCACTTCGCCGAGCATGGGATATACTCCATGACGAGCTCCAAGACGATATGTCTGATGAAGCGATCCTTCAAATGGCCGTGAAAGCTGTCAATGACACCGCTGGACCCGATGGTCTAGTCCCGACTCTACTAGTCTTTGGAGCATACCCACGAATGACTACAGAGTCGCCGCCGGCACCTTCAATGGTTAGGCGCAGCGAGGCTATTCAAAAGGCGACGAAAGCCCTGCGCAAGCTTACTGCAGAGCGCCAAGTTGCAGACGCCTTGAACACCCGCAATGGACCAGCCACTGCAGACATGCTCGCGCTCCCACTCCAGAGTGAAGTCTTAGTATGGAGAGAGAGTGATGGCTGGAATGGCCCGTACAAGATCGCCAGTATAGACGGCCACAACGTTACTGTCGATATGGTCAATGGTCCAACAACATTCAGATCTACTGTCGTCAAGCCATACTACAGACCGGACCATCTTTGGAGCGACCCCGATGCGCCACACGCGCTGAATGAGCCGCATGAGCCGGTAGCAGTACCACCGGCAGTGCAACCACGCAAGAGAGGCCGCCCTCCAGGATCAAAGAACAAGCGGAAGGGGCACGCGTACATCACCAAGAAGGAGCAGGACGATCTTGAGCTAGCTATCAAGCTACGTAACGATGGAGTTATCACAACACCAGGCGCACCCTTTGAAGCATCTGATGACCAAGAGATCAGCGACCTCGTAGGTCGTGGAGTCTTCAAGTTTGAGCAATACGACGAGAGGCTACACAGCAAGATCCGGATCTTCAAGTCACGCCTGGTACGTGAGGTCAAGGGAAAGACAACCAAGCCCTATGAGAAATCCCGCCTGGTTATCCAAGGCTACCAGGACCACGGCAAAGAGGCTATCTTGACGCAATCTCCAACCATCCAGCGATGCAGCCAGCGCCTGATCATGTCGCTGGCGCCCGAGATGGTACAACGCGGAATGAACATAGAGCTCCGTGATATCACGCAGGCGTATCCCCAGGCGCAGACAACCCTGAAGAGGACGATACTCGCACATCTTCCTACTGAGCTGGTACCACGATATCCGAGGGGCACGCTACTCCATGTGATCAAGCCACTGTATGGAATCGCAGAGGCAGGAGTCCACTGGTGGACAACCTATCATGGGCACCATTGCAAGGAACTGGACATGGCAACATCTACGTACGACCCATGCCTGTTAATCACAAACAGCGACACCAGCATCTTCGGCATCGTTGGCATGCAAACAGATGACACTCTCATGCTTGGGACACCCGCGTTCTCGTTACTTGAAGAGAAAAAGATCCAGAAGGCAGAGTTTAGATCGAAACCAAAGTCTGTCCTTACACCAGAAATTCAATTGGATTTTAATGGATGTACACTCACGATCGACGCTAGCAAACCAATTCTGAACCTTAGGCAGAAAGGACAAGGAGGAAAGATCAAACTTGTGGACGTTAGGGCACCCGACCGCGCGCAACAGTACACAGAGCAGCGCGCCCGCGGAGCGTACATCGCATCAACATGCCAACCAGAGGCGTCATTCGATCTGTCCGTCGCCGCTCAGGCGCAGCAACCATCAGATGAGGACATCAAGGCACTCAACAAGCGCCTGAAGTGGCAGATAGAGAACCTCGATCGTGGCCTCCGTTACATCACTGTCAATCTCACGGAGGCTAAGTTGATGGTCTTCGTAGACGGCTCCTTTGCCAACAACAAGGACCTCAGCTCACAGCTCGGCTTTGTCCTCATGCTCGTCAACGAGTCTATTGACGCTAACACCTTCACAATCCAAGGCAACATAATCCACTACAGCTCTACAAAATGTAAGCGCGTCACAAGGAGCGTACTAGCCTCTGAGATTTATGGCATGGTCAACGGCTTTGATATAGGCATCGCTATTGCCACTACCTTAAGAATAGTCACAGAACGACTTAGAATACCTGAGGTTCCCTTGGTTGTCTGTACAGACTCGTACTCCTTGTACGAGTGCCTCGTTAAGCTTGGAACAACGAAGGAGAAGCGTCTTATGATCGACATCATGGCGCTGCGTCAATCATATGAGCGTCGCGAGATCACTGAGATCCGCTGGATCAATGGTGACGATAATCCTGCTGACGCCTTCACGAAGGCATCGCCAAACCGCGCTCTTGAACGCTTTATTGACGGCAACAAGCTGACAGTCCGAGTAGATGGATGGGTGCAGAGGCCGACAAGCTTTGATGTTTGATGCTACACACACTGTCACTACCGATACAAGCAGAGTTACTAGCTATCCAGAAAGAAAAGACTTCCAATGTCGAATCGTGAGTATCGGTAGAGACGTCGGCTGCTTGACACTTCGGCCCGACTTCGGCCCACCTTGCGCAGAGCTTAGGTGTACCTTCGTAGCAGCTATGTTCGTAGAAGATCAATACCAATACCAGTCACCAGAAGAACCTCGTTGTTGTTATTCACCCGTACGATCGTACAAGGCCTACCAACATATAATGATATTTTCCCCGTAACATCAACATCAACATCGTCATCATAACCACAGACGTTGCCCTCCCCCCCATGCAATAAAATATCTAACCCGAATAATAAAACCCCCTACATAACACATCCTGAGGTATCGCTCTGACTGAAGAAAACGAACGCCTATCGCGGTAAAACCACTATACCGCTGTGCATGACTAGCAAATTCTTGTCGAAAATATGAAAAAGAACATTGAAAGCAGAAGAGCACGACCGCCTTACTCCCCTGCCTCACCATCACCACCACCACCACCACCACTCCTTTTTCTCACCCCCCTCCCCCTCGCACCCGTACCTGCACCCATCTGCCCGGCCGCCAACGACGCCGAACTCCCCTTCTGCCTAATCTTCATCGACTTGATAGAATTCGACGGCGAAGGCCTTGGCAACGTACGCGGGCTACTATTATAATTCAACTGCTCAAACCTCCCCGCGAGATCTTTGACACGACTTGGCGAACCGGTAGCATTGCCAGACTCCGGGGGAGCAGTGCGATCATCACTGCCACCACCACCACCACCACCAGCATCACGAGTAGGGACGGACATGATACTACAGCCATCGATGTCAGCGTTGACAACGCGGAGTTTAGATTTCGGAACTGTAAACATGACTTGGACTACGCGGCGCTCGACGGCGGCTTCAACGTCCCAGTCTGCTTCGCTGGCGGGGGTGCAGGGCCGGTCAAGGATGGGCGGGATGCCGAGTTGGTCGGGGCTGATTGGTGTGCGGGGGGTGGGTAGGCGATCGCCGTTGTTGATGTTGACGAGGAGGTTTCCTCGTTCGCGCCATTCTTGTCGTGCGCGTTCGCGTTCCGCCATGGCGATGTCTTCGGGGGTGCCCCAGTCGTCGCCGGCCGTTCGGCGCCAGGTTGAGTCTTGTTCGTCTTCTAGCCAGTCTTGTTGGCCGCGGCGGTTGCGCCAGAAGCTTGCGTCGGAGGCGGCTCGGCGGGGTGGTGCTGTTGCTGCTGGGAAGGACTTTCTTGCAGAGGCTGGGGTCTTTTCGATGGGGGAGATGGGATCGTCTCTATAGGGTTCGTGGTAGGTCATTGTGGCAGCGAGTGATCTACGCTCGGCGCTCGAGGCGGATCTTGTTAATACTCTGCGAACACTTCCCAGCCAGCTCATCCTGCGCACTCTTGCTGCTGGTTGTGCGATAGCAGCCGAATCTAACCCAACTGATGTTGCTGGAGTCGTTGTCACAGTTTGACTACCACCGCTTTCTGTGTGGCGATGTGCTGAATTAGAAGAACCTGTGTCTGGTCTTGATCGCTCAGGATTGCCTCCCAATAACGCCTGGCCTTCTGCTTGAAGACGTGGAAAGGAAGAGGTGGTGTTATAATGGGGAACGCCATCTGGTTCAATGCTGACAGTTTGCGGAACATCATCACGGGAAAGGCCAGTTTCGAATGTCCTCTTGACTTTTTCGTGTGTCGGGCTTGCGTCTGGCGTCTTGAAGGGATTGGCAGTCACCATGTCCATCATGGCGCTCGATCGCATTGAAGTACTGCGCACTACGCCAGCATGAGAAGATGTCCAAGAATGAACACTAGTCTCGCTCAAGTTGGAGTCGGTACGGTCAGAGGTAGACTTTTCCGGTGATATCCTTCCTGCCATGTTCAGACTGATACGTCCGGATCCCTGGTTTCCGTTGAGGTCAGAAGTTTGAATTGCAGACAAACCATGTGGCGTGGAGAAGAGATCTCGTTGGGCATTGGCGCGAGAGGTGATGAAAGGGTCAAGAATCGGGGCATTATCTAGTATGTTCGCCCTAGACCTGGGGCGCGTTTCGGTCATTTCAGTTTGGTAAGCATTGTCGTGGCCAGAATCGTCTTCGGCATCTTCTTCAAGTTCGTCAATCGGGTGTATGCCTCCCGGACCACGAGTTCTACCGATGGAATAGGGTCTACCGCCCAGATTACGTCGCAGTCCGCGCGTCGGACTTGGAATCTCAACTAGCAGCCCGGTCCTCTCAACATCTCCCCGACTTGTGGCTTTCCAGCCTTGACCTCCCTGAGTGCCAGGCGGGAAGTAGTACGGGCCGTTCGGATCTGGAAGGCGATCCAAAGGATCAGAGTGACCAATGCGGCCGTCAAAGCCTGGTGAGTAGTCTTCGGGACTATATCTGTGCGTGTTGTATGATAAGTTCTGAAGTTGTTTCTCGCGGATATCTCGTTGCTTTTTGAGACGCCTTGTATACCAGATGTAAAAGGCAAACAGGCCACATACAGCGGCCAGTCCAATACCTATCCCAACTCCCAAGCCGGCTTTTTGTGCTGTGGTAGATAACAGCCCGCTGTTGGCTGAATCGAAAAACATGCCTGGAGGAGGCATGTAATCGGCGATCCAGGTCCTGGAAGTGACGTTCAAGAAGTAGGTGAGAGTATTGGCCTTGGCTGAAATAGCCCTTGCGCGCCGCGTGCTAGGTGGTGAAATAGTATAACCCCCAGTGATCATCATTACGCCGCCTGGCAGCATGGCCGCACCATGACCATAGAGACCTGAGCCCTTCGGTAGCCCTGCACCATTCGTAACAGGTACTGTCCATTGCCAGTTACCATCACCCCCATAGCCGTCGGCGATGTTAAGAATCGCGAGTGGAGGCTCTGCCGGTGTATTGACGTCGCCAACCCAGCCACCAACGACAATGATCTGTTTCCCATCTTCACTCATGACAGCAGTATGACCTGATCGAGGATCGACGGTAGAGACGTCTGCTCGGACCGCCAGATCTTTACGAGATGTATCGGGTTGTTGCACACCGACAAAGGTCCAGCCTTGTTCGGGGAGCGAGAACAAGGCAATTTGCGACATGTTGATGAAGGCAGCACTGGTGTGTCCTCCAATGAGAAGGAAGTTCTGTTGTTGAATTTGCGTGCCGTCGCTCCGATCTGAGAAGGTTGGTGGTAGGCCAGTGATGGTGAAGCCAGCTTCTGGTACCGGTGGTCCGCGACTTGATGAAATATCCAGCTTTAAGTTGAGGGGTTGACTGGCGGAGCCATCGGGCTGGAGAGTGACCATGAGGTTGGAGTAGTTGGCCGCAGATTGCCACTTGCTGTCGGACTCGGTTTGGTTGGGACACATGCCGCCAAAGAAGTATGCTCCAGTGTTCCTAGCTTTTCCGCCTACGACAGATGAAAAGGACATTCCACCACTGAGGTAATTGGCACCCATGATGGAAGTGTGCGAACCGTCCACGACAGACACCTTTTCCTTGCTCCAGCTGGGCTTTCCATTTCCACCCGACGTAAAACTCCATATCTGTCCTCCACTTGCCCCCAAAGTACAGTCGCCAGCATACACAGTCAAGTTCCCGTCATGATCGAGGATCGGAGTAAAGGCGCGCGGCGTGGTGTCGTCGAGGAAAGGTAGGGTTGAAGATATCGTGTTGTAGGGGAGATTCGAGGCCACAAGCTTGGACGAAATATCGACGCTATCTAACTGAAACTGAGCAGTCGACTGGGACGATGGGCGGAAGACATAGAGGGTATCGTTGTTCTGGAGAATCCGCGTCGGGTTGTAAGGCATTTGGGCGACAGATGTTGCGACGGTAGAGAGGATGAGCGCCAGATGGAGGATTGACATGCTTCGTATTCGTCCCTCAAGGGACAGCAGTTTGCGTGAAGACATGGTGGTGAGTCGTGCTGACTGGAAGAGGACGTTCACCTCAAACAGTGCAACAAACGACCCATGAACCACGTTGCTGTTTCTTGCAAGACGACGTCGCACAGAGAGTAGTAGCGACGACACTACTGAATTCAATGGCGTAGATGAAAGGCTAGAGGGGCAGAATCAGATCTGCAGTTCATGCACGGGGCCGTCAAGGTGGCTGGCTACCCGGGTCATCAACACAGAGGCCCAGCCTTCCAGCTCTCCGCAGTTGCGCAACGCAGTACCCTGACGCCCGTACTTGGGTTGAAACTGCGTGGAGGCGTCCAATCAGCAGAGCATGCCGTGTTGGGGCACACGGGCTCGGAATGTGCTTTTGGCCCTGATTGCGGCCGCCAAGTGGGTTGGTAAACAGGGTCGCGCAGGGCAACGAACCGTCCGCACGTGCCTTGTTGCGCATCATCACATGTGAACATGTTCATCGCAACCTTTTCATCATTGGCCATCACAGCAACGCGTAAAATCATTATCGCATTCGGAGTTGTAAATAGCATCTACAGTGTACAGTAGGGATTATGCTGCAACACGGTGCACGCGTGATGAAAGGGAGGCTGGTTGACAGTCGGTATGACCGCACGAGCGGAGCCCCACCCGGCCTCTTTCTCTCCACCAAGGCAAGAGCAGCCGATTCCACGCGCAAGCCAGGAAATAAACATCAGGCCATTGCCAATTGCGCTCTAGTCGCCCTCAACGCTACGAACATGTCAGATCCACTGATACTGCAAACTCCAGCTGCATCGCCACGCATGTAGTCCATTGAACAATATCCTCGTGCAGAATGTAGTTTTGACGTTCCTTGGCACCCTCGTACGTCTGTATCACGCCTCCTAATTCCAAAGGGTCCACCAAAAGCAAATACCAATTACTGCTCGTCCTGCTGGTGACGTACACTTACATGTAAGAACACGACAACACGTAATGGCCATGTCACCAACCCATCGTTCATCACTATCAACAGAAGAATATATACATGACAAGGATATAACTATGGCTGCAATCTGATATGTCAAGATGGATGTGATGCAAACATTGATAGATTTTTTTGGTACTACTCATTCAGATGAGGTCCTCTATTCTAACATGCACCATCCGGGCTCCGTCATAACGACCATGCCATGCCATGCCTAAATAAAGGCCCCAAATAACGCCAAAGCCAGCCCCCTGCTGCTTGATGATGATGATGAACGCCCATGTTGAGATCGTTCACCCCAGACCTCTCTCCATTTTGCACCCCTAAATGACCCATGGTGCAGGTTGAACTTTTGGGTATCATAACTATTCATTACACACATTACACGGCAGTAAGTTGATATGCTGCTCGGACGTGACTGCGTTGATGAAACACAGTCACAAATTTATGCCAAATGGCAGAAGAATTTAAGAAGAGTACTTCTTGCGGTAGAACTTGGCCGCGTTGACCATGTTGATCAGCGCAGCCTTGGTCTCCTTCCACTGACGCGTCTTGAGACCGCAGTCGGGGTTGACCCAGAGCTGCTCGGGCTTGAGGTACTTGAGCATCTCCGCCATGCGGTCCTTAATCTCCTCCTCGGAAGGAACACGAGGGGAGTGGATGTCGTAGACACCAGGTCCGATGTGGCGGGGGTAGGCCTTGTCCTCAAACACCTTGAGGAGCTTGGCGTCGCTCTTGCTGTTCTCGATGGACAGAACGTCGGCATCAAGCGCGGCAATGGCGTGGAAGAAGTCCTGGAACTCAGAGTAGCAGAAGTGGGAGTGTATCTGAGTCGAGTCCTGGACACCAGCGCAAGCAAGCTTGAAAGAGTCAACGGCCCATGAGAGGTACTTCTCACGCTCAGTGCCAGCACGGAGGGGAAGACCTTCACGGAGAGCAGGCTCGTCGACCTGAATGACGTAGATGCCGGCAGCCTCGAGGTCAACGACCTCGTCGCGGAGAGCGAGAGCAAGCTGTTGAGCTTGGACAGACTGGTGGACATCGTCACGGGGGAAGGACCATCGGAGGCAGGTGATGGGTCCAGTAAGCATACCCTTCATGGGCTTCTTGGATACCGAGGCAGCGTACTTGGACTCCTTGACGGTCATAGGAGCCGGGCGGGAGATGTCACCGACAATGATCGGAGGACGGACGCAACGAGATCCGTAAGACTGAACCCAGCCCTTGGTGGTGAAGACATAACCGTCAAGGCGCTCACCGAAGTACTGCACCATGTCGTTACGCTCGGGCTCACCGTGGACGTAGACATCAAGGTCAAGCTCATCTTGGATCTTGATGACATCGTCGATCTCCTTCTCAATGAACTTCTCGTACTCCTCAGCGGTGATCTCACCCTTGGTGAACTTGTTACGCGAGATACGGATCTCCTTGGTCTGAGGGAAGGATCCAATGGTAGTGGTAGGGAAGGTGGGGAGGCTGAGGTGCTTCTTCTGCTGAGCATATCGCTCAGGGAAGGCAGACTTGCGCTCGTGCTGCTCGGGGGTGACACTAGCCTGGCGGTCCTTGACAGCCTTGTTGTTGGTGCGGGCCGATGAGGCGCGAGCCTGCATCGACTTGGCGTTGGCCTCGAGTGCCTCACGGACGGCAGCAGGGCCGTCGTTGACAGCCTTGGCAATGACGACAACCTCGGAGACCTTCTGGACGGCGAAGGAGAACCAATCCTTGACCTCCTCGGGAAGCTTCTTCTCGCTGTCGAGAGAGTGGGGAGTGTGGAGAAGCGAGCTGGAAGTGGCGACGAGAACACGGTCCTTGCCAAGCTTCTGGACGGCGGTCTCGATGATCTCAATGGCGTTCTTGAAGTTGGTCTTCCAGATGTTGCGGCCGTCGACAACACCAGCAGAGAGAACCTGGCTGGAGCCAAGCTTGCTGATGACCTGGTCGAGCTGTTCAGGGTTCCTGACAAGGTCGATGTGGATACCAGCAACACCCTGCAGGCTGGGGAAGACGTCCAAGTTGTGTACAACATCACCGAAGTAGGTGGCGAGGATGAGCTTAGGAAGGCCGCTGGCAACGAGCTTCTCGTATGCGGGCTTGAAGGCGTCCTTGACCTTCTGGGGCAGATCGTAAACGAGAACAGGCTCGTCAATCTGAACGTATTCGGCACCAGCCTCCTTCAGCTTCTGGAGGAGCTCAACGTATACGGGTAAGAGCTTCTCGAGGAGAGAGATGGGGTCGACGGTCTGGTCACGGTCGGCCTTGCCAAGGGCGAGGAAGGAGACGGGACCGATGAGGACAGGGCGGGTGACGATGCCAGCCTCCTTGGCCTCGAGGAACTCAGCAACGGGCTTGGGGTTCTCGGCAAGCTGGAAGCTCTGGCCATCCTGGAAGGTGGGCTTGACGTAGTGGTAGTTTGAGTCGAACCACTTGACCATTTCCTGTATGAGTGTTAGCGATTGCTCTTTGTTGTGCCTGACTGTTTCGACTTACCAGACTGGGGACATCGACACCCTCCTTCTGGTGGCCACGGCCCATGGCAAAGTACTCATCGAGCTTGTGGAGGGAGTGCTTGGAGTAGCGCTCTGGGATAGCCTGGAATAGTTAGACAATTGTGCTTGTTATTCGCGTCAGATGAACTTACGTTGAAGAGCTGGATGTGGTCTAGGAGATGGTCGTAGAAAGCAAAGTCGTTGCTGGGAATGACATCGACACCGGCATCCTTTTGGATCTTCCAGTGCTCCAATCGCAGACGCTTGCCCTCCTTGATGAGGTCGTCCCGCGAGAGCTTGTCAGCCCAGTAAGCTTCGTTGGCCTTCTTCAGCTCACGGTCCGCGCCCATGCGGGGGAAACCGAGTACTGATGAGTGTACCATTGTGATTGTGCTAGTCCAATGGACTTGTGTGATGAAGGGAGGGAGAGTAAGATGAGGAACTGGTTGCAGGAGGAGGAGGGGAGGGAGGGAGGGGTGTGAGGAGAAAAGCAAAGGCGGATGGTGTGCTTTATGTTTTTTGCTGGCGTATGCAGCGTCGCGGGGTCCATCGCTAGACCGCTAGACCGGCTCCGATACGCGTTGGCGCCCTCTTACCGCCTTTGAACTTTGTTACCTCGTCACCGGAGTTACTAGGGGTTTATGCACCTCGCTGTTCTGCATCTGGGCAGCATCAAGCACAATTCGGGCGCCTACCTTAGTTTCATCTAGAGCGTCACTTGTGCTGTCTCCCACTCGTTGAAACGGAGTAAAGTTCTCACTATCCCAATCTTAACTATCAAGGCCAGCTCAATCTTCCACCATATCCGACATCGGCGGGAGAAAATCGGAGTCTTGGCAATGCCATGTCTGACTGAGATCTACGGTTTTCGGTGTCTCAATGCGGATTTTCCCATGATACAGAAGCAAGGGATTTACTCCGCTCTCCGACTCCAACGAGTCGTCGTAACGGCCATGAATCAGCTTGCGCAGCTATCTGCAGCTCAACAGGCAAGTTCCGAGCTAGCTCAGACCCTGTAGATCCCCGCCATGGAATCGTGCCACGACTCTCCCTTTATAGTCACCTCGACGCCGCGTTATCCAGGTTTTTTGGCGATCCAGGCATTGCCTAGAGCTTCCCGTGGCATTCGGTGAATCGCCGAAGGAAGACTCACGATGATGCGGCCAGACCACCGAGTGACTTGCCTGGTTGAGCTGTCTCCACAACCCCGCATCGCCGATAAAACCCCGCCATGCCACCATCAAGACACCAACTGTAGCTAAGGGATACACCATCAACCTCGCACACACTCAAAACTCCGCGGATAATCTTCCTTGCATACCCCAAAATGGCTACCAGACCACCTCACACCCGCACCGCCTCTACTAACCTCGGTGGCTCTGGTCAGCGCATCCTCGAGGGACGGACGGCCATTGTAACTGGAGCCTCTAGAGGTATGACCAGCCATATAACTATCCTCGTTCAATGCTGACATGTGTAGGGATCGGTGTTGAGGTTGCCCGCAACTTGGCCAGCAAAGGCTGCAATGTCGTCATCAACTACACGTCCGACTCGTCTACCCAAACCGCCCAAGACCTCGCCTCCGAGCTCGAAGCTGAATATGGAGTCAAGGCTATCAGCGTGCAAGCGAGCATGGGATCGGAGAATGGACCAAAACATCTGGTGGAAGTGACCAAGAACAACTTCCAACACCCCAAGACGGGCAAGTTCCAGCTGGACATCATCATCAACAATGCTGGTGTGGCGGGGAACAACTATGTTGAAAATGTCGACTGCGAGGACTTCGCGAGACAATACAACATCAACGTGCGAGGACCACTGCTGCTTGTGCAAGCCGCTCACCCATATCTGCCAAATGACCGCTCCGGACGAATCATCAACCTCTCCTCTGTCAGCTCCTCGCTCGGATACAAGGGCCAATCCATCTACGGCGGAACCAAGGCGGCGCTTGAAAGTATGACCCGTACTTGGTCTCGCGAGCTTGCGGAGCGATGCACTGTCAATGCAATCAACCCCGGCCCCGTCGCAACTGATATGTACTGGAGTAACGACGACGCTTTCATTGCCCAGAACAAGCCTTTCATCGAGAACACTCCGCTTGCGGCGCCAAGAAAGGGCATTGACCCAGACAGGATCTACGAGGCTTCGCAGAATGCTGGAGGACGACCAGGCTACAGCGAGGAGGTTGCAGGCGTTGTCGGCATGCTTTGCTTGCCCGAAGCTGGATGGACCACGGGCAGCGTCATTTGCGCAAACGGTGGTATGAAGTTCAGCTTCTAGATGATAGTGAAATAATCTGTAGAAGCACCTTCTAGTAAACTATGCCAGCTGTACATATTGTATGTCATTAGACAGCAACAAGTATATATACGAATGGATTATACCATACCGACCCACACATCTACTGTACATGAGAGATTTTGAAGCCACCTGGAACGAGTTCCTGGAAAACGCCCGAGGGATCATACTTTTTCGCTGCAGCTCTCATCTTCTCCACAGCCTCAGCACCGTAACTTGCGAGCGGGTCCTGCGTTATATCCGCGTAGTTCAGGTAAAGATACGGGTTAGCAGCTTCGAGACTCTCAGCATACTCTCTGATTCTTCTGACAAGCTCGGCACCGGCAGCTTGAAAGAGCGCATCTTGGACCGCTCCTTGCCACATGAGATAGGGCTGGTACACTGACCTTCTGTTAGCACCTGACTAGCTGCAGAGAGCAACAATACTTACGACACAGTGCCTGTTTGCCAAAGCGCTCTAAACCCAGGACATTACCACCCTTTGCCGCGGTATCTTTCCAGTACGCGGGAGGAAGGGGTTGGAAAAGCGTATAAATGGACCAATCACCCGCCGCCTTGGCCTTGAGACTGGACAGCACGTCCAAGAAGATCTCATGGGCTTTGGTTATGACTCTTATGTCATTGGCAAAAGTCAATGTTCCAAAATAGATCCTATCACTCAAGTCAGCGCCTCCCACGTACTACTCAGAACAGCTCAAACAAACCTATGCGTAGTCGAAGCCCCCAGCTCGCCCGCCAGCGACGACATATTTCTAATCCCCGTCGTATCAGAAACATTTCCCTGAATCGCAAGAAATTCGCTGTAAATCTCCGGTCTCGGTACCGGCTCCGCATAATCATACGCATTAAGCACCTGCTCTTTCCCAACCGCATTCATATAAACCGGCATCACAATAACCGCGCCCTTTGGTTCATTTCCCATGTTTTCCGAGAACCTGACCAGCGCTTCAAAATGTTGTTGAACCTTTTCCTTCTCACCGGGGTACAAGACTAGTCCACCCCACAGGCCCTGGTAGGGAAACGTGCTCATTTTAATCCCCGTCACGATACCGAAATTGTTGTTTCCGCCTCTCAATACGGTGAAGAGGTCAGCGTCAACGGTTTTGTTCGCCACGACAATGGAACCGTCGGAAAGCACAACTTCAAACTCAACCACGTTGTCGCAAACGAGCCCGTGCTCGGGCGAGAAATACGATATACCGCCCCCTAGCACCAAACCGCCTACGCCGACGGAGGATGCGCGTCCACCTGTTGTCATGACACCATACGGCTCCAGAGTTTTGAATACATCACCCCAGTTGGCCGCGGGCCCGATACTAACGACGCGGGAGGCGGTGTCATAGATGACGTCGCTGAGGTATTTCAGGTCGATTGTCACACCATCTTGAATATTCGAGGCGCCGGCGTAGGGCGTGTGGCCTGCGCTGCGGATGGCGAAGGGACAGGATTTGAGGCGACTTGCTGTTGTGAGGGTTTTGATGGCTAGGGAGACTTGTTGCGCGGTTTTGGGCTGCAGGATGCAGGAGGGGGTGAGGAGTTGTTGTTTTATGTCGAAGTAGGTGGCTTCTCGGGCGGTGTAGGCGGTGCTGTTTGGGTAGAGGATGTGGGGGGAGAGGGAGCTTAGGGAGAGAGCTGTACACTGGGTGTTTGCGGGTTGGTTAGTTGGTTGAGTTTGGAGGACATGGGTGCGAGGGAACGTACGCAGTAGTCTGCTTGGGTGAAGGGGGTGAGTGCTACGGCTGCTATGAGGGGTAGAATATAATTCGCCATTGCTAACATCTATCCGTACCAACGGTAGTGGTTTGTTACAAAAGTACAACAATATCGCGCATTGTTTCGTAGTTAGCTACGGAACCCCCCAGTTTCCCTAGCCTCATTCGTTTGGTGCATTTTTCGACCGAAGCGTCGGTTTTCTACATGGGGTTCATATTAGGAAGGCTTGCCGTGACGATACCTAGCTCACAAAAAACGCATCGCGGGTCCAGAATCTTGGAGTTCTCAGCATCTGGCATTTTGTTTTCGCTAACCGCGGTATGCAGGGGTATTGGACGAGAAGGCAGGGGTTGGGGGGAATCCTTCGGAGTATTTTTTGTGGGATGAATGCGAGGCTAGATGGGATCGGGCCGCTGATGGAGAAGGCAGATTCTTTGATGTGGCCGACGGCGGAGGTTTGCTGGTTGCTGGTGCTTTTTTGTAATCGATTGTTTCGTATGTGCTGTTAGTCATTATCTTTGAGTATCTCTGAGTAGAGTAACAGGTTTCAAGGGTGATGGCAGAGTAACATTGAGTCCGCTACGACTACGCGTTCGTACCCTTGGTACTAGCACTAGCCCTGTTGAGAAGGGAATTGACCGACATGCCGGTGTCAGTGACACTTTTCACTTTTACATACACTTCCGTTCCCAACTCTGTGTACCGGTAATGCACATCTGCCTTCTACAAAATTATAACTGATGAACTCAGATATAATACCTATCCGAGTTTATCTCATATACAGCTTTCATTGGAAGACTCATTTCGCGTCAGCTGATCGCCATTGAACAAATTGAGCTCGTCTCGCATACTGGAAGAACACCCCAAGTTACTTCTTAGTGTACCGAGTGTGGTGAAGAAGACATCGCGCATGTATACAGACGGCGTAGCTGTGCCCCCCTTATGTGGCTACTAAAGTGACTCTTATCGAAGCCTTTGATAAGCAATTCACAATACAGACTGCATCGCGAATATGTAGGAATGATTCTAAAAAGTCTTGTTGCAGCTCTCGACGTGTTGATACGGAAGGGGACTAACGGTTAAGGGGTGCTGCGCCAGCCACATTACATAAGCGACTCTTGCGCCACTTCAGCCACCAAATGACGTAGAAAATTCTAGAAGTATCGCGAAACTTCGCGCATCTTCGTGACAAAGCTGGAACCATCAGCAACCATCGTGAAGCATCTACACACTTCTGACATTCTCCGTATCTTACGAAATCTGGATTTCTCATCAGTGCGCACGCAAGCTGTTGCTTCCTACACCATGTCTATAAATCAGTGGATCTCCGCTCTCCAAGAGTCCATCATCAATTTGAAAGACAAACATATCTACAGATCTAAGATCCGCAACTACCCTTGAGCCCCAACCTTCTCCAATATTCTACATATCGATCAACAAATTCCAAGCATCCAGCCTATCATATTAGCAATGGCTTTTGTTCTCACACCCCGCTTCGCACCCGCCTATCAGGTGCCGCAGTACAACCCCTATGGCTTCTGTGCTCCGGCATCACGGTCTCCATACGCTTATCGTGTCTCTCGTCCTCAGGCTCGCCGCTCTCAGTACTTCCTCAGCCAAGTCGATGAGCTACTGAACGAAATCGACCGCGAAGCAAAGCGCCAAGCACAACTTGAAGCTCAGCGTGAGGCAGAGCTTGCAGCACGGCTCGAAGCTCAGCGTGAGGCACAACGTCAGCTCGAACTCCAGCGTCAACAAGAGCTTGAACGGAGGCGTGCACTCCGCGCTGAATTCGATGTCAACCAGAACGAGAAGGGATGGCAGATCAATGGTCACTTCCACGGTTTCGACCAGGAGAACATCAACGTCGAGATGATTGACGAACGCACACTGAAGGTCGCTGGCAACACTCTGTGGCAGTCTGAGAAGGCGCAGCCGGAGCCGCAGCAACCTCAAATCGAAGCTGCACCCGCTACTGAGGAGAAACCCAACGAGCATGAGGCCGCGGACGCCACAGAGACTGACACTACAACTGCCGGCGCTGCCACTCCAGATAGCGATACCGCATCGCACAAGTCATACCAGCCAACTGTGGAGGACGACTTCGAAGACCTCGGCGATGACGCCACATCATCTGTATCATCATCGACTCCTGCCGAACCCAGGGAGCCCAAGGGCAAGGAGAAGGCTGTTGAGGAGCCTGCTACTACCGAAACAGCTCTTGCCACTCAACCCCAGACCGAGGTACCAGCTCAGCAGTCACAAGAACAGCCTCAGCAAGAAAAGCGCGTGCACGGATCTTTCGAGCGCACCTTCCGCTTTCCAGAGCGCATCGACGTCGCGAACGTGAGCGCTAGCTTCAAGGATGGTGTGCTCAGCATCACTGCTCCAAGGGCACAGGTACCACAGTTGAGGAGGATCACTATCTCGTAGGTGGACATGGATAAGATGGCGAAATTAATGGATAGTAAATGTATGAACAAGGACTGCATCATGTGGAGTTCCGGTTGCATATGATAACTCTGGGTTCTCTAAAGTATTTGCATGGGATGTTTAGCTACCATTATCGAATCAATAATTGCATTGCTAAAGTATGTCTCCATCTTACTATCGACGATGCGTATCTTCCGTAACTATATTTCTCATTCCAACATTCTCCACTTCTCACGTCCCGCCAAGGCAGGCACCTCTACAACATCCAGGCAGCAACCCCCAACGCCGCAGCCATCATACCAGCATCTCCAACACCCATAGCAACAGCTACATTCGTTGCCTTGCTATCCTTGGTGGTAGTCGCTGTCTCTGTCCCCGTCACAGTCTTCGGAGCAGTCGATGTGATCTTCGATGCCTCAGATTTCATGGAAGAAGCCATGGAAGCCATAACGGAGGACCCGGGGACTACAGGGCTGTTGAGTTTGTTAACGGTAGTAAGACTAGGAAGATGATTGAGCAGCTTGGAGGAGATAGGAAAAGCAGGTCATACTTTGACGATTCTGCGGCAAAAGCAAAGCCAGCGATGGCGGTAATGAGGAGGCTTGAGAGATGCATGGTGAAGTTGATAGCTTGTCTTCTTAATGGGTGTATTGGTAGTGCGGTGAGAGATAGAGGGGTTGGGATTATGTTTTGGAAGTGGAGGAGATGACATGCAATATCACGACGTAGAAGAGTTTCAGATGACTTATATACCTTCTTTTACAACCACATGTACGGTGCACTGCCCCTCAGTCGATGTGCTACCCGTCCTTCTCAAACAATGGCAGTGTTACTTGCACTCTGTGTACCAGTCCGATATCGAGAAAGCGGCAATGTACATGTACCCTTTCACGGGACTGTCGAGGTACTGAAAGTTTTATGCCGTCTTGGCGGTCGGAGTTGAAGGGGTGGTGGTACATGTGTATGTGTTACTTGCAAATTGAGTTTGTCATGGTAAGATCTTGGAATTGTGTGCTACATGGGTCATTCTGGGTGCGTGATAGTGATACTGAAAAGAACCGTCTCATGTGGTCACACGTGCTGTGATTGGCATGCGTGTTTTGGAATTCTGTGTGTGCAATGACTAGGTAGACTGACTTGTCTATCGCACTGTATTATGACTAGATTTGCGAAAGATAAACTGATACGCGAAAGCGGATCTTCCTATGTGACTTAGATGGATGTGTAGATGCGATGTTCTTCGTTTGTTATCACGTGATCCTATTTGGCACCTTCTTACATGGAGTACTTCCTCTGATATGATACATGAAAAACTGACAAAATGACAATATTCCGACCATTCTGGCGTATGTGCTAAAGAAGAGAATTGCGATGCTGTTTGCTGATGCGAGGGACGCGTCCCTTCCAAGTGCGAGTCAACTAGTCCATATCTAGATACATGCCAGATAATAGCACTGTTGAAGATGAGAGCGTACAGACGCCGGGTCTGACTAGTGCGACCCGGCATCTGTGAGAGCCAATCAGAACACAGGAAGGCTTGGCACCCCCTAGGTGTGCCCACAACCGTAGACAGAACCACAACACAATCAATGATCAATATAATCACCATCATTACCTATTTCATCAGTATTCCAGATGAGAGTGAATATCTGACAATACACTAAAGGAGCTCGATTTTCGGGCGCCACCACTCCACTCAATGCCATCTCATCACATCACCACGCAGGCTAATGCTGCAATGAGCTGACCAGCAGCCAAAGTGGTGCCTATGACGCCTATTGTCGTTGTTCCTCGTGAGTGAGCCGTGTATCTTCCGCTGAGCCTTTGTCCCATCCGAATCGCAAGCGCTCGCCGTTCTCTATTGAGCTCCTGCAACCTCAACTTCATGGACTCTTGGGATGTGCAGCTAGAACAAGTACTGTTGACGGTGTTTCCAGAAGCTTCGCTCAGTGAGGATGTTGGTCTTTCTTCGCTTGCGGTTGCAGCACTCTCATCGTCTTCATTGCGGCTGCTCTCTAGCGCTAATTGCCGCTCTAGACGTTGTGCGGTTAGGACGAGACCTTCATCGTCTCGATGGATGATATCTTCCCACGTCTTCTGAATGTCGCCGAATGCTACTTTTGTGCGCTTAATTTCCTCGTCTACCAATCGCATATCTCCAGCCATCACAGAAGCAGCATCGCTGAGCTGATCCAAGGCTTCCAATCGCCCGGTGTTGACAATCGCATCCATCCGTGTATGAGCCTCATCTGTCATGGTTTGTAATGACTGAAAGCGTTCGTTCAGATGATCAAAGAGGACGTTTCCGGCTTCCGTCTCATAGATGAGTCGACCTTCATCTACTAACTCCCGCTGGAAGGCGAGTGTGAACCTTTGGTCCTTTTGTACAATATGATGGAGTATCTTCATTGCGTCCATCTCGCCAGCTGATAGTCTGACTAGTCTACCACCTTCCTGGATAACATCATGGCGAATCTTTTCGTAAAACTCCTTATGTCTTATTCCGGCTTTGGCGATATCTTTCACGGGAACCATGTTCCACATGGTTGTTGCGAGGACCACCCCTTTGTATGCTTCCTTGCCACACATTTTCTTGAAAGCTTCTAAAGCTCGCGCGGCGGTGCCCTGGAGACGAATGTTTGTGATACAATGAAGATAGACGATGCCGCTAAGTTTGATGTCCCTTTCATAGGCAGCTGTCAACCAGAATGCTAATTCCTGTAATACTTCGCCATCAGACTGCCGACTATCATTGAACCCAGGTGTGTCCAACAGGTGGACAGTACGACCTTGGATCACAGTGGTATGAATCGATACGCGACTGGTGCCTAACTCATGTCAACTAACGTTGGTTGGAATGTTTTCCGGATTTCCAATCTTACAAGAGAATAATCCATCATCTGAAAGGCGCTCTGGTGGTTTGGTGCAGTACTCAATGAAGGTTGACTTTCCAGCACCAGTCATTCCCATAACCGCTATGAATATATCATCCGGACTAACCGACTCTCATGAGCTTTTATCTCATGCTAGATTCAAAATAAACATACCTGATGGCTGGTGAGCCATGATTTGCTGGAGTGTTGTTCATCAAAGCGTATGGGCTGGACTCGCAACGTGTTCGATGATTTGGTTGGAATAGTGTCCAGTCGTTTTTTGCTATTGCTATGTAACATCAAGTGGCGCGGCTGAAGATCGTTTAGAACAGCTGCATACACCCCGGGATAAGGCTGAATCTGGCTTCCCACCCGTGGCTGAGGCATCACCAATCAGCAACTTACACGTCAGAGCTGCTTGACCGGATGGTTCCACAACGGTTTGGAGGCGGAATTTGTGGCTTGTGCCTAATCTATGCACTGCGCACTCACGCACTCGCTTGTTAGGCTACAGTCAGCACTACAAACAGGCATAGACGACGTATCCTAGTTACTCTAGCGTCTCCGTGGAGGTGTGTAATTTCGGCAACTTGCGCAGATGCGCAACCAGTTCGCGACTCTATCTTTCAAAGCAACAGTTGTTTGAACGCGTCCGAAATGAGTTCCCTGAGTAACGCCGTTGTTGGACGGGAAAGTATGGATGTACATCTATCTCGGCAGCCTCTCAGCCACCACAACAATGCATCGTCTCTTCAGTATGTCGAAATATCTTGCGCAACTGATCTCCTGTCTAACTAAGCTATTAGAGGTATCGGATTTCTCGTCATGGGGCTTACGGGGGCCGGTAAAAGCACATTCATCTCACAACTCACTCATCAAGAGGCCGAGGTCGGACATTCGCTGAACTCTTGTATGGTTTTGTAGAATTAGTCGTTGATTTCATGGTCTTACATCACTAGGTACTGCGGATGTCATACCCTACGAGTACCGGTTACCTAATGGGAAAGTGATCCATCTCATCGACACACCGGGCTTTGACGATACTAGCACAGACTATGCCGGTGTGTTCAAGAAAATTGCTGCATTTCTCTGCATCGTCTGCGATGGCCCTCGGAAAGCCTTCACCATAGGCGGATTGATATACGTCCACCGGATAACTGACGTGCGAATGTCAGGATCTTCACTAAAAAGCCTGCGTATTTTCGAAAAGATCTGTGGTGAACAGTGCTTCCAGCATGTCACAATTGTTACGACTATGTGGGATCAGCTCCAGTCTCCAGAATCAAATGAAGCTGCGACGATACGTGAGAAGACGTTGAGGGAAAGGCCTGAGTTCTTCGGCGCTTTAGTGGGAGCTGGTGCCATGATGGAGAGGCACTCTAATGAACAAAGCGCCCGTAACATTGTTGAACAGCTTGAAAACAAGCAAAGAGACATATCTTTGCAGCTACAACAAGAAATGAAGCGCAGCGTGACCACCAAACTGGAGGAATCCACAGCAGGGCAGTACTTGGAAGGTGAATTGGAAAACGTCCGAAAGAGATATGAGATGCAGAAGAAAGAGTTAGAAGAGAGCGCAGAAGAGTTCCAAGATGATGAAGATCTCAGGAGCGAATTTTCAGAGCAGGTCAGAGAATGCGCAGCCGTTGTAGAGAGACTGGAGGCCGAGAAGGGTAGCCTTTCGGTTACTCTTGAAGACATACACAACGAACAAGCAGCATTCTATGCAAGAAAGTATGATAGTATGATGAGAGACAGTATCTCAGATGCGCCGTCAGCGCGCATGTTACACGAGCTCAGCAAAGTCTTATACCCTAGAAAAGGAGGACCGGACGCTCAGAAAGACGTGCGCAGGAGAGGACTAGAGATTGAAGACCGTACAGAAGCTTGAAGCAGCAAGAAAGCCTGAAGATCAGAGACAACGCGACAAGTCGAAAGGATGGAGAGTCCCTCAACAGGAACATTACATGAAAATGCTTGCTTATTCGGATCTGCACCAAAACATGTGCGGGAAGCCTTCCGTCGTACAGAGTCAATGCCACTGGATACAAAGACATCTAAAAAGTCTGTTACAAAGCTCACAAGGAGACGAAGTCAATCGAGAAATCGGCAAAGCAACAGGATGCACTCAAAACATGTCACTTTTCTCGAAGAGCAAGACATACAGCCCTTCGATACTTATCATCATTCTGAAAGTCCCAGTCCGTACTGTGAGGAGTACGATCAACCCTATCTGCCTATGTATGACGCAGGTGGACTTGAGAACCCACGATATGCGACATATCCGGCACAAAGACCAACACCAACTTATACGCCTGTAACACCTGGCTTTCCAAGTGGGCAGGTCCACCCACTGCCCGGTCCAGTCACTGTGGATCCTTCTGGGCTGAAACGGAATCCAGTTCAGTGTGTTAGCTCCCTCTCACGAAAATACGACGATCCAGCACGTGCATCTAGCTGGCAACCTTCCCTTCAATCTGGTTCATATCATGACAGCCAGTACGATGTAGTGATCTCGCGCAGTCGGAACTACACAAGATAGCCAATTACAGTGACAATCGATTACTAAGTGAAGTTAATGGATTTAATAAATTTCCACCGTTACTAGATACATCGCCCAGTGCCCATTTTCGAACATTGTATGTAAAGCAAAACAATGTTTGTCTCAAACCTCGTATCCACTCAGTTTGTAATGGTGGCTTTGCATGTATCATAGCGCAATAGTCAATGGTGTAGTGTCACTAGCTTTGACTGGCTGGAAGCTACGGGAACAATATCCGTATCTGTCACTTCCCGGCGCAGAGAGGTGCATACACTGCCCCCACCTAGGGCGATGCACATTACAAACTGTAGTATCAGTCAATGAGCTGGCGTTCGCCGGTCAGCTCCTTCAGAATGGTTGCCTAATAGCAATACATATGGTGGAGTGGTCATGACGCCGTCTGACCTTCGAAATGGGCCTCCCCGTAAGCCTTACCCAATTACTAACCCGGCGACTTGCATGAGCAGGCGGATGATATCGCAAGGTGCTTTGGGAGCGCACTGTTGGTCACAGCGCGGTGTGGCTGTATGCATGGCGCCTGTACTTGCACCTACAGCTCGCATAGCCCAGGCAGTAGAATGCTGCCTTTCTGCCTTGCTTTGCAATATCGATATAACCCTCGCGCCTGCTTCACAAGGCTGAAGCTATACAAGGACTCAAATTTTTCTTCAATCAAATCATTATACTATAAAGTCTTCCTTTCGGCACGCAAATATGATAGCGAATAGAGGAAGTAGGGTGGACAGCCCTCATCGCGAGGAGCTGCGTCTCCCAAATTTGAAGTATGTCTTTCTAGGGTCGATGAAATCGTACACTAACCGTGTTCCAAAGGCCCGACGACATCATAATCGCCGTGATGGGTATCACTGGGTGCGGAAAGACAACATTTGTCAATCTATTTGCAGAGGAAAAACTTGAGGTTGGACATGGCTTAGATTCATGTGAGTAGCATCACTCACACTACATGTGTTCCGATCTGACTATATCAAGGCACAACAGCAGTACAGGTAGCGACTTACAAGGCCGAAGATGGCACCAATATATACCTGGTTGATACACCAGGCTTCGACGATACGTACCGGTCTGATTCTGAAATCCTACGAGAGGTTGCCATTTGGCTTAGTAAAGCGCACATGTCGAACGTGAAGCTCGCGGGTATAATCTACCTCCAGAGGATATCTGACTTTCGAGTGGGTGGCAGCGGCATCAAGAACCTCAAAATGTTTCAGAAATTATGCGGCGAGGAAACTCTCGCCAGCGTAGTCCTAGCGACGACCATGTGGGACCAAGCAGGCGAGCAAGCAGCGAAGGAGAGGGAAAAGCAACTGAAAAGTGAACCTCAGCTTTGGAAGAGGATGATAGATCACGGCAGTAAAGTTTATCGCCACGACAAGGGCAAAGAATCAGCGCTCAAAATCATCAATTATCTTAGAGGCAGGAAGCGGCCAGTCACACTCGATATCCAACGCGAAATGGTCGACCAGGGAAAAGATCTGGTTGACACAGGCGCAGGCGGAGAGCTAGCCTCGACAGTGGAACACCTTATCAAGCATTACGAGAAAAAGCTGAAAGACTTGGAAAGGGAGGTAAAAGAAGCGCGAGAGAAGCAAAGCAAAGAGGATAAAGAGATCCGCGAACTGGAAAGAAAGGAATATCAAGAGAAGCTCACTAAGCAGTATCAGGAGATGGCCAGTCTCCGACTCAGCTCCGAGCAGATGATCGAGGAGACGAGGAAACGTTTTGAAGAGTACGAGAAGAGGCAGCAGGAAAGCTTGAAACTTGCACACGAGGCTCATGCATTGGATTTGGAGAAGCAGAGGATAGTGGTGCAGAAACAGTTGAAGGAAAGGTATCTTCGGCAAATGGCTAATCAGCCATGCGTGATGATGTAGCTAGAATGGAACTTTCAATTTCAAAACAACGCCGCAATGTGTTGATTGCACTGTCTAGAGTGACTCCGCTCTCAATTTCCATGCTTTACGTCCTCGTCTACCTGGAACCAATAGGCGGAACAATTATCGCCGAGAAGCAGTTTCGGAATGCAATGCCACTATCGTCCTCTCAGCGATGCATCTACTAAAAAACCATCAATCTTTAAACGGTAAAGCGCACTGGTTACTAGAATACAATTCATAGCCTCAGCTCTGGCTGACGACGACGTGAGCTGACTGCAGAGTGCTTGCTTTTTCTCAACGTGTATAATCAATGATTCCAAATATGAACGATATAAAAACATCTACCCATGGATAGTAATACACCCAAACATGCAAGTTCCAAAGACAAGCACGTGCATGTGATTTTTCCTGGGCGCATTTTGTGATGCCGACGGGGCTCACCCCACGTTTCGCAGTCGGGAGCGATGAAGCGCGCCAGAACAAATTTGATCTAGCGTAGTTACAGGGGTCTAAAGTCCGATCTTAGAAGTCGCGAATGACACCGTCACGGCTACCCTCGCCGTCAACGCCTCCTTAAATCTCGACAATGCCACGATGAGCGAAAGCCAGAAGCTCCTGCATGAGCATCCTTCAGACAGCGACTCGGAACCTGAACACGAACAGAAGACGAGTCCACGGAACCTGTCGCCATCTTCTAAATCATCGCGCACTGCTTCCGAATCTCCAGTACCCCCGGATTCACGTCCAAATGGTGGCATCAAGCGCCAATCGTCGTTTGCACAGCCGCGGCCTGATGGCGCACCGAGGACGCCGAATCGAGTGCGCTTCGAAGAGCCGAGGAGATCCATAAATGGAAATGGGAATAATGCTGGCGACTGGTTGGAGCTGGAAGGCGACAACTACCTGGATGACCCGGACGGCCATGAAAGAGTGCAAAGACTGCCGTTGCTTACCGGCATTGAGGCGCCCAGTGTTACGGTTGCGAATGAGTCGTTCAATCCAGAAGACCATTTGGAGAACGCGCGGCCACGCAGCGGTATGCGAAGCGCTTTCATGAATATGGCAAACAGCATCATGTAAGGCTTGAAGTATAGCAAATATGAGATGTCAGAGACTAATACGAAGCAGAGGCGCAGGTATCATTGGTCAGCCATATGCAATTCGTAACGCAGGGCTCATAACAGGCACCGCGCTTCTCATCGGCCTCACCATCGTGGTAGACTGGACAATACGGCTCATTGTCATAAACTCGAAGCTCAGCGGAACAGATTCGTTCCAGGCCACGGTACAACACTGCTTTGGGAAGTCGGGACTGATAGCAATATCTTTGGCCCAATGGCTATTGTATGTTCACCGTGACACAATTGGAAAGAGGTGTATTGACAGTGTGTAGTGCCTTTGGTGGCATGGTGGCCTTTTGTGTTATTGTCGGCGACACCATACCAAGAGTTCTGAACTCATTCTTCCCCTCGTTGGATGACATGCCCTTTCTTTGGCTCCTCGCTAACAGAAGGGCTGTGATGATATTGCTTATTCTCGGCATATCCTTTCCCTTGTCACTCTACCGTGACATTTCCAAAGTAATGCCACCTGGAATCTCAGCACTGCATGAGCTAACACGAAGCAGCTCGCCAAAGCCAGTGGCCTGGCACTTGTCAGTATGATCGTCATCATCATCACAGTCGTGACCCAAGCATTCCGCGTACCCCCAGAATCGAAAGGCCAACTCCGTGGCTCGCTCGTTATAAACTCCGGCATATTCGAAGCCATAGGCGTAATATCCTTTGCTTTCGTCTGCCATCACAACAGCCTGCTCATCTACGGCTCGCTGCGCAAACCCACCATCGACCGCTTCTCGCGCGTAACACATTACAGCACCAGCATCTCGCTGGTCGCATGTCTCGTCATGGCTCTCTCAGGTTACTTGACCTTTGGAGACAAGACGCTAGGCAATGTGCTTAACAACTTCCCAGATGACAATCTCATGGTCAACATTGCACGCCTCTTCTTCGGCCTCAACATGCTCACCACCCTCCCCCTTGAAGCCTTTGTGTGTCGAGAAGTAATGAACAACTACTGGTTCCCTGATGAACCTTACAACCCCAACCGCCATCTCATCTTCACCACCTCGCTCGTCGTCACCGCGCTTACCCTATCCCTCCTCACCTGCGATCTCGGTGTCGTCTTCGAACTTTTCGGCGCTACTTCTGCGTGCGCATTGGCGTTCATCCTGCCGCCTCTTTGTTATATCAAACTGAGCCAGAAGAGCAGCAAGACGTATCTTGCAGGCGGAGTTGTGGCGTTTGGATGCACGGTCATGGTCATCAGCATCATCAAAACTACGAGCAAGACGATGATGGGGAACAATGAGAGCGCCAAATGTGGTTGATTCTTGCTTGTCTTGTGTTACAGCGATGCATTGGGCGGCGTCTGGGGTATACACATTGCATTACACGGCGCGCGACCATCCAACATGATGGGGTTCATGGCATCTGTCGGGAGAGCCGGATGTATAAATGATTATAGAAGTGCAAGTGAAGATCCCATGTCGCATAGCTATGACGGCGGGATCTTATCATATCTGCAAGATGGAAGCAAAATCTAAGCATCAATCAATTCTCCATCTCTTCCCCTGCACGTTTAGATAATACCCACATCACGGCTACATCGGCAACCCCATCCTTGATATTTCCTAGAGCAAAGTACGAACAAGCTCACTAGCTCTACTACCGTACCTGGACTTCGGTACACCAAGACCGGCAAGCTTACCATGACCCACATAATTCCAACAACTACACTCCATCACATTTGTCGCGTGTCGCATTCAATCGCTTTTTTTTAATCAGTCCTTACACACATTTCTGGTAATTCACCTCCGTGTGTGCAGATTGCCGATGACGATGGCGGCTGGCTTGTTGATGATGGTGGCCGCGGATCTTGTGCTACATACGGTAGGATTGACGTCATAGGATACGGTGACCCTGCTTTTTGGTGACAACAGACAGCGAGGATGAATGGACGGAGGGGGAAAAGGGGGTTTGTGTGACAGGGGATAGGCGGGTGGATGAGTGGTATATAAAGTGGGCTTTATCGCGGTGGGTTCTTGTACCATTTTGTTGTAAGATACCTAAGAGTTGCAAGTTTGAAGTTTAGTCCAACACATCAACGACTCTCGACAAACACTCCGACAACGAATAAACAAACCACCAAAATGCCCTTATTCGGATCCAAACGCGAACCCTCCCCTCCTCCTCCACCGCCCCCAGCACAAAAACACTCCCTCTTCTCCCGCCGCCGCTCCTCCTCTCCCAGCACCGCCCACCACAGCACAACCTCGACATCCACCCACCGCACCAGCACCTCGTCCCCCAAACGCACATCCGGGATGTTCAGCCGCAGTACCGGCTCCGGGGACCCTAGCATCGCCACTGCGAAACAGAGTCTGATGAATGCTGAAGCCGCGGAACGAGATGCCGATCGCGCGCTTTTTGTTGCTAGGAATGCGGTGAGGGAGGCGAGGGAACATGTTGCTAGGTTAGAGAGGGAAGCTGGTGAGGAGTAAGTATTTGATAGAAAGGAGTGCGGTGAGGATGATGCTAACGAGTTTTGTAGGGCGAGACTTGCGAAGATCAAACAGGGTGAGGCGAAGGCGTTGGGCAAGAAGGGGAAGTTGCTGGGGAGGCATGATCATATGTAGGGGGTCTGTGGGAAGAGAGAGTATGTGTGTTTGTGTGTGTTTGTTGAGGGGAAGGGTGTAAGGGGCTAGACCCCAGCGGCTGTATCGATGACGATACACAGATGACTGATCAAGAGATGCCTTGTAACAGAGTGGATTTGACAAAGAGCTACAAAAGGATGCTAGCTGTACATAAATACAGGAGCGGACCGAAGATGGGCCGAAGTAGAATTAGATGGATGATGACAGAAACCTATAGATGTATCTCGAAGGAATCGCATGACGACAGCTACGCACACAGCGTAGCGCATGTAATAGGCTCAGCCTGTTACAAAGGGGTGGAGCAGAAGTATCGACGCAAGAGATGTATGTGTGATGTTTTGACGATGACGATGATATGAGCGAGGAGTTCTGTGGAGGGCGTATTTGTATTTGTATATCCGTATTCTTTTATAATAGCTACAAGACATAAACGTAGACCCCTGGACCTGTAAGGCACTACATGGGCACTTACAAAAGCCTAGAAGGAGAACGGAACTTTCCATTCCACAACTTCATCCCAGTCATGCATCAGTGAGAAACGCTCCATGTGTTCGCCAAGTTCAATGTACTGGATCTTGGTCATGGGACCTGGCCGATGAATAGAACCGAGGGGAGATAGAATACCATTCCTCTACCTGTTTGTGTCTGTGTAGTTTGTTGTCTGAGAGCAATTATCGGTATCAAAGCAAGTGTCGGCAGTTCATGACAAGCATTAAGGTGTTGTTCTGCTGTTAACTTGTACAGCCGTCTCAATATCTTCCGCAGTGATATGCTAGATGAGAGTGCATGACACTGTGCCGGGACTTCAGTGTTCGTCTCTGGCTCCTCTGACTCAGGGGACGGGATGCTTTTCCTCTAACTTAGAGGAAAGGGTGTTGGGCTTGGTCTTCCGCTCCTCGCCTAGGCTCTGTTAATGATTGTGAGCTTAGTTGGCCATTCCACAGACGGGTCTGGGTCTGTTCTCGACTCCCAGCTCTAATTCCTCTAACTCAGGGAAGAGCCATGTTGAGGTTGGGCTTACTTTCCTCGCCTGGCGCTCAGTTGATAAGCTTGAGCTTAGTTGAGCCACTTTATCAAGGGGTCTGGCTCCCTTGGCTTAGATGGCGGAATGTTGGTGTCAGAATATGGGCATATTTTGGGTGGTGGACAAAATCCGGGTGTTCGGAGCTGTGGATTCTGTGGATCAGTTAAATTAGTCAGCGCGCACAATCCACCGCGACCCAACTGATCGAACAGCGTTGGACAACAGAACAAGACGACATCAGACCAGAACAATACAATCGATCCCCGATCATATTATTATACTATTATCCCCGTCTTTGATAACCCATCACAATCTGACAGTTGGACTCCGGCTTCCTCGCTCTGTCTAGCGCATTCTTGGCGATTGTGTGCTTATGGGGCCACTTTATAGAGGGGTTTAGGTCCGGAAGTGGAGATGGAGCTTCAGCTGGCTCCTTGCCCTTGCCCTTGCCCTTGCCCTTGAATTGGTTTGCTTGTTGCGGCTCCAGCTCTGGATCTCGAGCTTGCTTCTTCTCTTTGTCCTTGAAGGATGTTGCTTGATGCGGCTCTGTTCCCTTCTGCCTCGAAGTTTCTGGCATCCTGAATTCCTTCCATCTCGCCTTCCACTTGGCATTCTTGTCATCCTTCTCAACTATTCCGACCATCTCCATTATGGCCAGTTCCTCTTCCTCGAGAGCTACTTGTTTTGCCCACTCAAGCTCATACGTAATCACTGATCTGCCATCGAGGCGGGCAGTGGTGATGTACAGCGCCTTTTCGAGGTTGCACTTGCGTTGTTTCGTGCTTTGGTTAATAATCTGCTCGACCTATATTTCCAGGTGGTGGTTAGTGGCTGATGGCTTTGGACACAAGATACGACAAGGACTTACCCAGTTAATTGGGAATAACTTATGATCTACGGTATCGAAAATGTGTTCTTTGCGACATAGTTAAACTGGTGCTGCATTACGTTGTGACTGTGACCTTCAGCGAGAACTGAGGGATTATTACACACAGCGCGCTTGTCTTGTGCCATAATGACAGTGCTGTGTATATAGAGAGTATGATATAAAGAGCACAATCTAAGGAGTACTATGTGTGTAACAATTGCAATATACTACAGGTGTCTGCTCGCAAAGATTAGAACGTGAGTGGTAAGGGATAGTGAGGCGCGAGATTTGTACTAGCGTGGCTGGCTTGATTGCGATAGAGTCGCCGTTGTGGTCATCCCATCTATACTAACAGTCACCTGCATTCACTGTCTTCTTTGCTTCAATCCGTTCCTTGATTCTAAGGCCCATACCATCACTACCCTAATACCTGATCTTGTTTAGGCTGATCTCAAAATCAACTATGCAGACCAATTCACATCAAAGCGCGCCTGATACGGAGTGCGAAGACAAAATGGTACTAGACAACTACGACAGTGTCGACGCTGTTATTACGGACACCAGTAGCGAGCTGAGCAGCATTCTTTCCAACCCCTCAGAGTTATTGTCAGATCGGAATAAAGAGAAGAAGAGAAGGAGGGATACTAGCACCGTCGCAAGAACTCTAATAGATGTTGAAGATGACGACACTGATATGGGCGCAACTTGTCATTCTCTGCGCGTTGACCAGGAGAAGGAGGACAGCGATAACCAAGATGACGATGAAGTCGTACACTCTCCAATCCCCCTAGGCATCAACAACTAACATGATCCAGGCCCAAACTTCGCTAATGGAAACATACATATTCGCCCTCTGCGACCTTCAATACGACAACAATCCGACCGACCGCCCCCACTGGCTCACCGGCTGTAACGGGCTAGAGCCCAGATGCTATGGTGATCCTCGGTGGAACCTTCGGAGCTTCCTCGGCACTTTAGATGCTTCGAGAAGCTACGTGAACAACAAGCCAAACGTATACAGATATCGTTGCACTGCAGATAGCTTTCTTCTTCATCGAATACAATCCTGTTACCAGGCATCGGCATACTTTGCGCAGCCCCTTACACCGGCCTTAACAAACCACTTCCCCACCCCTCGCTCACATCCCTCGAAGACCACGAGGTCTTGACCCGCTTCTGGGTCAACGAGATCGAGCGCCTCGAGTACCTCCGCTCCAAGCGCTGTCCTCCCGAGGGCCAGCCTACAGACGGCAAGTGGCACTACAAACATTACGGTGAGACAATAGAGGTTCGCAGGCCGGCGTTATCGGGAATAGGGACGCCCAGAACTGTGTATGCGAGGGGGTGCTGGGAGTATGTGGTGCGTGGCAAGAAGGTGTGGAGGGGGTTGGATGAGTGGCCCATGACGCTGGAGGGAGAGACCTTGGGGTGGGGGACAGGGGTGTTGCAGGATCACAATAAGGAGGAAAGGCTTAGGGCTGAGCAGCTGCCTAAGGGAGAGGAGGAATGATGGCTTGCGTTTGTGAAGCTGGGATCTGGGGAAAGGGGGCAGACTAGACTTTCTACGAGGGAAAGGACTGAGGTAATCAAAAGAGAATAGTGTATCTTACGTATATATCTCTCGCCACTATCAAAAGCTTAGAGACACAAAAGATTTTTACAGTGGAGCTTGTCTGCAGCTTTGTATAGACTCAACAAGGCGCCTGAAGGTGAGGCGCACAGCCTACTTCAAAAGATGATACCCACACGACGAGGTGCCCGAAGCTGAGGCGCATAATCCACTTCAAAAGATCACAATTAGTACGACGATACGCCCAAAGATAAGGTGCACAACCTACTTCAAAAGATCGCAATTGACGCGACAATGCATCCCAAGGTGAGGCGTATAAATTACTTCAAAATATGACATTCAAGCAAAAAGTCCGCGATTAAAGAGAACGCCTATCCTACAGCTTTATATACAATATGAACAAGTGCCCTTATAAATATAGCTTAAGTTGTTGTCTCAACTAAACAGACAGCCTTTATACAACGTTTGATCCTAGATATATGTACATGATCGCTTTCCCATCGTCCAGCAAGCGCGTGATCCCCTTTATGCCCTGGAGACGTGTACTCTCGTACACCTATTTTGTGAAGTTCTTGGGTACAACTATCCTCGTGTAGACTTGAAATTCTGTTGCTGGCTCACAGCGAGACTCGAGACTTCGCGCGGTTTGTATGTGTTCGCTGGCCACTCCTTGAATGGTACAGTTTGGCGGTCTGGGTAGTTCAAGTACCAGCTTGTTATTCAGCGTATAGCGACGCGTTGGATCGATGATTTAGAAGCTACGAGTTGCGGAGAGATGTCGAGTAAGACTGCGGTGTTTGAACGTTTAAGGTAGGGTAGGGGATTCGTGATTGTTACATCTGATACTTCCAAGGCTCGTGTGAAGAAGAGAAAACACAGCGACGTTATTCTCTTCCTGTAGAGGGTTTTTGTATTTGTAGAGCGGGTTATCTGAGTTACAAGATACTCTGAACAATAGTGAGGTGGCGATAGCGAGGTAGCGTGGCTCGAGGCGCTAAAGCAGAACGGGAGTCTCAAGCAGTTTACCCTGCCCATGCTGTATCTCTGGAACCATCAGACACAAAAGTCCTAGAATAGTACTAAAAGAAGCGCAGAACTCGTTATATTCGCCTTAAACTCGCCTATACTCTCATTCTAATGTGGTGGCGTTGCATCCTTACATTTGCATCCCGTCGGTGAGCGCCCACTCACACCATGGTGCAATACTTCAGGGTCCATTCATCGAACCCTTTGCTGTTCTACCCTCTATTGCTCGTATCTCAACACCCTACCTATGGACACACTCGAGGTTGTACTAGGAGTACCGCGAAGCTCGTGTTATTCTCCTCCAAGTATCCTGGTGCTGCTACGATTTCTGTAAGACTCTTCACTATCCTGAATGCTCAGCGGTAGTGAACTTGAGGCCGTGGACTTCTGCGGTGAGGCTAGCGCCGGTGGCAACGGCGCTATACTTACTTCCCACCCCGCCTCCAGCTCCAACTCTTCTACACTCCACTCCACTACCCCAACACCACCTCACTCGTGTCGTCTACCTCTTTAGTCATGTACACCAGATTCAGACTATAGCATACAGCTCTGCTGAGCATCCCCTGGCATTTCCCAGAGACAGCTTGACCAGACTCCGCAACAATCAATCGGATCGGCATGATTGATTCCTATCTAGGTTAAAGGCTGCCTAATGAAGTAATTCTTTAACCTATATAGGAATCAATCATGTCAATCGATTGATTGTTGCGGAGTCTGCTTGACTTCCTCACGGCATTTTTCGTAGCTACCGCAAGGGTGGCAAGGCAGCGCCATCATGCCAGTAAGTCACATACTCATATCCCCTCTCTTCTTGAGTCCAGTATACACTCTGCCTTCGGTATTACGACCTGCTTGAGCTAGGCCGGGCTCGTCGCCTATGTCGCAGTGCAAATTCTGAGGATAGCTCCACTTTCGCAACACCTGCCCCTTCCATGTCACAAGACACTTCCTGAATCTCACTATCTCTTACTTGTACTGACTTGCAATCAAGTAGAGAAAGAGCTGTCGAGGTCTCTTCACATTCCCTGAGAGAGTATATGGCCCTTTGACCTATCCAATTTCATCCTGGCTAGGACAACGGTCTGTCGCTAAGTCTGAAAACATCAAAGTCACTCGACAGCCAAGCTCTGGACAACGATCTCTTCTCTCAAAGCCAATCGATCCCGTCTTCTAAAGACTGGCACAATACATGGAGTCTTCCTCCGCAAACACAGAGGTCCCGTACAGACCGGTATGCCGGTTGAGAGCGAGGTCAGCGAGTCAACCTCGTACGGAATTTCGACCCTTCCCAACGTGCATGCATGAACAACGGCCAGAATGGCTCGCTATGGCGGAACGGATCGTTCAAGGACGATGATAGCTGTGTCCCACATCCATCAACCGCAACAGCCTCAGATGGCTCCTGGTCCGGCACATTATTAGAGGACTGACCAAGCCGGTTCTTCACGGAGTCAGATCCAGTCGTGTCACCCAGGTCACGAAACTGGCGGTCGATTTGGTCAGCACAATACTGTACTTATCAATGACTCTCCCCTTCATAGCAAGCACGCAGTTCTCGGCTACCCTGGGGCAGATGAAAGGCGACGTACTACATGAGGTTGCCGGATATCTGGAAGCATTGCGATTCGCGCCAGAGCCCTCATATCTGAATCAAGCTGCTGAGGAGCCGTCCGCCAGTGTAATCATAACACGTGCAAGGATATGAGGATCCAGAGGCCAAGAAGTGGGATGGGACAAATGGGCATGTAGTCCAGATGACCCAGGGAACGGGGTTTCCAGGAGACGAACTGTCGGCCTGATCGATTTCAAATGTAATCGACCTCAAAGACACTCAAGGTGTTGTGTGTGGATTCAACTTCCTCAAAGTACCCTGCGCGCGTTGCTTCCCAGCCTCCGACCGGCTCCGCGCCATTGTAGTGCCACTGCACCAGAAACATTCTCTGAGCACAGAGAAAGAGCTATTGCAGCTACTCTTGCAATGCTTGAGTGTCGGGTGGAACGGTATCCAGAGGTGTCATTCGCCGGCTCATGGGTTTGCTCGTAATATTCTCATCGACATTCGGGATACTCCATCTCTTACCTATCTCCCGACGCCCTACGCATCGGTCATACGGGTCCTGTGGGTTTGCGCAAGCCGTATTCCTCGCTGCTCTAAGTGCGCAGTCTATACTGTCGACATTTCGCCGACTTCGAACACTCTGGACTTATTCACAAGACGCCTCTTGCCCCATATGACACTTTAATTGCGGCTTGAACATACAACAACCGCGTTGGAGATAGAAAATCGATGATTCCAGAAGCTGAGGTATTATGGCGGCGTAGCTTGGCGGAAGGATGCTGCCGACCCCTGCTCGCTACCGCCCGTCATCCTTCCTAAACTACAGACATCATTCCTCATATTCCACAACATCCATCTTCGGCATGGCCTTTACCGCTTCTTCGATCTTACCTAGGCATCTTCGGTCTACTCTCTGCTTTATCTGAAGTATACTGGTTTGAGAAGCTGCCGCCCTGTTCTTCCGGCGCCTTGGCTCGATCGCCATGCGCAAACCTCCTTATCGGCATCATCGCCCCTGTTCGCTGGTCCGCGAAGACGCCATAGGCCACCCGGAGTACCGTTGATGACTATCTGGTCACCCTTCTACACGAAACTGAGCAAGAAGTTGTGTGCTTCGTCTCTCTAGGACTCTGAGGGCACGTATGCTGGTCCGTCTGGCATGCTGGATGCCCAACCCAACACATTTCAGGTCTCATTGTCCTGGGTTGTTCTCGGAACCCAACACAAACAAAGAGATGAATAACTACCCTCGCGATGTATCATATGGAGCGAGCGTGTAGGCTGCCTATGTATCGTCGCTGAGGCCTCGCAAACATCTCGCCGGCCTGCAAGAGATGGATCAAGTGCTCGAACATCCCCAAGTGTATTGTGTCAGTATACCTGCGGTAGGAACCCGACCAGTCACCCGAAGTACCGCACCCAGAAGACTTCAAAATATTACATCGACGCAGCAAATTTGTGATCGAGGATAACCCCTACCCGGTGGCAAGAGATGCTTCCAACTCCCTTCAAGGAATAGTAATCTGAAGGCACCACCGTCTGATGTAGTCTTCATAGGATTCAAGAGATGTGGCCTTTGTTCATATCCGTAATACCACCTACCCTATCACATCCGGATAGTGTGGGCCTCCACTGACCGTGCTGCGGAATACCGTTGCTGCTCGGAACTCCTGTCTATGACTTATCAGGCAGAATATCCAGCATCCTATGCCTATGCAAAACACAAAGTCGTCCTTCAATCATGTCCTCCGGTTCGCCACCCTCGCCTCCGGTCATAGTATACTCCAGCGACATGGTAGCCGACTTCTCCTTTCTGCTCCGATGAAAGATGCATGGACGTTACACAGTACTTCGTATGTGTCTCGTCTAGCCACCGTTGCAGTATTGGAAGTTTACGGCACCTCGCGGCTTGGTGGCAGGCAAACGCCATGAGCGACAACGATCCAAAAGCCTGGGAGACGCGGCTGAGTCCAAAATGGCATCAAAGCTATTTTTCTGCCATGTTGTGCCGGAGTAGAGGTCGTGCTCATCTCGGCCGGCGAACGGGAACGGTGCTTGTCCTGTCGAAGTCAGCTTCGGGGGCGACGATCTGCAAATCCCCTGGCCGCATATTTTGAGATCCTGAGCAGATCCTGAGGTGTTGCGACAGTCGCTTTCGGTGTGGTCGGAGGCAGGATGGTGGTGCTGGTGATAGAAGCCTACCACTTAGCCCCGCCACGGTAGAAGCAGCATCATGAGGCTCAGCAGCAATTCGTACATTGAGGCCTCTTCATTCCAGGAGATCACAAGTAAGGCCGACGGACTGTTCTCTGTGAATGCAGGCTTTTTGCAGCACAACCCGGGTCCTTACATCAAGCATGCGCAGTGTTGCATGTTCGATCATGATTCCAGCTCGTGCAACGTAGTCGCCTGGAGGCTTCTGCGCTGCAGTGCGGAAGAGATCCAAGGTACAGTCTTCAAGATGAGTACACTGGGTATCAGAGACACCTGTCAGGCTGTTTGATATGAGCATTCAACGTGTCTGGGTCTACGAATTGCCGCCTAGATCAAGACACTATGTCTCCTCAGCCGTCTGCTCCTTGCCTCTTGTCCTAAGCTTGTCATCTTTCCCGATCCCTCTGTCTATCCTCGACTCGGTATATCCTCCATCCTCTTCTCTCAGTCTAGCACCCATCATGCCCTGGACTCTCTTTGCACTTCTTCGATCGTATCCCTCTGCCGGTGCACAGTCACCTCGTTGGTGGCTTTCGAACATCACTAGCCTTGGTGTCAGTGGCAGGTATTCCTCGATGGTGTTTCGTCAAGTCCCGGCAGATTCCAGTCAGTCGCTGCCTTCTGAGTAGCCTCGGGGGCCCAGTAGCGCCAGGTCCCCGGCAGAACATCGCAACCAGCGGTTGTTACTCAAAACAACAGCACAGTGCTGCATGGAGTCAATTGGGGGGCTGCAAGGACCAATGAAATTTGTGTTTGCACGAGCTGGGTGCTATATGACTTCTGCAAAGCGCCAATTGTTTTCTGGGTGCCATACGGGGGTGGCAGTGGACTGGACCTCACTGCCGCTCTAGGCTTGGCGAGTCCCGTGACGGGCGCTGGGGCCCTCCAGCGCCCGTCTATTTAAACTCTTCTTCCTACTGTACATCCCTAGTCTACAGTCTACCCTCGGGCAGCAACAGCAGCAGAAGCAGCAGCAACAACAACTTCTTCTTCTTCTTCTTCTTCACCATCACCATCACCATCATCAAGATGTCCGCCACCAACAACAACAACAACACCGACACCGGCACCGTCTCTCTACCGACGCTGCCAGGTCAAGGTCGCCAGGGTCAGGCCGGCTTGCCTCAGGCACCACCTCCGCTCCCCTTTGATCGTTTCATCGGGGAGTGGAGGGCTTGGGAGAGAGGCTTGTCGGCCGAGGAATGGCATGCATTCTACTACTCCCTGCCCACTCGGGAGTGGCAGGGAGAGTTTCCAGCGTCGCAAGCCCTCCGTGTGGGCTTGCCGACGTCCGGTGGGGCCTTCCCTTTGGCTGTTCGGTGGAGGACGGTGAGATGAGGGAGATGAAGACGACAACAACGACGACGACGCCCTGATACGGCGTGAAAGGGCTGGGGGGGTTAGATGCTCGGGTGTTTGGCTGTTTTCTGGATGGGCCTTGGGTGTTTGGGGGCTGGGGGGTCGGATTTTTTCGGTCGGTCGTTGAGAGTTTTCGAGTTCTTTTGTGGGCATCATTGATGCCGCGCTTCGGCGCATAATGTAATGATACCCTTTTTCTTTGACGCTGTATTCTCCATTGACCCTTTGTGATGCTTCTGAAATACCCGAACCTACTTCAGGCTACCAATGCCTATGTTTACTTGACGTTGCTATGCACTGAGGATGTTCAGGCTTGCCGATGATGTCTTCTATCACTGTTATTATGGAATCTTTGCAAGATTGACATCACGATCATACTTGTTCTCTAAAGTGATAGGTGGGGAGAAGTTTTGACGGACGCAACAAAAAACCCTATTATTCACAAATCTACTTGCCATAAGACGGTTGAAATTCACCCAGGTACTCACTATAGTCGAATACTACACTACTACTATTGAGTCTATTTCCAGCCCGAATTGATCTCAAGATGAGCATGCAGGCTATCGAATACTACACGCGGAAAATCGCACTACATAGGTCATCAAAGACTGTCTAGGGTCAAAACTTTCAACACACAACTCCTTGTCGCGATTATACCCGGTTACGCTTGCCATCTCGCGCGCAAAACCACACGCGATAGGAAGTGAAGGAGAGGTGACGTTCGGACAAATGACAGACGGCGATTACTAAATACGGCAGTTGCCGTCTTGGCGGGCGTTGAGCTGCGCGAACATCACCGAGCCTCACGATGGTATCGAGAAGGCGCAGAGCACGACACCCGCCCATTGACCATTCTCCACTCTTCCAGCCGCCCAGGCGCCCGCAATTCGACATGTCTATGGCCAAGAACGTTAAGACGACGGTGTTTTCGGTACGATGCCCACTTGGACACGCCTTTGGCCGAACGCCCCTCTGTACCGCTTCCTGCATTCTATTAGCAGTGCTAATTGCTTAAATGTAGAAATACACTGTCCAACCGACTGGTATCTATGCCGCCATTAATAGGCTCTTCGCCCTCGACCCCAAGCGGTCGACCGGTATCCCCATGAACCCGCAATTTCGCAACCCACCCCCAGGAGGTCTTGACCCTAACTCCTACGACGACCCCGTCACTGTCCCTGCCGCCGATATCGCCGAAAATCCTTACTGGAAGCGTGATGTGCGACGACGATACCCAAGGCTCTCGACAGTCACCCAGTCTGACGCGGTTGCGCTGCTCTCAGTTGGAAGCGCTGCAGCACCAAAGCAGGAGTTGATTGGCGAGGCCGGCACCAAGCAACTTGTCGCTGCGCAAGAAGAAGGCACAAGGGGACTGGCAGTTGCATTTGAGAAGAACACTGGGCTTGTAAAGGATGTACTGGGTCCTGGTGGTCTTCCTCCGCTACCGAGCGGTCTTCACAACACCGGTGTTGCGGGACAGAAGCGATACGACTTGGAGAGCGAGCAGTCATATGGCACAAAGTAAGCATCAACTTGATTTGTTATTCAAAAACAGCGCTAATCAAATACAGTTACCCGTGCCGAACGTTTGCTTGAGCATCAGCGAGTCAGTGGTAGGTAGTCAAAGATAATAGAGGTTCTGTACATATGGAAATTCCCCTTGTGTGCCTGCATGACGATTATGTGTGATTTCCTCTTTTCCAGTCATCCTTCCGCAATGAAGAGTACTTCATCATTCAACCTTTCTCTTTCCTCGAGGCCCGAACGGAAAGCACAATCAGGGTCCAAGGCCATGTCTTGGCGTTGCTGTTCGCGACTTCCACATCTGCCACCACGCCTGCACCTTACAAGTACCACACCCCACCTGCTGCACCGCTGATTGTCTCTACGCAAGTTGTCGCAGTCGCAGATATGAGCAGTCCTCCTATGAAAGGAGCTGCAGAGTTGGGCGCAGCTCCCCTCAACTTCATCTACGCCTGCTCTGTGTGCTTTGCCTCGTTCGCCGACGTCTATGAGGGTCATCATGAGACTGTTCAAGGCCTTTCGGACGGTATCAACCCCAAGAATCGTCTTGTGACTCGAATCTTTCTTGCTAGCTGTTGTCATGTGTTCTGCAGCTCTCACCTCGAAGGCGGTGGTCAGTGATCAATGAATTAACTGGAGAAAGCCAGCTGCTTACAAAGTCTTAATAGGTCCGCCATTTCACCCCGCTGGGCAACAACCGAAAGCGCCATGTCCCATTTGTATCAAAGAAAAGGGTGATAGCACTGAGCGGGATCTCTACTCCATTCGCGGCTTCCACAAGGACGAATATGACCCTCACATTCCGCCTTCCTGGTTTACTGCACCTCCCATTCGACTCGATGGTAGCGGGAAGGAAATGGAGGCTTTACGGGTACGTCCTACATACAACGGCTGAGGAAGAAGCAATCACTAACAGTGTCCAGTTCCAGTACATCGCGCTTATCCGATACTGCCAGAACACTCATGCGGCCCGCAAGCCTCTCCAGGATGCCCTCACAGCAGTGGAAACGAAGCTCGCTAGCATGCAGGATCTCGCCTCGGGCGAACACGCAAAGGTCTTGAGCCTGCAGCAGGAGAATGAGCGACTGCGAGCACAGAACAAGCAGTCCGAAGCCATGAAAGCTGAACTCCAGCGACTACGAGATCTTGAGCAGGAGATGGAGCGTTTCCGCTGCTTGCATGTCAACCCACGCGATCTTGAGACATTCATTGAGAACAAGACAGCGATACGTCACTATCTAAAGCTTGTTCCCAAGCTACTAGAGTAGGTCATGCTGCCCTATCAGTAATTACAATACTAAATTGTCACAGTCAAAATGAACAGATGCAGAAGCGGCTAGCTAAGCTCGGATTTGCCATGGCACTAGAGCCCATATCCAAGTTTACAGGCATCGACCCGCACGCATTGGATAGCGACGAGGATTACCCCGGCGAAGGCAACGACGATTCCGCCGCGTTGCTGCGCAAGACTGCGTCAAGCCACACAGTCGGTAGATCTGTACATATGTCAGGCAGGCCAGGAACAGCGTCCTCTCACACTTTCTTCCATCGACCACTGAAGCGGCAACGCCTTGACTCGCCTCTCCCTAACAAGATGCAGATTGACCATCCTGCGAGTAGAGAAGCAATGCCACCTCCGCTAAAGCCATTGTCCAGAATGAACTCCGTGCGAAAGATGTTTCCAAGTCTCAGGAAGAAGTTCTCTAACGGCCGTGCTGCGCCTGTCATGGAGAACATCTCGGAGAGCACGAGCGATATTCGCATGTATGCAGATGAGCATTCCCAGGACAATACGTTCAATCAACAACAGCAATCACGCGATAATCGCCGTAGCGAGACCCCGTACATGTCGGGAGGTCTGCCAATCCAGCAACCTTCCAGAGGCTCTGAACGCCGGGGCTCACAGCTTCTCAGCAGCGTAGGAATCCACGACAACCGGTCCGACTTCACATTTCGAGCTTCATCGCCGATCAAGATGGATAGGCAAAACAACAATCGTGGTTCTCAGCTGCCTACCGAGCCTTCATACATCCGACTAATGGACGGTTTATCGAGTGATAATGGGGTTGAATTGGGTCTGAAAGACCCTCGCGAGGACATGGCCGTCGAGTATCAGCAAGATGGTGGAAGCAGGCAAGTTATGCGCAATGGTTGGGATGAACAGGATTTGCAAGAAGCAGGATATCAGAGGCGTTGGGATCTTGGACATCCGTTCATGCACCAATTGCCGCACGAACCATCTACTTCTGCGGATATCCATCAGCAACATGCCGGTCAGCACCAGACTAACAGGCATACAAACAGAACATACAACCAGTCACTTGGTCCGGCCACCCCAGCTCCTAGGCGACAACAAAGTCCAGGCCGGCAGATGGAGAGCGTAGTAAGTCCCTATTTCCGAAGCGGTCACAACCAAGCTCGTCTTTACCCGCAATCCGGACTCGCTGAACGTCAAGGCAGTTCCACTCGTTCCGGCGTCTATCGGTCACAAAGGCCCAGGATGGGAGAGCCCCAGCCCGATTGGCATGAACCCCGGAGCCTCAATGGGCTTTCGTTCTTTGATTCGCCGGTCAACTCAAGGAATGAGCCTATTGAAACAGGTCATCGGCGCAGAGTGACAGAGGTAGAACCGATATCAGCATCAGATCATTTTCAAAGTCGTCGTATCAACTCTCATGGATATATCACCCGACTAGAAAATGGAAGTTTACCGTATGCGAACGACAGTACTTATGGCTCATCGCAAAACATACCTTCTTATGCGCGACAGTCACCGACGTATACCCGAACAAGGATTGATTTACCATACAGCGATAGACCTTACTACTCCCGTATCGAGCCGGTTCTTTCATCCATGCCTCCCAGTATTCCACGTCGCTCTCCCACTCGCACACAACCTCAATGGGAGAATCTACAGCGAGCAGGTGTCAGAAGTAGCCGCAACGCTTTTAGCACCAGCGCCCAACAGCGGCCAGCCGCCTCGCAAAGAGACATTTTCCAAAGCTCTATTCGGCGCAATGTTAGACGCTAGCGGACGCGAGATGTCAGCGCATCTATGTTATGCTGGGATACGAAACGGGAGGGATTTCCGAACGGTGGCATTCTACGGCTCATATCCGGAGTCAGCCAATGTATGTAAAGAAAATGGATGGCAATTGAATGCTATTAAACCTTAATCGGCGATCTGTCAGTGTGCATGTGCCTGTGCTTGTTTTGTGGCGGCTGCAGGGTGCTATGTGAGGTACGATGTCAAAACCCATTTTGCGGCATGCTCCCAAATTGGAACTGGTGCATCAACACATCGACAAAAGCGATACGGAGGCTCATGTAGCGCTCCAAGAAGATCTTGTGCACCCATCACACCAGTTTCACCGAGTAGCCGCTTTTCCAAAGTGCATCAGGGCTTGATGAGGAGTACGTTACCGGGCCCATGGCTTGCCAATCTCGCCAAGGGGCGTGGCGAACCACTTTACATTGGACAAATGCCGGTAGACGAGGAACCAAACCCGAGTCCAGGAGAATTAATATGCGGCCCATCTGCAGCGAATGTTCGCCGGTAGGCACGGGCGTATAACGCTCTGCGTTGAGCGGCATCATTGGCTGATTGAAGATTGTGCAAGCCTCGGTGCGTAGACTGCAGATCTTAGGCGGCTGGCCCGTCGTTTCAACACTAAATTGACCTTGCTCCCGTTTATCCCACCTATGGCGACCCCTGATACTCCGCAATCGTTCAAACACATGATTTGCCTCGCTAGCCATTCTTGGCCTGATGCCGTTCCTGTAATATAGGTGGGCAATCTACGCGGTACCGTGGCAGCAAAACATAGGCCCGCAGGGGTTCGCACTCGTCATCTTCATAGTGATATCAGATGACGAGATGCTCATTTCCAGCAAAGACACGGAATTCTAGGCCCGGACTACCTGTCTGGAAGTGGACCATGGCAATCTGAGGGTGTGGGTATAAAGGCGATTGTCGCCGGGTTTGTTTGAAAGGCAAGACAGTTCAAGCTTTTCTCGGCACTCTTCAACATTCTTTTCACAATGCTTCTTAACAATCTCTTTGCGGTAGCCGCTCTGGCCAGCGCTGCCTTTGCGGCTCCGGCTGAGAAACGCCAGTCCCGTAAGATGAAGTGGTTCGGCATCAACGAGTCTGGTGCCGAGTTTGGCGAGACAAAGTTTCCCGGTGTTTACAACAAGGATTACATATGGTATGATTTGAACACGCTCGATCAATTCATGAACCAGGGCATGAACATGTTCCGCCTGAACTTCCGTAAGTTATTCATTCTCATGGTAGTGGTAGCTTACAATGTACTAAAAACCACCTAGTAATGGAGCGCCTTACCCCGGGCTCCCTCACCAGCCCATTCGATGCAAACTACCTAGGCAACCTGACACAACAAGTCAACCACATCACCAGCAAAGGCAGCTACGCCATGATCCAACCACACAACTACGGCCGCTTCATGGGCAACATCATCACCGACACAGCCGCCTTCAAAACCTGGTGGACAAAAGTCGCCGCCGAATACAAAGACAACGCGCTCGTAGTCTTCGACACGAACAACGAATTCCACGACATGGACCAAAACCTCGTCTTCAACCTCAACCAAGCCGCCATCGACGGTATCCGCGCTGCCGGCGCCACTAAGCAAATCATCACTCCAGAGGGAAACTCCTGGACCGGTGCTTGGACCTGGGTTTCCTCCGGCAACGCCGCCAGCCTTGTTAACCTGAAAGATCCCGAGAACAAGCTCGTCTACCAAATGCACCAGTACCTCGACACCGATGGCAGTGGTACATCTGCGAACTGTGTTTCCAACACTATTTTCTCGGAGCGTCTGGCGGCTGCGACTAAGTGGCTCAAGGATAACAAGAAGGTTGGTGTGATTGGAGAGTTTGCGGGGGGTAACAATGCCCAGTGTATTGCGGCGTTGAAGGACGGTCTCAGTTACATGCAGAAGAACTCGGATGTTTGGATGGGTGCGATCTGGTGGGCGGCGGGTCCTTGGTGGGGTGATTACATTTACAACATGGAGCCCCCGAGTACCGCGGGCTGGACTACGTTGTTGCCGGCCATTAAGAGCTTCTTCGTTTAGAGAAGTTGTGGCTGGTTTGAAGAAAGAAGGAGGGGATAGAAAGTGGTTTGGGGATAGGATTGGGGATATTCGCTGTATATATCTTTTTCTTGTGGATCCTTTTGTACGTAGATTCGCAATTTTTGCATCTTGTGGCAACAGTCCCTCTTGTTAGGGGAGACATTGCTGGAATATGAAACTGTTTGTTTCTATTGTTTGATCTCCATGAATCTTGTAATCGTAAAACCAGCTGGTGATGCTCATTGCAACAGTATTCTCCTGCTTATCTGCTGCTTGCTGTTCTAAACCTTGGAGGATTAATAGCTACGTAAACCGAACAAGCATTTTCCTTACATCCAGTCACGTCATGAATGGCTGGCTATTGATGACGACCATATATTGCTAATATGACAAACATGTTCAAACTTCGATCAGACGTACGAGCAGTCCTACGGCCTCCCCTCCCACGCCCTCCTCAAATACTCCTCCACGCCCAAAAACGCATATTCAGGGAACCTCTCATTCCACTCCGCACTAACATCCCAGCTCCCCCTCCTAATCGCCTCGAAAAACACCATCAAAAACTCCTTTGAAAAGCTCTCCCTCACCTCCTCTGGAATAGTCGGATGACTAAGCTGCGGAATCCAACTGCTCGTCAAAACGCCCTTTTGCAGATCTTCGCTCTTCACATACTCGACGTGCCAATCCCCACCGCGGATCTTCTTACCCAGCGCCACCATCTCGTTGATGCTGGTACGACAGCCCCTGATACCGCCGATACGGGGCCAAGGTCTCTCCGTGTCGTCGAGGGCTTTTGCCAGGATCTGCGCGTCATCTTGGATAGCGGTTAGGACGATAGGCTGATCCCCGTCATCAAGGATCATAGCTTTTCTGTTCTGGAAGTCGAGGAAAAAGGGCCAAGTGATGAGATCTTTCTCTAGGGGATACGGGTGCGCGAAGTAATCCATGAAGATGGAGGGTTGGAAGAGGCAGATTTGGAGGGAGCCGAGTGCGTTTTGCTTGTCGAGGTCTTCGATGTAGGCTCGAAAGGCGTCTTTGTTGTCGTAGCTGGGGACGCCGTTGTAGCTCGCGATGCCCCATTCTGAAGGCGCGAAACGGGTTACGCCTGCAGCGAGGGCGGCGTGGAGGAGGTTTTTCTGCGCGGTGTTGTCTACGTCGAGGTGCACCACGAAAAAGGAGAGAAGGGTGTGGATTCCGTTGAGGGCGGTGGTTAGGGCCGCGCGATCTGTGTAGTCGACTTGTTTGTAGGAGACGTTTGAAGATGGGTGCGGGGTGGAGGGTGCAGAACGGGTGAAGATAGTGATTTCGTGGTTTCCAGATGCTATGGCCACTTTGAGCATGTTGGTTGCGACATCTGTGCTGTATAAGCTAGAGCCATGTTTGATTCGTGAATGTCGTAGTGAAGATGTTAATGTGAGGTCTTGGGGGGAAGCATACTTCCGGTGCCGCCTGCTACTGCGATTTTGACCATGGTTGCGCTATACTTTCCGTTTTTGATATTGATGGGATGATTGGCTTCTTCAGAACCCCCAACTCTAGACGGAAATTGCTGCGTCTTTATGTTTTTCAACAATCTGCTACCCATGCTCCGCTTTTCGGTCCCCGCATTTTTTTCGCCGTGAGTCGTCCTGTTCCGCCGATAACTACACGCGTCATAACTAGCGCCAAGTGGGCGCTTGAAGCGCTCAAATTCATCATGCCAACACTGATCTAATGTTTGGACGCTCGATCATCGGAACCTCTATCAAAAGCATTGTAGACATTGGTAAGCGGAAGCTTGGCGGGGCGTAGAGGTACCGGAGTTTGCCGGTGATAAGAGCCGAGTATGGCAGTTGATGTAAGGCGTAATAACGGCTTCGTGTGTCTGATCCTCTATGTACAATTGTTGATGGCCAGTGAATTCTAAAAACATCGTCCAGCTGGTTGCATTGCTTGAACAGTGACATGAGTCGATGCAGTTAGGATGCCCGTAGAATGACCCATTTCTCTGGCGATTTGATGGTGTAAACAGCAGCAGTGTTAAGCAGGTACTAGATTGATGTCGAAATATGATCTGATAATCAGCCGGGTATATGTTGAGAAAGTATCGAATGATGTGATAGTTGCGAGACCATCCTCCTCAAGCGTCAATGAGCGGAACCTCAGGTAACGGCTTTTCGGGCAGCGGTTTACTCGGCAGTGGTTTCATCGCTTCCGCATACGCTGGTGGTTGTGATGAGCTTCCGCCCTCGTCGGGGTCGTCTCTGTACGCCCATTCTCCATTTAGCAGCACGCCCTCCTCTTCTGCGATTCTTTCCCTCCTCATGTTTTCCCATACATTCTCCATGCCATCCCATTTCATCAGCTCTCGTTGCGCAAGAATCCACTTGGCAAATTTATACATGCCAAACGACGTGACAAGACCGCCCAGTATGCTGCTGAGAATGATCCAGATCAAGTACCAAGAGTGCCAGTATACGAATTCGCCAAACATATCGCGCAGTGTCCCTTTCTTCCCGTAGTTGCCCCACTCTTCCTCTATGTAGAGGAAACGACCCCCATCTACTTCCCAGACGTCGTTTCCGAGGAAGTGGCCTATCCTGCCCCAGAGAGTCAAGGGTGTCTTGGCTAGGAAGTTGTAGACTCGATCGACTAGACGCATATGGATAATCTGGTATTCGTATGTCTTGTCGGTCCCGACGTGGCCGAATGGGTCTGCAGCTTTGTTATCTCGTCCGCTGCTGCTCTTCTCCGTCTTCACCGGCAATCCTTTGACCAGAATCCACAGCATCTTTTGCTCTCGATCGTCAAATTTCCAAGCCGAATCTCCAGGATATCCCGCCGACTTTCCAATCACATCCACAGCAACACGCCAGTATTCTATACCTTCATCCTTTTCCTCTCTTTCGCGTGGGGCTGTATTCGTCGTGTACAGATAATCAAATTCTATGGGAGAGTGCGATAGACGTAGTCCTCGCCACTCAGGAGATTCGGGATCTAGTAGACGTCCACTGAGGTCTGCGTTGGAGAGGTTGAGCGGGTATTGGACGACACGGAATCGAGGAGGGGTGGGTATAGTCGGCAGAGGATAGAGCGGTTCATTATTGAGGAGAATGGTGCGATTATCGTGTGCGAGAGTAATGTTCAGAAGCTAAGATGGGTGTCAATCAGCCTTCCTGTTGCATGTCTCATTTGAAGATTGAGGCCGAGGGTTGACATACGAGTATCTGATCACCATTCACAACCTTACCGCCCACGACCTTGTCATCCACAGCATTTTCCTCGCGATTCACATATGGGCAGTCTTTGCATTCGATCTTCGCAATGTAGGACGATCCGGGTACTACTGCTGTAACATCTGCGATAGGTTGCGCGCACGCTTTGACCTTTGCAGCACTTTTAGGGTCGCTACAATCAAGTGCTTTGGGAATATCAGCAAAGCGCTTCGACAATACAAGCGGAAGTAGCAGCGCTATCCCGAAAAGCAGCATGGTGAGCTCGCTGAGCTGGTGAGGGTGAATGACGGAAAGCCGCGCCTCGCCAGCCATGTCAGGGGCGTAGCGTGGCGGAGGCGGCAGGGGTGGGAGCGCCTAGCCGACGCAGAACAGAACCATCGCTGAAACCCCGCAAACCCTTCTCGATGCTCTTAGGGTTTCTATTTCCATCGTGGCATTGCTACTCCACGTTTCTGATATAGCCTACCTACTTAATGCAGATACGAGATGTAATTTCACCGTTGATTAGCTTCCGTCCCAAATGACGTTAAACCTTCACATACGCCCAACCACGCACGATCGATCTTCACGATCTGCGCATTCCTGCGATCCGTCTTCCAGCAGAATTCGCCTGTTACAGATGCTGATCATACTTGATCAAGACCTGATACCTCTGTATGACTGGATGCCTGATTCGCTGGCACAAGGCTGAGTAGGACGCCTCGCGAGTGCGATGATTCCAATCTTGCTTTACGTGCCAATAGGACTCTCCAGCTCTTAGACCCGGCGTAAGAGACGGCTTATCCGAGATACCTGCCAAGTTGCCGTTGTCGTTTGGATCAAGAGCAAGCGTTTCTTTAAGTTGGTATGAGGATTAAACCATTTTTCGTACTCATATATATCCATTCAACTATCGTATCTTCAAGAACCACAGAAATCCACTGTCTTCTAAGTTATTCAACTGCACACAGCCATAAAGAACACAACCATGTTTGTGCCATCACACAACGACGACAAATCCAACACCCTTCAAGATCCAACAAAACAACCAGTCCTGAACCAACAGACTCCGTCTTCTGCCTCAAAATCATCAAAAGATCTGTCTGATTCTGAAGCGGACCCAAAAGGTCATGGTAGCGATGCGGATGACACTGCTACTACCAACAAACCCAAGGGACGCAAGATGTACGAAGAATCCTTACGCAGACAGTGTTGTACTATGGTATGAATTACTAACCATAAAGTAGAAAAGATGCTGGTGCAACCTTAGTAACCGGAGCATTGGCAGGGTTGGGGCATCTTTTAGACGCCATCAGTTGAGTTGGTAGGCTAAGTCTCGTATGCCCATTGTGGGTTCAGGAATTCTCGGAATTATTCATCTCGACGACACACCATTCAATACCATCAATATGACAGACATCCCAAGTACAGCACGCATGCCATTCTTTAAGTTTGTGATGCGTTCGTCAGACCAACAACGGACCCATGACGTCACAGTATGAGATCACAGCCGCACATCACAATCACACACCTACGCATCCACAAACATAAAATCGGCGTATAACCTCCTAGCTCACACTACATATCCTAAAGCAACCCTAAGTCATTAAATCATCATCTACACACATCTAAACACCACCATCAGTTCCAACCAAGCACACCGCCCACAATGCCATCCTCATCAACCTTCCAATCCTTCTCCACATCCAGCAGCAGCACCACCATCAATGGCCGCACAACCTCACAATCGGAGCAAACATACTCAGACCCCTCCGGTACCCGCGTCCAACGCACCCACCAAGCGCACGGTGAGGCCCCGCGCGTGGAACGCTACCAGACAGATGCTGCAGGGCGGCAGTTGGAAGATCCGAGACAAGCGGATGCGAGGAGGATACAGGATGTGACTGAGGAAGAGGATGCGAAGGAAAAGGGAAGGCAGTATGAGAAGAGGATGGAGGAGGAGTATGCGAAGAGGGAAGGGGGTGCTTAGGACGTGTAGTGACGTGTGTAGTTTGTAGGAAATGAAGGAAGCGATGTAGAGCTTCATGATACTTCCACGATAAAATGACAATTGATTAAGCAAAACATCTATCCGCAAACATCTCCCAAACCTCCATGCACCATCACACGCCATCCTCCTACCCCACCAAAACCCTCCCACCACATTCACTACCTAAACCTTCCGGTGTGCTAACATCCGTCCTCATCCAGCCGCAACACAAGAAAAACAAAGCCCACACCCCCGATTTCCCTCCATTCCACTTCAGTATCCGCTTTAGCGTTGCAGCGCTGCCCGCTCGCCCCGATAGCCGTCGCACGTGCATGGTTTGCCTGCACCTGCCGACGCTAGCCGGACTACACCGGTCGCACAAAGAGTGCCCGGCGCAAACCACCGCGATCGCGATTGACGTGCAGGTGGGACTTGCGTAGCCGCGATTAATAAGACTTCGTCATGTGCTAGATGGGTATTGGGGGAGGGAGCGGATGGCGGTGGGATGGTGAGGAGGTACTTAGGAGAGGAGATTTCTCCATTGTGTTCATTCATTCATTCATTGTTGCTTCAACGAAAAAACCCCATCATAGCTACAATTCCCTAATTTGAGCGAAGAGCAAGCTTGAAACTTGGAGTGATAATGAACTGCTACATTTCTCAATAACACATTCTGCATTCGATCATTGCGATATAACGCACGCCTCAACTTGCATACATCCGTCTATCGCTCGATATGGCGATTCTACTACTCCTCGCCTCCCTCTTTGGAGGCTTGGTCTGCTACGTACGTTTATCCCCCCATCTCTGCCACATCACATATATTCCTTTTGACTAACAAATTCCAGATCCTCGGTGTAATCATCTACAGATTAACCCTCCACCCCCTCGCCAAATACCCCGGCCCATTCCTCGCAAAAATTACGGACATCTACCTCGCATACTACGCCTACAAGGGATCACGACATCTAGCCTTCCACCGCGCGCACGAGCAGTATGGAACCTATGTTCGTCTGGGGCCGAATCTACTTTCTATCAACACCGCCACGGGGCTAAAGACAATCTATGGGTTCCGCTCGAATGTCAAGAAGGCGTCGTTTTACGAGGCGTTTCCCAGTACGCCAAAGGCCGTCAGCGTACATAGTGCGATTGACAAGATGCAACATGCGCGCAAGAGACGAGTAATGAGCCATGCATTCAGCGATTCCGCAATCAAGAGTTTGGAAAAGTATATCCTGGCCAACGTGCGCGTGGGCTGTGAACTACTAGGTCGCAAGAGCAACAACTGGAGCGGAGAGAAGAGTTTGACAGACGAGAAGGATGGGGGTTGGAACGATGCGTGGAACACGGCGCATTGGTGCGAGTGGCTC